CCAGGGCCAGGCCGCCTTCGGTGGACGTCCTGGAGCCGGCAAAACACGGTTCTGGGCAGTGAAGGCCGTGAGGTCTGGGTGGATGCCTCTCCGCAGGGAGAGTTGGTCGCCCCGAAAGGTATTGGCACACAGGTGTCGGCCGTCACCCCTCGGGAACGTCCGACGAGAAGCAGTATCAGTGCCCCCGGCGCACACGCAAGCACTGGAGGACACGCCCGGCTGTTCCAGCAGTTCCCACGGTCCCTGGTGTCCTCCCTGCCTCGGCTCCTCCGACGTGACCGGTGCCTGCCCAGCATGTAGCCGGCCCAGTGTGAGAGGAGGCGGCCTTTCCCGCTCGCTCACCTCCTTGAGCTGCAGCGCCGTCCACACCCACGGGCTGCGGCTGGGGCTGCGGCTGGGCGGCTGTCCCGACCTTTCAGGAGGGTCGCGCCTCCCCTCGGCCAGGGAGGGGCAGCTCGGACGCCCAGGAAGGGTTCCTCCGGGTGTCGTGCCGGCGCTGGTGAAACGGGAGAGCGCGGCGAGAGCAGCGAGGATGGCGCCTCCGTCCGCACCGCGTGCCTCCCCCTGGGGCCCGGGCCTCGAGGAGGCCCTGGTGGTGGTGGTGGGGTCCAGACGAAGCAGGTCGTCCACTGGGGGGGCCGCCGCGGAGCGGGTGTTTCTCACACAGGTGAGGCGCGCTCCCAGCCTGGGAAAGGGTTCGGGTGGTGCTTGTCCGGGGGCGCGGAGACTGAGGCCCCCCCCCCTGGGTTGGTCCGCCTGCAGGGCCGGTTCGCCCACTGACCGGACACAGTGACACCCGCAGGGGTCGCAGTCGGATGGAGGGACGGAAACCCCGCAGGAGCCGATGGCTCTCCCCACCTTAAAGGAGAATGTCGCAGCAGGGCTGTTCTCGGGGCGAGCTGTGGGCTTTGTGTCCGGGAACCGCTGGCTCAGGGCCAGCCCGGAGACTGATGAGCTCGCTGGCAGTTCACCACGGCGGGCGCCTCTCTCTCTCTCTCTCTCTCTCTCTCTCTCTGTGAATGGTTTTGGCTCCAGCTCAGGGGAGGAAGGAAGGAGCTGCGGGGGCGTCCCTGGAGGCGGTCACCCCAGGGCCGGCAGGGAAGGGCGGGGGCAGCACAGGCAGCGGGAAGGGCCGCCGTGCCCCTCCTCCGGCCCAGCCAGAGCTCCCCAGCCTGTCCCTGCGGCGGGACAGGAGGTGCAGAGCCGCCTGGGGAGGGCCTCGGGCCGGGCAGCAGCCCCTCCCTGTCCGGAGACCCTGGCCTGCGGGGGCGAGGGCCGCCCAGGGTGTGGGCATGGTGGCCGGTAAGTCACCCCGTTTTCCCCAAGGCCCGGGCGCTCCCGGAGGGCCCCGCGATTCCAGACCAGGGGAGCTCCGGCATTTGCCCGCCGTGAGGCGCTTCCAGCAACCCAGAACACAGACCTGCTTTCTCCCCGGACCTTTTCCCGCACAGGGGCTGAGCCTCCCGCCGCTGCCGCCGCGTACAGGCACTTCACGCGGTGTTTGCACAGACGCCCTAGAAACTCCCAGTCTGAGACAGTCAGGCCGCAGGGAAACACGGCCGTAAACCCATCGTGCAGGCCCCGGGCGCGGCCCAGATCGCATTCCCACGTCTCGCTGCCGGTCTCGCTGGCCACGGCCATTGGCGCCCTGACGCGAGGCCGCGCCCCTCCAGGAGGGAATGGCCGTCGGCGTCCCGGGATGGCGGACGGGGCCAGAGAGCTGCAGGGCCGCGCGGTGTGGCGGGTCGGGGCTCCCCCCGGTGCGCGGCACGACCGTCTTCTGCGCATCCTGGGGACACCGGATTGTTGCTTCTGTAAAAGCTGCCTTTCTGTTCGCTCTTCTCGGTTCTGCTGAACTAACGCCAGTTCTAGCCACCCAGGACGACCCTGGGCACAGTGCGGCTAAAACATAGGGTCCTCTTTGCCAGTGAATAGTTAGTGATTATCTTTTTTGAGAGAGGTTGCTTTGTAATTTTTTCCTGACCATAAAGTTATATATGTTCAACACTACAGAAGATTTAGGTTGAACCAAAATAGAATGTTTAAAAAGTGAAGATCACCCACAGTTCACCATCTAGATCTATCTGGATGCTTTGTTGTAGATCCTTCTAGATCTTTAAATCTACTTACACATACAAAAACGTGGTATCCCACTTCGCAATGGTGTTCGTTATTTTTACCAAAAAGCTTCTGTAGTGACCGTTGAACACTTAGGGTTTCTTGAAATGAACCCTTTTTCCTGGTGCCGTAATCACTGGGGATGCTCCAGTGACTCAGTAGCCGGACTTCCGACTGCGCGCGCGGAGAACCGGCGGGTCCCTGCGGCTTTCCGCGGCTTCTCCAGCCAGGGTCGCTGTGGGTTCACAGCAGCCTTCTCAGAGATGGCGGGTTCCCTTTCCTCTGGAGCCGCAATCGTAGGTTCAGAATTGATGGCCTAATTAGCCCTGGACCTTTTTTAGCTTCTTGTCAAGTGTTCTAGATTGTTCCGGAGCGAGAAGTAGGTTTCGCTGTCCCCCAGGGCCCCTCGCTCAGCCCGACTCTCTCCGCGTCCCCGAGGGGCCCCTCCCCGGTGGAAGGGGAAGCCGGGGGCCAGCAGAAAGTGTGTGTTTGCTTTTGCTCCCTTTTCAGACGCGACTGGAACACAGTTCACCCCACACTCAGAGGACGTCCAGGAAACGCCCTGGTGGGTGACTCAGGACACACCCTGGAGGCGTGTTCGTGTGCCTGGTGGCCGGTCGTCCCATAAAATGACACAGCTGGCGTTTACTGGGCGCTTACTGTGCGCCGGGCGTTGTCAGCGACCGCGTTCGGCGCTGGAAACAGCCCCGCGAGTTAGAGATCCTGACTTAGGTGACGAGGTGGCATTTGACCCCGGACACAGTCCGGCCCCAGGCCCTGCCGCTCTGCTGTCCTTTACCCCGTTGTGCCCGGCAGAGCCCCGGGCCCCCGTTTCTCGTCCTGACGCGGAGAGGCGTTCACCGCCTCGCCCGCTGCCCTCGTCCCGGGCCAACCTTCGCTCTCTCGACGGCACTGCCTCCCCTCCGCCGCAGGGCGCCAGAGCGGCACAGGGAGCGCCCACGAGAAAGCCACCGAGGTCCCTGTGCCCGAGGGGCTGCGCTGCTGCCGTCCGGAGGGCCGAGCGCCCCTCGGCCGTGGGGCTGGCAGGCGGCTCGGAGGGCGGCCGCGGGCCCCGGTCGCGCTGCTCGTTCCGGCACGAGCGGGCGTCACGTGGCAGGTCGTAACTTACTCCTGACTGCGGCCCGGAATAGCTCCTCATAACTAATTCACCGCTGCCACGTGGGCGCCAGGCGCTATTTTTCCAGACACTAAAATTACCACCCCGCTTCCACGGGCTTTGCGTGCAGCAGCAGGTGAGCCTGCTCCTGGCGGCACAGGGACAGAGACAGTCCCCGCTCCGAGCGCGAGAGCTGTCCCTGTCAAAGTCCTTCCGGGTCCCTGGGCCGGAGAGGCGCAGCCCCGCGGCTCGTCGACACGCCGCTTCCGGCTCGCCAGGACACGGTGCGGTGCGGTCCACCGCGCTCAGAGCTGCGGCCGGCTTTCCGAGCAGCGCGTGCGTCCCCACCGTGACCTCCCACAGCGGCAGGAGGGGCGGCCAAGGATCGTCTGAGCCTGGACGTGATGCGGGAGTCCAGGTGGCAGGAAGGGCGGCGGTTAACCGGGCAGGGGCAGGGGCTGGCTTGCCGGGAACGCTCCAGACCGGGGGAGCGAGGTGTGCCCGAGCCGCGTTGGAGGGGGCGTGGCAGGTGCCGGGGTGAGGGGACGGCAGCGCTGACGGGCGCCCGGGCCTCTGGGGGCTGGACTGGGCGCAGGCGCGGCTGCCAGGCGTGTGGGGTCTGGCCCGAGAGCACCCGAGGGCTGGGGAGTGGGAACGCGGCCCCGACTTATGCGCGGGTTAGGGGAGGCGTTAAAGGAAGAGGCTTCTAAGACGGGAAGTGGCGAGTCTGGATGGGGTCCCTCCCCACTGGCACCCCAGAGCCGCTTCTGGGGGCCCAGGACGGCCTCGCTGCTGCCGCGGCCCCGGACCTGCAGCCGTGGGCAGCGTGTCCCAGGGGACAGGAGGAGGCTGGGTCGGCCGTGCTGCTTTGGCTGCGAGAGCACCTGGAAAACCGCCGCCGGCCCCCGGCGGCTACGCTGAGGGACGCACTGCAGAGCCCGCAGACGGCCGGCCGGGACGCGCCCTCGTGACACAGGCAGCCGGGCCCGTGGCTTCGGCCCGTGGGGGTGGCGGCACGCGGCGCGGTGGGGCAGATGCCTTTGCCCGAGCAGGACGCGTTCGTCCCTCACGTGGGGCGGACGCCCTGCGCCTCTGCCGCCCTCTTCCGCGCCAACCCCCGCCCCGGGGAAGGGCCAGACGCTCCGCCCCGTCCTCGTGGCCCCGACTCTCCCGCGCCTCCGAGGCGCTGAGTGCGGCCTCTGCAGGCCCGCGCCACCGCCCCCTCCGGGCGACCCGCCCGTCTCTGCTGCGTCTCCTCGGCACAGAGGGGCACCGCTGAGGCTGCACCTGCGTCCCCTTTTCGGAGGGACCGGGTCGTTAGGACGCTTGCGTCACCAGCCACCAAGGATGAGAACCGGGAACGCCGCCTTTCCAGCGGCAGCGGCTCTCGGCTCCCTGTCCCCGGGAAGTCGGGACGCTTTGAGCTTGGGAGCCAGTGGGGAGGCCAGGTGGTGATGTAGGTGCCGTCTGGAGGCGCGGCTTGTGTCCTGGCACCCGAGAGGGCCTGTCGGGTCCGCGTGTGTCCGGCAGCAGGAGCACGCCCCCCACCGTTGGCACTCGGGTCCCGAGCCGGTCAAGGCAGCACCGAGGGCGGGAGGCGGGGCAGCCGGCGGCCGGCGTAGCCCTGGGTCCGCTGTGTCCCTCTGCGCCCAGAGCCACGGCCCAGGGCCCCGCGGAGCCGACGAGGGCGGTGGGCGGGCAGCGCCCTCTTCCTCCCTGTGACCTTGTTGCCGGGGACAGCGACCAGGTTCCGTGTCCCCCGCAGGCCCCCTGGATGCCAGCATGGCCACCGCGAACCTGGAGAACCAGCTGCACAGCGCGCAGAAGAACCTGCTGTTCCTGCAGCGGGAGCACGCCAGCACGCTCAAGGGCCTGCACGCCGAGATCCGGCGGCTGCAGCAGCACTGCACAGGTGCCCGCGCCGGGGGCCGGGGCGGGGCCGCCGGCCTGCGGGGCGGGACTGGTCTCCAGGGCAGCTTAAGGGGGGGCTGGCCCGCCAGGCCAGTGGCGGGGGTGGGGGTGCTCTCTGCTCTCCGTTGCGGGGATCTGTCGTCACAGAGACCGCGTGCATGGCATGCCTCGCCCTCTGCCTGACGGGCGTTTGTGAAGGAAGCTGTGAGGCCCCTCTGGGCACCGTGCAAACTTGGGAGCTGGAGACGCAGTGGTGGGAACTGGCAGCGGGTTTTGGAGCTGCTGGCCGCGGCGTCACACTGTGTGGCAGAGCAGGCCGCACGCTGGTGTGGGTGCCGGGCTGCGCTGTGGGGAAAGGAGGGCCCCCTCTGAGCCGCGGTCAGGACGGGGCTGCTGGGCTGGTGTCCGCCGCTCTCATTTGCCCTCCACGCTGACCCAGGCAGGACTCGCCGGCTGGCCAGGTCTGTGTTTGCAGAGCTGGCGAAGCTTCTGAAGTGCACCGCGACCTCACAGAACTAACGCCTGTGGTTCCCTTTCAGATCTGACATACGAGCTGACACTCAAAAGTTCGGAACAGACAGGTAAGAGCACCCTCCCCGGACGTCAACGGCACGCCTCCGGCTGTGGTCTGCGTGGGCGGCTGGTCCTCACTGGGGAGGAAGCCCACTCGCCGTGCAGAGCTGCCCGTGGGGCCAGGGCCTAGGGGACAGTGGGAGGGAGGCCCCGAGGGGCAGTGGGGCGGCCGGAACGAGGGCTTCTGTCTTCTCCTGGTGGACGCCCACACGGGCAGCGCCTCACACACGCTGCTGGACGCTCGGCTTTTCTGCAGCAAACGCGTGTTCCTCCTGTAACCGGGGGATAGCTGCGATTTAAATCAGCGGACCCCGCTCGGCCACACAGATCAGCCTGCACCCTGGGGTGGGGCCGAAGGGGGGGTGGGACCAAGCACAGCTGCAGGGACGCCACACCCTGAGAGACGGTGCGAGAGGGGACCGTGTCAGAGGAGAGGTGGCTGCCGGACATCTGTCCCCTGTGCAACTTCAGAGCGTTGGTGCGTCAGGCGTGGAGAACTTTTACGGAGGCCTTGAGGACAGGGACTCACACGGAGAAGGCGCTGGGCCCGCCGCGCCCAGGCACGGAGTGGATCTGCTGCGGCTCAGTCTTGAGTGTTGGGTGCAATGCCGAAAACTCTGAAACTGCACACTTTAGCTTCGGCCGTTCTTATACTCGGGGACCTTCTTCTATACAGTAAACTGAGGGCGAAGAGCTGCCCGCGCTCTGGAGGCCCCTGGCCGGCCGGCCTCCGTCTCGGGTCCTCAGCCTCGTGCCTGTGCTTGTCTTCCAGGAGACACACCTGCCGGGAGCAGCGAGCTGCAGAGAAGGTGCGAGGAGCTGGAGGCGCAGCTGAAGGCGCAGGAAGAGGAGAATGCCGAGCTGCTGCGGGAGCTGGAGCAGAAGAACGCCACGATCGCGGTGCTGGAGAACACCATCAAGGAGCGGGAGAAGCGGTACCTGGAGGAGCTCAAGGTGAAGAGCCACAAGCTGAACATGCTGTCCAGCGAGCTGGAGCAGCGCGCCGGCACCATCGCCTACCTGACCTCCCAGCTGCACGCCACCAAGAGGAAGCTGCTCAGCTCTAGTGGGACCTCGGACGGCAGCCCGTCGGGGAGCCCCGTGGCCAGCTACAAGCCGGCCCCGCCCAGGGACAAGCTGCCCGAGACCCCCCGCCGCCGCATGAAGAAGAGCCTCTCGGCCCCGCTGCACCCGGAGTTCGACGAGGTCTACAGGCTGGGGGCCGAGGGCCGGAAGCTCCTGCTGCGGGAACCGGTGGACGCCATGCCCGACCCCACCCCGTTCCTGCTGGCCAGGGAGTCGGCCGAGATGCACCTGGTCAAGGAGAGGCCCTTGGTCATCCCCCCCATCGCCTCGGACCGCAGCTCCGGCGAGCAGCCCGGCCCGGCCCGCGAGAGGCAGCACAAGGTCCACGTGGGCGTGGCCCACCGCATCCCCCACGGGGCCTCGCCGCAGGCCCCGCCCGAGGTGGAGACGCTGGCGGTTGACCAGGTGAACGGAGGCAAGGTCGTCAGGAAGAACTCAGGGACGGACAGAACTGTGTGAGGCCTGCCGGGCGCCCTTCACCCTTGGCCGTCCACGCACTGTGACCACCGCTAGGAAAACTCATCCGTCCACACACCTTTTTTTTTTTTAAATTTTCATGCATGCCAAATTGTTTTCAGACCTGTCAACAGATTATCCCCACCACTCCACTTGCTCTCACACCAAAATGTGATCGTGTCCCTGCTGCTGCTGCTGCTGCTGCTGCAGACACTGTTTACTAACCGCTGTGGCCAAACACCCGCGTGCCGAATGGCTTGCTTCCCAGCCCCGCCCTGCGCCTCTCAGCGCGCTCGGCCGGAGCGCGGGCCGCGGCTGCACGCTGCCGAGCGTTCGCGAGCTCAGACGGCCACACGCCCACTCCAGCGGAGCCACGCGCGTTTCCCGGACTGCCTGTGCGGGGCGGCCCGCCCCCCGAGCCCCTGTAACCTCCCACAGACCTTCCCCAGGGCGACACCGTGACCGAGCGGCTGTATGTGTATGTCACAGGCACTAAATAAGATGACGTTTCTCCTTCTATCACCACCACCTGAAGTGTGTTCATATTTTTTGTTAGTTTTCTCCAAAATGTTCCAGATCCCAACAAACTTTATTTTCTAAACCTGCCTCCTTTCTGTTTTGTGTCTTTTATTAAACCAGCGGAGGGAGGGGATGACGGGAGGGGCAGACACGGCGGGCCTCCCCGTAACCGCCGTGTTCTCACCCAGACGGTGGGCTCGCCACTTCTGGAAAGAGGTGTCTGCTTCCTCACGGACCAGAGCTACCATTTAGAACGTTCTGGTCTCCGGAAGTAGTGGCAACAACTACTGCCCGTGACTGCCCCCGCCCTCTGGGGGGGCCCGGCTCCAGGCTGGCCCTGCGGTGCGCAGGAGGAAGGGACCGCCGTAGCCTCCAGTCCCGGAGGTCGTGAGTCTGCGCCCAGCCCCACACAGACCTGGACAGTGTCTAAACACCACGCTTGACAGCCTCACCCGCCCAGGGCCGGCCAGAGGCTGAGGAGCAGCGGGCCAGAGGGTCTGGAAGGGACGGGGCATCTGGGATGACTCGGCCTGGGTCAGCCCCGGGAAGGCGTCCTGCCTGCCGCAGCGCAGCAGCCGGGGCCCGCGGCCCACCCCTCCACAGGCAGCTCTCGCCCCAGAGAGGTATCTGCCCACACGGACCACAGACAGACAGACAGACCATGGACGGAGATGATCTCACACACACACACATCCACCCGTGCATGTGCCTCTGGAAATTTACATCGGAATTCTCACTTTGCCTTAGGCTTAATCAAGTGTTTCTTCTGAGAATGAAAATAAAACACTCAACACCTTAAAATGCTGTCCTTCAGAATTTACTTTTTTGAATCCTTAAAAAAATAGCTTCAAAAACAGCCATGCAGGTTAATTTATATGGAAAGAAATTAGAACGGCTGATTTAAAACGAAAGGAGAATAGTTGTCCAGCCCCCGCTGCCTCTGGAGAGGCCCCAGGACACGGCCGCAGGCGCCCCCCCCCCCTCCCGTGAGTGCCCTTCGCCCGAGGGTCAGTCCGAGTTGAGGGTGAGGCACACCCCCTGCAGCACCCAGTGAGAGATGTGCTTCGTGGTGAAGAGGTCGGCCTCGAAGACCAGGCCGACCCCCATGGCGTTCCTTCTGGTGGAGGTGGTGTAGACGGGCGTCCGGAAGGTGTTCTAGAAGGACAGGCAGGTAAGGGGTCCCCGTGGGGGCAGGGCCTTGGTCTGAGTGCTGCGAGGGCAGGGGTCCTCTGCCTAGCTGTGTCTGAGAACCCGTGTTGGGGGCTCTGCAGGGCGACCCTGCTAACGTCGGGGAACCGCGCGGCGGAAGAGGACCCGAGCCAGGCAGAGCGGGAGGCACACTGTTCGCACCAGCTGGAGCCGCGACCCGGCCCTGCCCGCCGAACTCAATGAGAAACCGGCGGTCTCTCCTGAGTCTCTCCCGAGGTCGGCCTGGACCACAGCTCCTGAACTTCAATCTGCCCCCGCAGAAGTCTCTGGGCACACGCGTGCGCACGCATGCGCTTGCCCCGGACCTGACTCCACGCTGGGATCATACCTCACGGGCTTCCCCCACCCAGGGTGCACCGACAGTGGGGTGGGGGAGGGGGAGGGGGAGGAGGGAGGGAGAGGAGAGCGGGGCGAGCCTTCCACCTGCAGTTTGAGGCGGTGGGCTTCGATGGGGATGACCTTCAGAATCGGCAGGTTGACAACCAGCACCTTGGGCTTGCTCTTGACGAGGCAGCCTCGGTCTGTGTCCCAGTCAGCGCCTTCCAGGTACAGCCCCGACACGAAGCAGCCTGGGGAGCCGGAGGCGGCCGGGCTTTACGCAGGGGCACCTGCCACTCGTCTGCGCAACAGCTCTGAGCGGCGTCCACGCCGCACACCCTCTGCGCGGCCCCGCGTCTTCACCGTTAATCCCCCGGAGAGCTCACAGGGGCGCACGCTGGCACTGCGGCTACGTGTCCCCCGACGACGACCCCGGGGCCCCGGGAAGCGGCCGTGCCCAGACAGGGCCGGCACAGCCAGCAACCGCTGTCAAAGGCTTGCGAGGCCGCAGCCGCGCTGAGGGCCCCCCACTCCAGCCCCCTGTCTCTGGCGCCCACGCCGGGGCCCCGTAGGTCTCCAGGGAAGCCGCCCAGCCGTCCAGATGCAGGACAGATCTGCCCCTGACCTGGGAGCCCATTTCCGCACACCAGCGGGCGAGCTCAGTCCAGGCCTCCCCCGACGCTGGCCCAGGTCTCCGAGGAGACAGCCGTGGAGAGAGTGCATGCTCCCTCCGGGAGACGTCGAGACATGGACGGTGCACAGATGCAGCCACGCGGCAGCAGAGGGACCTACAGACCTGGCCTGCCCAGCCCATTCGGTCCGCACGACCTTCACCCCCAGAACCGGGGCGGCTCGGAGGGGCCCGCACGAGAGAGGGGCTGCGGGTCCACGCGGGCCGGCCGTACCTTGCCCTGCCCGCTCGTTCACTTCATCCGCGTCTTGGAACTTGGTCACTTGCGTGAACAAGGTGGAGCGGTCCAGGGGCCAGCCGTTCCTCCGGCAGGTGGCCTGCACCAGGGCCGTGAGGTAGGACTCGGGGATGTGCAGCCCCGAGAGCCACATCACGCCGGGCTCACCCTCGGTGACCTGGAGAGGAGGGAGGGTCAGGGCTGACCAGACCGTGAGTTCACGATTAAAGACGCAGGTCACGCAAGTGGCAAGACGATGGGGCCGGGACACCTGGCGGCCCATTTGGGAAAAGCTACCACGCCCAATTCCAGACGGCGCAAAGATCCGGACGTAAAAAAGTAAAACCGGAGGCACCGGATCAAATGTCCCCTGGGTGTACTCACAGTGACGACCTGGGAGTGCAGACCGTTAAACCCAGAAGTTGTAACAGGAAGGACAGATACGTTTGACCAATTTCCTTGACATGCAAGATCTCTCACAAATCGACTTTAAAAGATGGAGAACTCAGTAAGTATGAAACCAGTAAGCCAAAACACAGTTCCCAGAAACAGCAACATGAAATGTGCCACACACTCGGCCCCACCGGCGCCGAAGAAGCACGTCCAGGCTGCCGGCCGAGATGGCAGTGAAGGTCAACGCAGCACGCATGCCCTCCCGCGGCCACGGCAGAGTCACGGCTGAAGGACGGGGACGCCACCGCGCGGGACCGCTGGGCACCTGGCTGACGGAAGCCCCACAGCCAGAGGGACAGAGCCGCCACGCTGAGACTGGCAGGGGAAGCAGAGACGCAGAGCAGGCTGGTCCCCACCCGCGGGTGGACAAACACCCCGACTGGTGTCCCGGCTGCAGAGGCCCCCGCTGAGGCGCGAGGGGTCCCGGTCCCATACTGGACCCCCCAGTCCAGGGTTCCAGAGCCAGGAAGGGAAGTCCCCATAACTTCCGGCTGTGAAACCCAGCAGGGATGCAGCCGAGTGAGACAGTCCCCAGCAGTAGTCCCCTTTCAAGGGCCCGCACGCAGGCGCACTCGGACCCACTGGCCCTGGGCTCCCGCGCTGGGCAGCGGCCCAGAAGGCCCCAGGGACACTTGGGGGGAGCCGAGCTGTCTGGCGTCAGGGCGCGAGCTGGTCAGGGGCAGCTTTCTGCAGAAAAAAGTGCCGGCTGGCAGAGGCCACTGTTCCTTCCTGAGCCCTCCCCGTGCAGAGCCAGCAGGTGGGTGCCACCTCCGGTCTCTGTCCGTCAGTGTGGCTCGCTCTGTCTGCCCGTCTGCCCAGCCTGAGACCTTGCCCCGCCCACCCGAGCGGTTTCTGGGGGCCTCTCCTTGAGAACGGCCTGCCCTGCATGGAAGTTCAGGCCTTCCTAAAACCTCTCCAGCAAGCGGCATCCGGCCTCAGGGAGCCCCTCAATGCTCACTAAGGGGACCACTCCAAGACACAGCCTACTTAAAATGCAGAGTTAGAGACAAAGAGAGAATCTTAAAAGCAGCAAGAGGAAAGTGAGTCACCTGTGAGAGAGCTCCCACAGACTGTCAGCTGACCTCTCAGAAGAAACCTGGCAGACCAGCAGGGCCGGCAGGGAATACTCAGAGTGACTAAGAGCAGGGACCTGCAGCCGAGCCTGCCCCACCCGGCAAAGCTGTCATTTGGAACCGCAGGGCAGATAAAGAGCTTCCCCGGACGAGAAGAAGCTAAAGGGGTTCATCACCACCAAGCCAGTATCACAAGAAATGTTAAAGGTCTTCTTTAAGGAGAAGAAAAAAAGATAAAAATGTTGAGTAATAGAATGGCAACGAATACATATCTACCGACAACTGAACCTAAAGAACAAGATAAACAGACAAGCACGAGAGAAAGAGACTCACAGACACAGAACACTTTGGTGGCTGCCAGGTGGGAGGGCAGTGGGCAGTGGGGGGCTGGTGAGAAGGGGGAGGACTGGAGAGCGCAGACTTGCTGCGACAGCGACAGCGCGGTCATGAGACGCCCAGGGAGTCCCGCACGGGGAGCCGAGGCGGCGGCACCCCGACAACCAGGCCCGGTGGCTCATGGGCGTAAGATCCATCGGGATGAGCTCTTAGTAAGCCCCACGGTGTCTGATCGCTGGGGTGGACACCTGATACAATGTGGTACGTCAACTGCACTGACCTATGCTAAACCAAGAGTGAAAATGACTTTGAAAGAAGGAGAAATGCACGTCCCGACAACCAGGCACCACTGCTGCCGGCCGGGAGAAGAGGTTCAGCACACTGGGCACACGCAGCGCTGAGGAGACGGGCGACCTCACACACTCGGGTCTCGGCTTCTCCAGAAACCGTCTGACAAGAGCCGCCCGGATCTGAAACCCGCGCACCCTGACCCGCCGCTTCCGTGCGGAGATGACCCGGGGACATACGCGTGTGCACGCCCAAGGCGCACGCCCTGGACTGCTGCCGCTGCTGCTGGCAGAGAGAAAGAAGAGGAAAACCCCACGGTGAGCGCCTCAGTGCCCACCAGTGCCAAGGGCCCGGGGCGCCTGCGAGGTGGAGAACCCCGGAAAGAATGGGGTGGGCCTGGAGGGACCTGGGCGGAACAGTTTCCGAGGCAGGCTCGCCGAGGAGTGCACCGAGCTGCAAGGGGCCCACTCCCACGCCCTCACACCAGGAAAACCAGAAGAGGAGGAGGCAAAGAGACGCAGACGCGCCTGGAGGGGCAGAGACCGTCTCCAGGGCGCTCGGGCAACTGCCAACACAAGCCACAGGGACAGCGGGGGTGGGGGAGGCTGGGAGAGGGTCCGGGCTGCGTGCGAGCCAGCCACTCCCCCTCACCCACGACGTGTACTGGCTGAACCGCTGCAGGAAGTAGAGGATCCAGTTGCCGAGGGACTTGAGGGTGTCCGGGGCGAGCTTTCTCCAGATGTTGGGGATCTGCCCGATGAACAGGGACCTGGCGACGTCGTCCAGCTCGCTGCTCATGCCCACCTCTCCGGCCAGGGCCTGCGGACGCACGGGGAGCGGGCGGGGGTCAGCTCAGGCTCCAGGTCGAGGTGGAGCCCTGCCCGCCGGGGACGCGCTCACCCTCTGCAGCTCGGCCAGGGACCGGGACATGCGCAGGACGAGCTTGTTGAAGCGCTCCAGCTCCTGCAGGAGCACCACCGACGTGGGGGAGATCCCCGTGCCCAGGTGCTTCCTGACCTGGTCCAGGTTGAAGACCTTGGGCATCTTGTTCTCTATGTCCTTGGCCACGAGGCCGATGTAGTCTTCTCGGCTGACGCCACTGCTCGATTCCCCTGAAACCAGGGCACGCGTCGGGGGAGCGCGGCGGCGGGGTGTGGCCTGGGCCCCGAGCCTGGCAGCTCAGGGACAGGCGTCAGCAGCACAGACGCTCTAGGCACCAGCAGCAGCGCTGCAGACCAACGGGCCCCGGCCCCCGGCCCGTGCTCCCAGGCCGGTACCTGTCTGTGGCTGCAGCTCCAGCAGGTGCGCCCACATGTCACGGGCGGCCTGCGTGTAGTAGCCGATCTCCGCGTTGGAGTGGAGCCCGAACACCTCCGGCGTGTTGGCCAGCGGCAGGGCCTCGATGGCCTCTGCAACGAGAGACACCCACGAGGTCCGTGGCGCGCCACCCCCGGTCGCGGAGGGGCCGCCACCCCCACACCCCCGATACACAGGCTGATGCCCTGCTCGGTGACGTGTCTTTGACCAGAATTTGACGCCAGCCTGACCCGTCCAGCTCTACGTCCGTCTGCTGTGAAAACAGCTCGGTGAGCCTCGGGGGCCGCCCTGTCCTTCCGGGCGGAATCCGACAGACTCGCCGTCACCCCAGGGTGGGGAGTCTGAACTGGCTCCATCAGCTCAGGGGCTGGGATGAGCCCCACGGGCTGCTCAGGGGTGTGACGGGCCGCACCTCCCGGCCAAGGGGTCCCTCGGGCGAGGGGACAGAAGGGCCGCCAAGCCGACCACAGAGAACAGAACAGCTGCAATGCATGGACCCCCTTAGAGAAGACTTTTAAAATACTTCTCTGGAGCCCGAGGAGCCTCACCGACGAATCTCTCCTTCATGTCGCCAGCGGGGATCTTGTAGTCCACTTCCCTGTTCCGGAAGAAGTGGAACGGCTGGAAAGTGTCGAAGAGGAAGTCCCCCAGGTACTCGTCCATGTAGATGGTCAGGATGCGCCGGTCGAAGCTGTCGATGGCCCGCCCCCCGTACATGACCTGGGGTGACAAGGGAGCCCACGGCGTGGGACTGGAGAAGCAACCAGAACACCACAACCGAACGGGCCAGTGGCCGCGTCTGTTTCGAGAACTGGGACGTCACTGTTCGGGCCGTGGACCGCCACCGGGGAGCGCAGCAGTCCCGCATGCCCTGCACAGAGGCACGGAACGGGAGCCAGGCTCTGCGACACGCCCAGGGCGCGGCGAGGTGGGCCCTGCCACCTTCGAGGACACCCGCCTCCGGGCGATGAGCCCAGAGCCTGCGTGCGGGTGGGGGTCTCTGAGAACGAGGATGGCGGGGTGACGGGCTGGGTGTCGTGCACAGAGACCCAGGGGCCCAGGCTGCCGGGCAGGAAGAGCGAGAGGGGGGTGGCCCGGGGCTCCAAGATCACGCTCAGGGGCGCCAGGCCGCTCCGGGAGGCAGTGCTCGGAGGCCCTGAGACGCTCCTACCTCTCCGATGAGGTACTTGAGGCTGCCCCAGGGGATCCGGGGGTCACGCTGCTGGAAGGCTTTCGTCAGGTACGTGTTCAGAATCTCCATGCAGACCTTCGAGGCGGAGGGACGGGCTCAGCAGCAACCAGACCCACAGTCCCTCGCACCCTGCCCCTTGGGAAGACTGGGCAGGGCCGCCACCACCGTCGCCCTCGGGGGAGAACGGGCCAGAAGTTTCCCGGAAGCCACGGGAAACTTCTGCATGAACCGCTAGCGGACAGCAGGCCGGGGCGGGCCTCTGGTTAGAGACACAAAGTCCGTGCAGACCAGCCGAGGCTTTCCCTGGGAGGCGCAGCTGCCGCCCAGTTCGGGATGGGGTGACCTCTGAAGAGAGAGGGAGGGCGGAACTGGACGGGGTACCCAGGAGGCTCGAGCCACATCCTCGGGGGCGAGGCCGTGGCCGCACGTTCACCTGGAAGTCGGACTCGTTGAAGTCGTAGTACACGTTCCAGCCGATCTTCCCGAACTTCCTTCTCTCCTGCACCACGGCGTGGAAGAACGCCAGCACATAGACCAGGGGCTTGAACGCGGGGTGAGGGCACTCATCCAGGGTCTCCTGGGAGATCTTAAAGTAGGTCGCCCTCATGTTGAGCTTCAGCCCGTTGGGTGCCTCCGTGACAACCTGTCAGAGGAGGGGACCGAGGGTGACGGAGGCCACGGACCGGCACACCGCTCTGCAGAGCACGGGAAGCGCAGTCTCCCCGGCTGTTGCCGCATCTTTCCGTGGCCGCCTGTCCTTTCCCCGGAAAGCAGCCAAAGCAGCCACCTCTGGTTAAGGGCCCAGCAGACCCTAAGGAGCTGGACGGACGTTCTCAGGAGCATTGCCCCTTGCTCTCGGCTAGTGACCTGGAGGAGGTTCTCCCACCTCTCCCCGAACCGGGGGTCCTCCAGTGTGAAATGAACGTAGTCACATCTGCCCTCTACCGGCCGGAGACAAATGACAGAACCGCTCCAAAAATTCTCTGGGCGGTAAGTTAAACAGGGCGTGTAAGCCACGGGAAACTTCTGCATGAACCGCTAGCGGACAGCAGGCCGGGGCGGGCCTCTGGTTAGAGACACGAAGTCCGTGCAGACCAGCCGAGGCTTTCCCTGGGAGGCGCAGCTGCCGCCCAGTTCGGGGCGGGGTGACCTCTGAAGAGAGGGGGAGGGCGGAACTGGACGGGGTACCCGGGAGGCTCGAGCCACATCCTGGGGTTATTTCTGAGCACGCGTGCATGCACACATGCAAGTGCACAGTCACACATGCACGCACGCACCCCCCCACACACACACGTGTGCACAGGCGTACACAGAGGAATGGCAGTGAGCTGAAGACGGGGCTGTGGGTGCGTCAGGGTCTGTCCTGAAGCCGGACCTTCAAGGACTTCTGCAGAATCCCGATGGGGAAGCCCTTGGTGGGGTCCGTGGTCAGCCACAGGCGGAAGTCCGGGTGGGGCTTGGTGATCCGCTCCAGGGACTTCTCCAGATCCTTCAGCCACTTGACCAGGAGGTGGCAGTTCTGCAGCATCAGCCACTGCCCGCGACCCACCGCCGTCTCCAGCAGCTGCAGAGCCAGCTGCAGCGACGGGAAAGAGGAGCCGGTATCCCGGAGCCCCGGCCCCCCGGGTCCTCCCGGAGACCCACCCTGGCCCCTGCCCGGCAAAGGCCCGCTCCAGCGGGAGCTGCGGAGGGGGCCCTGGAAGGCACAGTGTCCGCACTCCCTCCCTCAGGGTCGCCTGCGTGTGCAGGGCTGGTCGCAGCCTGGGCGGTGAGGGAGCCCTGCGGCCTCCCCCGTGGCCTCCCCCAGCCCCGAAAGCTCCCACTCCTCCCCCCACACAGTCACACCTGCTCCCCGACCACTTCCTCGGCCCGGCCCCCTGGGCGCTGACCACCCCGATCCACAGCCGGGGAGGGGCTGCAGGGGTGGGAGGAGCTGGCTGTGTGTGAGAGGGCTTCAGGGAGAACAGCACCCACTGCCCGCGCGCGCGCGGGGCAGCCACCGGGTCTGGAGCGGGTCTGGAGCGACGCTCTCCCTACAGCGCCGTCGTCCTGGCACCCGGCAGCTGCTCCGGCTCTCGTGGGGTGTGGCCGACTCGCCCAACACCGGGTCAGCTCTTTCCTCAGAGGCCAGGGACACTGCCCGTCTAAGAGCCGTTCCTTCCAGCAACAACTCACCTTATCTTGGCCTTGGCCCATGGCGAGGAACTTGAGGCGGTTTCCCCCAAACCCACTGCGCTCAGCGAGCTTCATGAGGTCGCTGGCGGGGTCGGAGCCGGGGCTCAGGATGAACACGATGGGCGAGTTGGGGGTGCTCTGCTCGAAGATGGCCTCGAAGCTGATCATCGGGGGCTGCACGTACCTGGCGGGAGGACGCGCGGCCGGAGCACTCTCCCACGTCCGCCCCCTGGGCCCACCCCTCTGCCGGGGCTCCCGCGCAGCCCACCCGGCCAGAGGGTCCACTCGCCACACAAGCTGGATGCGGCGCACCGGGCCCTCCCTGCCCCCCACCGGCACAGCCGTGTGGGTCTGCGTGGGGCCGGGGCCTCCTGACGGAGCCCCCCTCGGCCGGCCTCCCAGGGGACGTCCCCTTGGCACCAGACCCCGGGGTTCCGCAGTGACCTCGGCGCAGGCCGGTTCTCAAGGGCTCCCATCTTGAGATTTCAAAAAATTAGCTTCCGACATACAAGGATGGGGAGAAACCTAAACTTCTAGCTCCTTTTGAAGAGTCAGAGGACCTGGGCCCGCACTGCCACCTGGTATCAGTCGGCGGGAGTTGAGGGGCCGCCGACCGGGACCTGACCTCCCCCCCAGTCGGCACAGCCCCCGCCCGGCCCCACACACTCATCTCCACCGCCTGTCCGCCGCCAGGCCACATCTGAGCTGCAGCGCCTGGCGTGGCAGGCACGAGGCGCCGTGGCCGCTGGCACCTGAAGCGTGGCCGTCCACACCGAGACAAGCCCAGGTGCGAGTCCACGCAGGGTTTTAAGTCCTCCATCCCAAAGAAACGCACATGATGTCTCACGGACCCCGTGTTGAGACAGGACGTTAATACGGGAGCTTCCACACTGGGTCTCCCCAGACCGGCGCTGCTCTGGGGTGGCCACCGAACAGCTCTGACGGGCGGCTCCCCCGGAGCTGGCCACACCGCCCCCCTCCGACCCGCCGTCGGGGCTCGAGGCAGGGACGGCCCCACAGAAAGGGCTGGGCAGTGCGGCCACCGCACTCACTTCTCGCCCATCGTCACAGTCACGTAGTCGGTCACCGCCCGGTAGACCCGGTCCACGCGGAAACAGCGCAGGATCAGCAGCTTCTGGAAGGCGGTGATGTTGCGGTCGTAGCCCAGGGGGAAGGGAAACTGCTCCAGCGAGTCCAGGTCGTACCACTGGGGAGGACGAGGCGCGGCCGAGGTGGCGTTGGCGGTGTGGACAGGCTGCACAGGCCCCGTCCTCGTGCGCCGGTCCCAAGGCCACGGTCAAGGGGGGAGTCTGGGAGCGTGACCACCAAGGCCGCTTCTCACCAGACCCAGCGTTTCCTCCCCCAAACCGCACACCCCAGGAAAGGGGGCGCTGAACCGTGTTCACCCCCGAGACCCCCAGAGCCCGTCAGGGACGTGCCCTTGGTGGACGCTCAGTGAGTGTTTCTTGGACGCTGGAGGGATGAGTGGATGGAGGGACAGATGCATGGATGGACGGACGGAGAGACAGATGGATGGACAGAAGGATGGATGGTGGATGGACGGGAGGACAGCGGTTCTCCCAGGAAGTTAGCTGACCCAGCACATGAGGAAGAACTCTGCCCAGGGAATCAGAGGGCCCTGGTTCCGCTGGGAGCGGCCCACTCGGAGAGACGCCCCGCAGGCACGCACGAGGAGCCGGGTGCAAGCTCAGTCCGGGGAGGCGACGTGCAGGGAGGCAGGGGAGGGGCCGAGCAGGAGCTCACCTCCTGCCAGATGGTGGGGTGCTTCTCGATGTCCTCGGGCAGGCGCCCGAAGCGGTCTGCGAACGCCTCCGACAGGAGCATGATGTCCTCCCAGCCCTGGTCGGACAGCCACGTGCAGGGCTTCTTCCGCCGGCTCCTCTCCAGGGAGATGTTTCCTGGTCGCGAGGGCGGCGGCGGGAGCAGGCTCAGCGGGCAGCACTAACTCCCACGGTGGGTGGGGGGGGGCGGCAGATCTGTGCCCGGACCTCCCTCCCTCCCGGGGCAAACCCACCACAGAAAGGGGGCGTGGCCTCCCTGTCACCACTGGTGACCCCTGCCGGCCCCCTCGACGGCTGCCAGCTCTGGGGGCACCTTCAGGCGGAGAGCGGCGGCGCCACGCCAAACCAGAACCAGAACCAGAACCAGAACCAGAGCCGTCTGTGAGGCTGGGACTGCCCACTGAAACCTTCAGTGACCAGCACGACGGAAAGCCGATTCCGAGGAGAGTCTGTTGTGGTCGTGTTCGTGAAAGCAATGTGTACCCGTGTGAATGAAAGGAGATGCTTTCCTTACTTTTCTTTTCTAGGGGATCCAGCACCTCTGTTTTCCTTTATCTCAAAAATGCTATGGGCCCTGGCTGGTGTGGCTCAGTGGGTTAAGTGCGGGCTGTGAACCGAAAGATCTCGGGTTTGACCCCCGGTCAGGGCACAGGCCTGGGCTGTGGAGCCAAGTCCCCAGCAGGGGGCGTGCGAGAGGCAAGTGACGGATGTATCTCCCGCACAGATGTGTCTCTCCCCTCTAAAAGTAAATTAAGAAGAGCCATGGATTTCCAGGCCAAAAAGTACCCGAAATGCCATCAAAAGTAGCTCCTCTCTACCCTCCTAGGCCACCAGCCACGCCACAAACTCCTTAGGGCACAATCAGGTTTTGACTTTTTCTGTACTGAACCAAGGACACTTAGAACACGCTGGGTGGATACACTCTCAGCCCCAACCACACATCCCAGGACTCTCGCCAGGGCACAGAGGAGGGGCCCCAAGCGAAGACCAGAGGTGCATTTCCCACCGAGGGACCACTCAGCAGCTCACACCACTTGGAACAGCCTGAAATGGACTGGAGGCAGGCAGGGCAAAGGAAAGACGTCTTTAGAATTCCTGGCCCGCAAACCCTCCACCCCACGCGAACTACACATCACAGGAGAGCTGCTGTCAGAAGGAGGTCCCAAAGCTCAGCAGCAGGAGGGAAGGGGCCCATGCAGGCAGCACCAGATCAGAGGCCGCGCCAGCTAGCAGGGTGGCAGAGTCAGCGATGCCTGCCTTTGCACCAGCGGCTGTGTCTAGGACAACGCCATCCACCGTGCACACAGGAGACCCGGAGGGGGTGGAGTGGAGGCACCGGAATCGCTTTCCTTACCTTTTAAGAAGAAATCTAATTCCTCCTGGGGGACTCGCCCTTCTCCTTGCTCTATCTTGATCGTCATATTGAAAGAAAAGAGTAACTTGTGTCTCTCAAACAACCCTGGGGAAAAACGGCGGGTGGATATTGATTTAGAAAATGTGCTTTTATCACTGCGTTTCTTATGCACGATGTGATGTGCTCATGCACAGGAGAGAACTGTGACGGGACGAGGGACAGGGCTGCGGAGGGAGGGAGGTGGGCGGGGAGCGGGGCGGGGTGGGGGACACGGAGACAGCTGTGCCGGAACAACAGCAAGAAAAGAAAAGGGAGGAAAGTAACAAAATGCCCAGATGGCGCGGCCGCACCTCGCCCTCCCTGGGCTGGGTTCACAGGCCCCGCCCCCCACGCTGGCTGTGTTCCAGTGACACTTGGGTTGTGAAGGCAGGCGGCGGCCGGGCGGCCCGTGGGCCGTGGCTGCGGATCTCTGGCGCAGAGGCCGTGCACCCCGCCCACAGGAGGACGCGCACGCTGGAGTCCTTTCTGACGGGTTCCCGGGACAGCTGCCGTCTGAGCCCAAGTCAGAGGCCCAAACTCCCCTTCGCCTGTGTGAGGAGGGTCGGCCACCCGAGGGCGCCCTACAGGGACAACAGTCCTCAACCAGTTTCCCGACCGCCTGGTGCAGCCGGGTGCAGCCGGGGTCGGCTGGGTGCTGACCGCCTCCCAGCCCTGTCGGGGGAGCCCCGAGCCAGGGGCCCGGGGTGTGGCTGCGGCTGGAGACAGAGCCTCTGAGGAGGCGGGGAAGCCGAAGGGAGGCCGTGGGCGGGGCCCAGCCCCACCTGGCGTTCGGGCGCGGACACCCGAGGTGCACACAGGGCCCCCTGTCCCAGTCGCTCACCCGTGCAGCCGTAGTTATAGATGTTGAAGGTCAGCGTGTCCATTATGTTCTTCAGCCGCTTAATGAGGATGGAGTCCGGCAGCGACTTCTTCAGCGACAGCCCGAACACCTCCAGGAAGGCGCTCAGGGAGTACTGGTACATGGCGTTCACCAGGGCCATCTCCGACAGCACGAAGAACAGGACGGCGCCCCGCCGCGCGGCCGGCCGGTAGCCGTCCCGCAGCCTGTCGATGTCCAGGGCAGTCTTCTCCGCCAGCTTGAGCTTCTCTGACACCTGAGGGGAAAGTGCGTGTTGCCAAGGGAGCGAGGAGCCTCACGCCCGTAACCACGGGGACTGCGAAGTGGGTGAGAGAGTAAGAGGCAGGGGAGGGAATCGGGGCCGCCAGAAAACCCCAGCAGTGCCCCAGGGGCGACCAGGGCACCCACCCCCTCCCGAGACGTGATGGACGTTAGTGGCTTGGTTTCCCTGCCCTCTTTTCTAGTAACAGTCTCTGAATTTTACTTGGGGAGTCACAGCTTTCCCGTCTCGTCCCATCTGTGGGACCCCGCCCCAGCCGCGGGAGAGGAGCATGTGCCTGAGGCCCGGCCAGTCCACACAGTCCTTCCCCAGGCCAGCCCCAGGCCACGGGCCTGGTTTGGGGTAAGCGTGTGACTTAAACGCCTCTCAGAACCTTCGTGATAGGGACAGGTAAAGACTCTCACCCTTCCCTTGGGACTTGAACCTGAAAGGACATGAGGCCAGACCCATCCTGAGACCACAAGGGGAGTTTAGCTCCACAGGGAGGCAGAGGACAAAGCCAACAGAAGGCCCAGCCCAGGAGTGGAGAGAAACCCAGTCTTGATGACATGCCTGAAGTCTTGGGTCTGGAGTCCTGGATGCAGCCCTACCTGAAGCCTTCATAGACCTTTCTGTTTACTAAGCTGATAAATTCCCTTTTGACTTAAGCCAAGCAGGGCTGGACTTCCCATTACTCTCAACTGAAAGAGGCTGACCTACTGCACAAGGGGCCCTGGGTCCCCTTCAGGATGACCCTCCCCAGAGCACGCCCCAGTGGAAGGGCCAGTTCTCATCAGGTAGACCCTCGGTAGCCCGAAGCCTGGGCCCAACGAGAGAGCAGGGTGATGTCCTCCCACCCCCAAAGCCTCCGATTCTAGGACCTGGGACCTCGAATGAGGCCCTGAGGTCAGGGAGTCCAGCTCTCCCCTCAGACTGAATGCGTCTCCTGAGCGGCCGGTACCTCTGTGGCCTTGGACTTGGTCTCCTCCAGGGTCTGCACCAGCTCCACGTTGTCCAGCATGTTCCCCGTGGAGGTGGCCAGCTCGCGAAGGAGCGAGTCCTCCAGATCCTTCAGCAGGTTCTTGTTCTCGCTCGTCTCCTGGATGAGGTGCTCCCGCTGCTCCTCCAGCTCGTGCCGCTCGAAGGCCACCAGCACGCTCAGCAGCTGGTCCTCCAGGCCCTTCAGCGTGACTGCAGGGGAGCAGGGCGGCCCTCACTGCACCGTCCCCCCGTGAGCCTGCCCCCGTGTCTTCTCGCCGGCGCAGCTGTGCCGGGGGCAGGCCGAGGGCAGGCGCAAGCCAGCATCTCAGCGATACGGAGACTCACGCTCCGGACATAATCACTCTGAAGCCACAAGGCGATCGAATGTCAGAATGAAATGGAGACGCCGCCCTACAGAGGGGCGGGCAGAGTGCAGACGCGCTCCATAAAACCCCAGTGGGAAGCACTGCCGCACCTAGCCAACCTGTCTGAGACCCTGCGTGACGACCCTGGGAGATTCAAGACGTGGTGTGCGGCCCCTCACAGAGCTCAGCCACGCAGCGTGTGCACGCACACGGCCCACTTCCTGCCCTGCCTGTGGGGTCTCGCCTCTTCCCAGTGTGGACATCTGAGCCTCGGTCCCACCCGGCCACCTCAAGGCTCAGAACGCGTCACCATCCCAGGTGTCACTGGGTCGTTAAGAACTGAGCGGCTCAGATGTGACAGAGAGGAGGCGGCGGGCCACTGGATAAAAGGGCGACCTGGGAGAGCCTCGGCCGCAGACCACAGCCCCCATGGCAACCCCCTGGCCGGGCACCGCGGCGCGGAGGCCCTCACCGGTGTAGTTGATGACCATGGCCTTCCCGAACACGGACGGCGTGTATCGGGGGTTGGCCAGCTTGGTGGTCAGGTAGAGTCGGAAGTTGGAGTCGTAGTCCACCTCCTTGTCGCCCAGGATGATGAACTGCCGCCCCTGGGAGACCTTGATGTTCTTCTCCAGGACGTTGTCGATCACGGGGTCGATGTACTCGTCCACGTCGTGGAACAGGAAGGGCGTCCCGTACTTGATGGACATCTCCAGCTGCTTGAGGAAGTCGGGGTCGTTGAAGGAAGCAACCTGGGGGACGGGGGGCAGAGGCGCGGGGTCAGCCCCCTGCCCGGTGTGAGGCGAGGAGTGGGGGTGGACCCAGAGCCTGGAAGACGGCCAGAGAGGGGGAGAGGCCGGGCGCGTGACCCGCGAGAACCCAGAAGGCCCCCAGGCTCAGGCTCAGCCTCCCACTCCAAACGCAGAGTCCGGCAGGGAAGAGCGATCACCTCCCTCCGGAGGGAGGGTTTTGTTACGTCTCCCGCAGGACGGCAATGGGGCCCCAGCCCAGAGCCCACGGAAACCTGCGTTTTCATCCCCTTTCCTCTTCCGTTCCCCTCTCTGAACCAACCCTCAGGTCTGCCTCGGTCTAGATCCTCAGAGCACGCGGAGACGCCTCCTCCCCGTGCCGGCCCGCTGGCACGCCCCCCTCCTCGGCTGCGCCCCCTCCTACTGCGCGGGCCTAGCCTCTCCCCGCGGGACCCGAACCCGCCCTCTTTGAGGCAGAACGGGGCAGCAGCGGCAGCGGCAGCGGCAGCAGCAGGACGGGGGCCGGCAGCGGGCGGCCGCCTCGAGGCCCTGGCAGGCTGAGGGAGGAGGGCCGCTGGGCAGCGCGGCCGCACACGGGAGGACGCGCGTCCCGGTCTGTGGCTCCCCCGAGCTGCGCGGCCGGCGCTCCCCTGACCACACACACAAGCAGTTTGGCCCTGGCCGCAGGTACGTCCCGGACAACAGGGACGGGAAAAAAGGGCAGAGGTAAAGCTCGAGATCGTGGATTTGCTGATCCCTTCAGCCCAGAGGTCGGACTCCGGCCACCTCGCCCGAGGAAACATGAAAACGTGCCCACAAGACGGCGTGGGCTCGAGCGTTCTCGCACTCTTCACAGCAGCTGAGAGGCGGAAACACACCACGTGCCCGTCAGCGGGTGGACAGACAGACGTGGTCCGTCCACGCAAGGGAGCCGAGTCAGCTGTGAGCAGGAACGCAGCACTGACTCCTGCTGCGCGGTGCGCGTGAACGTAAACACGCGGCGCCGAGTGGGAGACGCCGGACACGGAAGGCCGCACGGGGCGTGACCCCACCGCACCGAGGCCGGGAACAGGCAGGCAGACGGGCACGGTCAGAAGGCCCGTCGGTTGGCGAGCGCCAGCGGCTGGGGATAGGGAGGAGCTGGGGGAAGGGTGGTGGCGGCTGAGGGACACCGCATCCCCTCGGGGTGGCAGACCTGACCCGGGTCGCTCCGTGAGTAGTGACTCAGCCAAGCCCTCCCCCACTCCCTCCCAGAACAAAGCGACTGAACACCCAAGGCCTCCGAGCCCCGCGCTGCAGGGACACGAAGATGAGCAAAGCGCAGCCTCCGCCCCCGAGTTGCTCGCAGCCTGAGGGCTGTGCAGAGCGAAGCCAGGGGACCGTCCTGCCCTCCAGACTTGACTAAGGGGCAGGGGGGCTCCGCCTGGGGCTCAGAGCAGTGGCATCTGAGCTGGGCGTAGCCAGAGGTGGGGGTGTGGGTGGGGGGTGCCTGGGGGGAGAGGAGGCGGGGAGCCAGGCCGAGGCCCGAGCAGGGCCAGGAGGGCAGCGGGGGCCAAGGGGGCCGGCATACCCGCAGGTTGTTTTTCTCCTCCTTCCTCTTGATCCAGCTGAGGGCCTGCTGCTGCGGGTCGATGCACAGCGGGAAGCGGCTGGCCCGGGTGGTGAGGATGCCGTTCTGAATGGAGAGCTCATCGGGGGGCAGTCCCTGGGAGCCCCACCTGGAAGGGACAGTGGCAGGAAAACCCACTTTTCTTGCCCAGTTGTGAACCAAGGGTCGAGGGGGGCGGGGTCAGCCTTCCCCAACAATCCACCCATCCTGGAAACTGCTCCACCACCCTCCGAGTCCGGGAGCTGGATTCGCAGCACACCCGCTGCTACCCGCCCCCCGGCTGGGGACCGCACACACCTGCTGACCTCCACGTCGTCCGTGAGCAGGCTCTCCAGCCGAAAAGGCAGGCTCAGGGGGATCTCCCGCTCCAGGATGTCCTTCTGCCAGACCTCCCGGACCATCTCGCTGCGGAAGTCCCAGGTGAAGGCGCCCTGGTAGCTCAGGAACGCCGCGCAGAGCAGGCAGTCCCCCAGCAGCTTCACCCGCCGGTGCATCAGCTCGCCCAGGTCCTTCAGCCACCTGGCGCAGGACAGGGGGGCTGCAGTGAGCAGTCACCTTCCGGCACCGTCTGAAGGAACATTCTAGAAGAACCGGCCTGACCCACTGCTAATGGGGCGAGCCAGAAAAAAGATTTTCTTTTCTGTTACAGATTGCCAACTCACTTTGCCACTTCCCTTCCTACACACTTAATGTTCTAAAAAGCTTTGCTCAATTCCAAGGCCCAGCGGAACCCGGCCCCGAACAGGGGCCTTGATGGATGTCCGTGGGACGCGCTTCGTCTCCGAGCTCTCTGGGGAGCGGTGACCGTGTTGCTTCCGAACACTCCACCAGGACTCACGGACACGGCCGGTGGGGCGCGTGCGCTCTGGCCCGGCCAGGCGGCGCAGAACCGCCTGCAGCGGGAGCGCTGTCCCTTTGGCCTCTTCTGGGACACGGCCAAGGTCCTCTGGGTTTTGCAAACAGGGACCGTGTGCGCTTCCCACGAGCAGCAGTGCCCCAGCGTTTCTGCACCGCGTTCGCAGGCACTGCATTAGAAACTGCTGTCCCCCCCAGTGGGCCGGCTGCGACCACGCGGCCCCGCCCCGAAGCATCGGACAGCCCCGCCCACTCGGGGGCGCAGCTCCGGGCTGACAGGGCGCAAGGGCACAGAGTGGCCTCCCCTCCAGACCCACCCAGAGAGGACTCGGGGCCCTGAGAAGTAGCCACCCCCGGGACGGGGGCACCTCACAGGAGGCGCCGGTTTCTCCCTGTCTCCACAGCGGGTCTGCCTCCGTAACCCACAAGAGTCACTGGATAAACAGCACTCCACAGCGAGCAGAACGGCCATCTGCAGGCGGCCGCTGCCCCTTCTCCACCACAGCGGCAGCCGGGGAGTCGAACTTTCTCACGCGTTTTCAGAGGGAGACGCAGCGCAGACTCGGCCCAGAGCCCCGGCCGGCCCAGGGCCCCGCTGACCTGACGTTCTCAGAGCCCAGGCCAGAGATGAGCTTGTCGGCCGCGATCAGCCGCCGCTCCATGATTTCGGCCTCTTCCTGAAGCTTCTGCTTCTCCAGGATGGCCGCCTCGTACTTGGCCCCCAGCGCTTCCAGCTCCCTCTGGATCGCCGCCAGCTCGTTCTGGATCTTGTCCAGCTCGCGCTTCGTGAGGTAGAAGGTCCGCTCCAGCCTGGCCACCTGGGTGAGGAGGATTGGCAGGCGGTCAGGGGCAGGCTCACCGAGCGAGCGCTCTGAGCAGTGGAGTTCTGCGTGACGACGCGACATCAGACAGTGGCTCGCGGCGGCAGCCCCAGCCCCGGCCTGCGAGTGCTCTCTGAGCTGTGGGTTCGGCGTGCCACTCCGACCCAGCGGTTCTCCGCTCGGGGCCACCTGCCCCCAGGGGATACGGGACGATGTCTGGAGACCGTGTCAGTCGTTGGAGCTTGGGGGCAGGGACGGCGGCACTGGAGGGCAAAGGCCCGGATGCCGAGCTGCGGGGCGGAGGACAGCGCCCTCGACCACTCCACCCTCGACCCCGCTGCCCAGCCCCACTGGCCGAGACCCCTGCGCGGCCCCCAGCGACGACCCTGAGCGTCTCTCACCCTGCTCCCTCCCACAAAACTGGGATGCCTGCGGCCCCAGCTGCCGTCAGTCCCCGAGACGGTGACGTCCAAACGAGGGCTGTGACCCACAGGGACGTCGCCTACCAGGACAGAACCGTCCGTGGGCTTCAAACCGCAACCTTGCCGGAGTCCCTCCAGCACAGCGAGGACACGTGAGCACGCAGCCCAAGGCGGCCCGCGTCCCACAGGCAGGCAGTACCTTCTCTCTCTTGGGCTTGATCTCCTTGAACACGTCGCAGTAGCCCATCACGGCCTCGACGAACTTCAGCATGCCCAGGCCCGCCTTGCTCACGGCTTCCATCTCCTCGGTCGTGGTGTTGAGGTTCTTCAGGAGACCTGCAGGCCGAAGACAGGTGACCGGGGTGGGCGGCAAGCCCCGTCTAGGGGAGCAGAGCGGGGAGTGAGCTGCCCGGGGACGAGCTGAGGGCAGCCGGTCCCTCGGTCCTCGGTCCTCGGCCCCCGGGAGCGGGCCGTGGACAGCCGCCCCGTGGACACTGGGGTGGGCCCAGCCCCGGGTGAGTCCTGTGTAAGAGGACGCTTCAGAGGGGGGCGAGGGCACAGGCCACTGCCGCCCAGAGCATCCTGTGACCCAGGTGCTTCCGCAGGACAACCAGCAGTCCCGGGGCACCTGGGGGGTCAGTGAGGGCCCCCCACCAGGCAGCAAGGTGGCTCAGGGCAGGGAGCTGGCTGGGACCCGTAGGCCACTACAGGTCCCGCCGCCTCCCCCCGCCCCCTCAGGCCCGGAGCAACTTCACACTGAGCCAGTGCTCGGGTGGAGACGGTTCCTTGGGCTTTTGTGGTGGCTTCGACCCCTTGTGCTTCCTTCGCTTGTGTTTTCAAGGGGCTGCACACGGACACTGGACAGCACGGCTCCAAGCAAACGTCGGGGTGGGCAGTGACGCCACAAACCCGAGCCGGCTCTCGCAAAGACCCTCGGCGTCCTCCCGGCTCAGCGCCCGGGCAGGACAGGCTCCAGGTGGAAAGGGGGTGTGGGCACCCCGTGACTGGAGGCGGAGGGGCTGGCCGGGGCGGTGCTGTCCCCTCCCCCGCATCCTCCCCGGGGAACCTGCAGAAGACTTGACACTGGCGAGAAGCCAGGAGGAGGAGCCGAGGGTGAGAGCAACTCTGGGCACCTCGGTGCCTGTCAGACAAGACGCTCAGAAGACGGGGCTGGTTCGAGCTCCACGGGACGGCCCGGCCTCCTCCCAAGGAGAACCAGAGCAACTGGGGAGCTGAGCATGCGGGCCAGCCAGGGTCCACCCTCCTGGTTCACGGGACACTGCCCCCATCGTCCTCTGGGGACCAACATCCCACCCCCTCCACCCACAGGGCCACCATGCGGCTGCCGGGAGGGCCTGCCGCCCCCACCCCGGAGACGGACGTGCCCGGGCAAGAACCACCCTGGCCCTCCCCACGTTCCTCTGCACTCACTTCTGATATTTTTAACCTGGCCCTGGGTGATCGAGTCAAAGTCGATCTCCATCAGCGACCGCAGGAAGTTCGGGTCAGACATCATGCCCTTGGCGGTCTTCCAGTTGAGCTCCTTGTAGCCCTTCATGATGAGGATGCACTCGCACACCGTCTGCACCTGCTTCGGGGGCTTGGCGAAGGACCTGGCGAGACACGGGGGCACCAGGTGTGGCCAGGGCTGGGCCCGAGCACGGGCCCCAGCCAACACACCTCGGCCCGGAGCGCGGCCGTGGAGGCGATGTCACGTGGCAGCAAAGGGAGCCACGTCCCAACTGACACTTGGGCTCCTGGGGGCGAGCTTCTCCAAGGACGGATCGGGGGTCTCGCCCACTGGGTGCCAGCCCAGGCTCCCTGAAGCGGCCTGGGCACCAGAATCGGAGCAGGGGGGTCAGGAGAATGCAAGCCCAGGTCACCACCGAGGGTGTCCCAATCAGTAGGTCAGGGTGCAGCCAGAGGATCTGTGTTTTTTTCTTTTAAAGATTTTATTTATTCTTAGAGAGAGGGTAAGGGAAGGAGAAAGAGAGGGAAAGAAACACCGATCAATTGCCTCTCACTCACCCCCAAGCAGAGGCCTGGCCCACAACCCAGGCATGTGCCCTGACCGGGAATTGAACCGGCGACTTCTCAGTTTTGCAGGATAATGCTCCACCAACTAAGTCACACCAGTTGGGGCAGAATCTGCATTTCTAATTACACGCTGAGGTGACTCCTCAGACTCAGTGGGAGCCAATGTCAGTACCGCCATCACCGCCACCACGACCACCACCACCACCATGACCATGACCATCACCATGACCATCACCACCACCATGACCATGACCATCACCATGACCATCACCATGACCATGACCACCACCACCACCATGACCACCACCATGACCACCACCATGACCACCACCACCATGACCACCACCACCACCATGACCATGACCATGACCACGACCACCACCATGACCACCACCACGACCATCACCACCACCACCACCATGACCACCACCACGACCATCACCACCACCACCACCATGACCATCACCACGACCATCACCACCACCACCACCATGACCATCACCACGACCATCACCACCATGACCATCACCACGACCATCACCACCACCACCATGACCATGACCACCACCATGGCCACCACCATGACCACCACCATCACCATGACCACCACCATGACCATCACCATGACCATGACCATGACCACCACCACCACCATGACCACGACCATGACCACCACCATGACCATCTCCACCACCATGACCACGACCACCACCATGACCATCACCATGACCATGACCACCACCACCACCATGACCATCACCACGACCATCACCACCATCACCACCACCATCACCACGACCATCACCACCATCACCACCACCACCATGACCATCACCACCACCATGACCATGACCATCACCACCACCACCATGACCATCACCACCACCATGACCATGACCATGACCATGACCACCACCATGACCATGACCACCTCCACTGGCCTCTTCTCCGTTTCCCAGAGGCAGACCGGGGCCCCGTGCGCGGGGCCAGGGGTGCCCACATCCTAGTCTCCTTGAGGGCTCGGTGGCCCCTTCCCTGTTTCCTTTGTCTTGATGGGACCAGACTGTCCCTGTGCCCTGCCACTCTGTGCACAGTGCTCTTGACCCTCTGGGCACTGGAGGCCCAAAGGCCCAGAGGGGCTGCTTCTGGGTGAGGCGGAGCACGCCACAAGCTGTGAAGACACCAAAGCTGTGAAGAGGCGGAAGCCGAAGGAAAATGACGAAGAAAGGGCAAAGGAAAGGGGAAGGAGAGCAGGAGCCGGTAGGGTCACGGCCGTCGTCCCTGGGGCCAGCTGTCGGGGGGTGAGGGAGAGTGGGGAGGGGGGTGGAAGTGGGGGAGAGAGAGCCCCCACCCACGTCCCCGCAGACGAGAGAACGTCCAGTCCCTGAACACTCCACGGGGACAAACACCGCGGGGAGTAAGCCTGCAGCCCGGACCCGGAGTCTCTCCCAGGAGACCCGGCTGTGCGGCCAGAGGACAGAACCCTTCGGAAAATGAGGACGCGACAAAGAGTGAGGGACGGAGAGAGCTGAGGTCCCTAAGCCAGGGTGACGAGTGTGGGGCCAGGCAGCCCAAGGACAGCAGACAGGCGGGCGAGACGATGTTTATTCCTGGCTTCACTCTCGGTGCTGACTTTACCAGCGGGACCCTGTTAACGGCGAACCCGCCCTGCACCCGCCCCTCTCCCTGACAGCAGGCGGAGACGTCTTCCAGACTGACTTGCAAAACGTCTGGGCCACAGTGAAGGCCTGTCCTCCCTGCTGTGGGCAGGCCCCTCCGGCTGGTAAGGGATTAGAGCGTCTCCCACAGTCCCAGGGTCCCTCGGTCCCTCGGTGGGGACAGCTCCGCCACACTGTGTCCAGCGGGGTGCCGGCCCAGCCTGGAGTGTCTTCCCATCAAGAGGACCGATTTATGAAGCTCCACCTCTCCCACACAGCCCGTTCTGTGAGTCGGCCTGGGTGCAAGGTCAGCAGGCCCCGCAACCTACCAGCTGGGGACCGAGGGCAAGCCACCTCACCTCCCCGGGCCCCACCTCCCTCACCTGCAAACGAAGGTAATGACAGTCCCCACCACAGTGGCACCACAGTTACCATAACTACTTTCAGGAGGGGTGCTGGGGACAAGCCGAGCTGGGGACCAGCCCAGCTGGGGACTGCCATCGATACCTGATCTCGGTCACATCCGACTTGTCCAGCTTCTGCAGCTCCAGCTTGGCGGCCTCCAGGATGGGCATGACCTCGGCAAGGGCCGTCTCGGCCTCGGCCTTCTCCACGGCGATGATCTTGTTCTGCTCCTCGATGTCTATGGCCTTCTCCTCCGCCAGCTTCTTCTTCTCCTCCGCTGTGCGAGGAGGGGGCAGTCAGCGAGGCTGCTGGGCGTGGGCAGGACAGGCCACCACTGTGGGGGCAAGCCATGCACAGCCCTCGGTCCTCACTGGGCCACGGGGGGTCTAATGAGCCCTGGCCAGCCCAGTGCCCCAGGGCTCCACTGGCAGGGGAGTCCTTTCCATGCCCTGGGGCTCCCACCGGGACAGCTGCCCCCGACTCTGACCCTCTCACCCATGTCCCGCCCCCTCCATCCCACGTGACATCCCCCAGGCCTGCTGGGCCAGTGCTGGATGAGGACGCCAGGCCACCCTCCGTGTTTCTGGCTCACTGAGCTCTCTCTGCCTTTCCGTCACCTTTTCCTACGTGCATTCGGGCCCAGCTCAAAACGCCACGCTGCCCCCCGAGTGGCCTGGCCCTCTGCTCCTCTCAGCCTCATCACCCTGTGTACGCGCCTCACAACGCCGACCCCGATCCGAAACCTCGCCACCTCATTGGCTCGCTGGCCCCGCTCACTAGAACACAAGCACCTCCAGGGGCTGTAACTCCAACATTCAGGACAGGGCGTGACCAACAGGAGATGCACTGCATTGAATAACGGTCCCCCAAAGTTCAAGTCCGCCTATAACCTCAGGGCATTGCCTTGTTTGGAAGCGTCTTTGCAGTGTAGTCAACAGGAGGCCGTGTGGGGTCAGGGTGGGCCCTTAATCTAGCAACTGTGTCTTCATGAGATGGCCACGCGAGGACACAGAGACACAGCGGGAAGAAGGAAGGTCACGTGACGAGGGAGGCAGCGGCTGGAGCGACGCATCCGCGAGCCCAAGAGCGCCCAGGGCTGCCGGCCGCGGCGGAGGCTGGGGGTGCGGCCGAGCCCCACCTGGAGCCCGGGGTGGAGGCCCGGCTCTGCCGACAGCGCCCTTCCAGGCGTCTGGCCACCGCAGCCGTGAGGGAGTAACTTTCTGTGTGGCCGCGTGTGTGGCGCTTCGTCGCGGCCGCCTCAGGAAACACCTTCGGCGGTATGCGACAGACGCACGCGGGCCTCACTGGCGTCGCCCGCCTGACACTAACTTAGGAAAACATGGCAGTCGAAGGGTCAGAAGTGTCGCCCCCGCCCCCCCCCAGCAGAGCCCCGCCCCGCCGCTCACCTGTGGCCGTGTTGGTGGCGATCTCGTCCAGCAGGGTCTCACAGGCGGCAGACTTCTCGGCCAGCACGATCTTCTGCTCCGCCAGCTTCCGGTTCAGCTCGTCCAGCTGGATGGTGGCCTCCTTCAGCTTGTCCAGCCCCCCCTCCAGACGCTTGCACTGAGCTGAGGGAAGAGGACGCCGGCACCCACCACCACGGTGGGCGCTGGGCCCGGCACACCCAGCAGCCGCGCCGCCGTTCCTCCCCCCGGGCTCACGGGGGAAAAGTCCCTCTCGGCACCTCTACTGCCCCGTGGGATGGCACTAGCCAACACGCATCTCTTTCTTTTTTAATCTGTTTTAAAGATTTTGTTTACCTATTTTTAGAGAGGAGAAGGGAAGGAGAAAGAGAGGAAAACATCCATGTGTGGTTGCCCCTTGTGCGCCCCCCACTGGGGACCTGGCCCGCAACCCAGGCATGAGCCGACTGGGAATCGAACTGGCCACCCTTTGCTTCGCAGGCCGGTGCTCGGTCCACTGAGCCACACCGGCCAAGGCCAAAATGAATCTCTTTCTGTAAACACCCCTTAATGTGGCCAAGAGCCAGAGCATTTTTAAAAAGCATTTTCCAACAAAAAGCTATGAAAGGATTTAAACCAGAATTTAGAGATTATCTATGTCTATGACAAAATTTTAGAAGCAATTTTAAAATTTCCTTCAGTATTTCTGATTATATTTTTCATCTTTCTATAACATGCACATTACTTTCGGAATTTCTTAGAGGGCTCATATTTTTTCAATAAATAAACGTTAATAAAAAGGTTTTCCAACAGAGCACAGGGCTGCCATCAAAATATCTCTACGGCAACAAAAACTTAGAGCTAAGAAAGTTCACAGCCCTACACAGAAAAATAAAAATAAGGGCATGCCAGGGCCCTGCGCACACAGGAGAACCCTTCCAAAACGCAAAATCCCAGCTGTGTCCTGCTGTGCCTCAGCCCCGAGTGCTCCTGAACTCACCGAGCAACACCTGCTTGAGGAAACGGTCGGAGTTTGGACCGTCACAGATAACAACAACGTCTGCTAACCACCCATTCCCGGCTTACCTATGTTGTACTGCGTTTTCTCATCCAGCAATTTCGAGTACGTGTTGATAAAGTCGAGGTAATTCTTGGGAGTCACGTAGTTGCTGCGCCTCAGCTTCTGCAGGAACTGTTTGCTGAACTCGCCCACGGATTCGTGGACCAAAACCACGTGGTCCACCAGGTCCTCTAGATTTTCCGCCGGGATCATCAGATTGTTGCCTGCAGAGGAGGGACCGGAAACACGCCCCTTAAAGAGAGGCGAGGAGCAGGGCCTGGAGAAGTCGCACATGGAGTCCCCGCGGGACCCAGCGACCCCGCTCCTGGGAGAGTGCCCGAAAGAGTGGAAAACGGACACAAGCAGAGTCTCATCTGCCGACGCGCACAGAGCACTGCTCACAGGAGCCAACGCGCAGGTGGCCCAGTGTCCCGCGGCAGATGACGGACAAGCTCGAGGTGGCCCGCGCCCACGGTGGAATGCCACTCCGCCTCACGGAGGAAGGAGCGCCGGCCACAGGCCACACCGGGATCGACCTCCAACACTCAAACACACGCCGAGCGAAAGCAGCCGGACACGAGAGGACGCGCGCCGCATGACTCGACTCACCGGCGGGCACGGGGACGGGGGGAGGTGGACAGGCACGGAGTCTGGGCTACAGGAGGGGAGAAGCCCCGGACGTGGACGACGGTGGCGGCCGCACAACAACGTGAACGCACTTAATGCCACTGAATCGCATACTTAAAAATCATCAACGTGGCAATTTTTGTGTTACATATTTTATCCTTTAAAAGACACAGAAATGTTTTGGAAACAAAAGAGCAGCAGTCACTCGTTGGTGTGTCTCTGGACCGCAGCACTGCTCTGTGCTCCAAAATTTCCTCTGAGAACACAGAAAATTCTCCTCCTTTCTTAGCTCCCTCCCCGCAAAACTGCATTCTTCATGTACAGGGAGAGTAATTATTTATTGAATATGTATTTACAACGGTGACACTATTAATAAGGTCACCCGGGGTCATACATCTGCCCAAATTGGGTCCCTAAAAAAGTATTTTCCTGAAGATAAATTAACTTGTTTTCTTATTTCAAAGATTAAAGTTAATAACCAAAGCTTAAGGTATTTGACACTTTAGAGCAAATTCAGTGCTGATTGATAATCAATTTATTGAAAGGTCCTTTAGGTTTCTCTTGGGCCAGGGGTCAGCACACAAACATGTAGGCTTTGTGGGGTCCCACGGGCTCCGTCACCAGAACTCAACTTTGCGTCTGTAGCTTAAAAGCAGCCACAGACAGTACATCTGTTAGCAAGTGAGTCGTATTCCAGCACAACTTTATTAACCAAAATAAGCAGTGGGCCGTGGTTTGCCAACTCCTGCTTTGGATGATGCCTGATCAATTGTTACCCTAAAGTCCTCAAGTGTCCTGGTAAGTTCCCTGAAATCCAGTTTGAACTACAACACAGTACATACCAAAAACACACTAACACGCGAAGACCCCTTCGTGGTCGTGGGGGTTAGCAGTGAAGGAATCTACTGGACCACAGTTCAAACCCAGGAGAATGAAAACCAATTGCGCTGTTATGCCACCAATGTGGTCCCCACGCTAGCTGTCACTCACCTAAAAACGACTTGGCGACAGCATGCAGGGCCTGGGGGGGCCAGGGCATGAACCAGTCGATGCCGGTGTTATTCACCAGACCTAGGAGACAGAGAGCGCGGGAACAGGGGTCACTCTGCAGCCTGAGACGCTGCCCCACACAGCGCTGAGCGGGCCGGCTGTGTCCGAGCACGGTTCATCAGAAGCAGGCTTCGCAGCCTCAGCACCACTGACAGCCTCGCGGGAGGACCCTGTGTTTGGGGCTGCCTGGGCATGGCAGGGGGCTCGGCGGCACCCCAGGCCTCTGTCGGCTGGACATCAGCAGACTGCTAGCCACCCCATGCTGACCGCCAGAAGTGTCCCCAGGGCGCTGCACCTTGCGCAAGGCTGGCACAATTCCCCCAAACGGAAGCAAGCAGAGAGTGGGCCTCACACCTGGGACTGTGAGCACGTCCTTGCGCCAGAAGGACAGCACCCACCCACGCCCCACGCGAGAGCCGGTGGCAACTGCGAGGGGCGGGCACAGCCTGCACTGTGGAGCCCGAAGCTCCTCCCAGTGACCGGTGGTGTCTGACCTCGCTGGTGGGACCGCAGGCCGCGCACGGCTCTCCACGGCGCACACCCCGCCGAGAGGGGGCTCGCGCGTGCGAGCTCAGCCCCAGGGTACCTGGGAAATTCCTGCACCAGGTCCTCAGGGTGTCTCCCACAGGCGACATGCCCAGGACGATGTGCAGGTTGTTGGCGCTCTTGCTCACGAAGTACTGCCACACAGACTCCTTGGCCAGGCCCAGCCCCTGCTTCAGAGCCTCTTGTCCGACCTGACCGAGGATGGACTCCTTCTCCTCCTCTGCGAACAGCGCAGGCACCATTCCTGGAGAGCACAGCGGGGGCCGGGTCCCCTAAGTCTCGGGTCCTCGTCTCGGCAGGCCCTGGACGACAGAGGCCGCGGCACAAGAAGAGCCCAGAGAGCAGGCCTGGGCTCCCACCTCTGGCGCCCAGGGCTCGCCCGCTCTGAGCCCCGTCTCCTCGTCCGGGAGTTGGGGGGGCAGAAGCCGCCTGCCTGCCTGGGAGGTTATTGTGAGCATCAAAGCAGGGCTCCCAATGGGGGCAATTCTGCCCCCCAAGAGACATTTGGCAGTGTCTGAGGACGTCTTTGGTCGTCACAACTTGGGTGTTGGGGGATTGCTCAGGGCCTGTCATGCTCCGGTGAGCACCGCTCCCCTTGCCGGCCCCACCTGGCGGCGACGGCCTGACCGTGGCCTCTTCTGTGGGGACGGACAGGTGACGGACAGGTGCAGCACTCCCCCGTGGGAGCCTGCGGAAGGCCGAGCCCGGAAAGCTGGCCCCACCCGGCGCCCGGCGCCGCGGTACCTGAGGTCAGCATGTTGTTGATGAGCTCCAGGAAGCCCTCCTCGGCCACGTGGGCGTCCGTGAACAGGAAGATCATCATTTTGTTCTCGATGCCAAGCTTCAGGTAGAGGCTCTTCAGGTCCTCCCGGAAGTTGTTCTCGGAGTAGCCTCGGCTCAGGAGGATCTCAAACACCTGCGGGCCGGAGCACAGCAGGCGGTCGCGTGAGACGCCGGGCCAGGCCGGGGCTGACGGCCCCCCGGGAGTGAGGGCCCCTCGGGGGTGAGGGCCGCCCCGTGAAGCAGAGGTGCGCGTTCTCGGGGGCCATCAGGCCGTGCAGCCGGCGGAGAAGGACGCGTGAGAGCACAGCCAGAGCACGCGGGCCGTGTTCACGAAAGAGCACTGAGTGAGAAACGCAGAACAGGAGCCTCGCCGCCACCTGCAGAGGCCGCGCAGGCGAGGCGCCCGTGGGCCGAGCGAGAGCCACTGCGAGGCCCTGAGGACCCCGCCCGGTGCCGGCGGGGGCGTGGAGCTGCGCAGACACTCTGGGAAGCGAGCCGGCGGTCTCCCAGATGAGCAAACACAGAGCTGCCGGGCCCCGCGAGCCCGCGCTGAGGGGTGTGCACCAGCAAGAACACGGGCGCTGGCGTGTGTGCGTGAACGTCTGCACGGCGTCGCTCACGGCAGCCGAAGGGCGGGGACAGCCCGAGTGCCCGCCTGTGTCTGGCACCCTGTGTCTGGCAGACAAAGGGTGGCGTGTGCGCACACGCAGCGGCGTGCGGAGACGCGGGGGAAGCCTGGAAGCGCCGGGCCGTGTGAGCGAGGCCGCACCGCAGACCGGGGCACGCACTCCCGTCCGTGGGGGATGCGCAGAACAGGGTGTCCATCGGTCAGACAGCAGCTAGTGGCGTCGTGGCGGGGGCGGTGTGGGAAGGTGGGGGACAGCACTAAAGGGTATGAGGTTTCTTTGTGGGCGTGGGGCGAGGAAACTGTTCTGAAACAGACGGAGGTGACGGCTGCACGGTCTGCGAATCTACCGAGAAGCGCGGAACTGTACACTTTACATCGGCAAGGAGTGTGGCCTACCAATGCTCTCTCCGTGACGCTGTTTTCAAGGACCAACCCCGAGCACCACCCAGCACGGGCTGTGCAGCCACAGCAGGCGGCCGACCGCCGACCCCGGGGCTGGGCCCGAGCCCCTCCACCTGGGGGCTCGCACCTGACCCCCAGCCTCAACACAGCCTCCACCCCAGAGCCAGGACGAGGACTCGGCGCTCCAGCTGCACGGTCAGGTCAGTCCTGAGCCCCGACAAGCACCCGCTTCGTGCTCCACGAGACCGCCACGTCATGACCGTTTCCGGACTGCCCCAGCACTGCCTGAGCGGCCGGGCGCATCAGACCTGTTTCTGGGGTGGGGGGCGGGGGGACACCTCACCTCATAGCCAGCTGTGAAAGCAGCCAGCCTGGCCAGAGACTGCTTCCCGGAGCCCCCGACGCCCACCAGCAGGGCGTGGCCGCGGTCCATGCGAATGATGCGGTGCACGCGCGTCAGGTGCTCCAGAGCGTCGTCAAAGAGGACCAGGTTCATCCTGGTGTTGCTTTCGTTGTACTCCTCGAGGATTTCCTGAGTTTAAAAAATTCCAGGTAATGGGGAAAATACAGTAAAAGACAAGTAAACTACTGGAACACATAAATAAATAGAAATGAAAAGAGTCCCAGGGCCCCTGGGTTTGCAGAGGCAGCCTCTGTCCTTGTCCGGGGGGGTTAAGAGTGGGGGAGCCTTCTGCTCAGTGCGCGCAGCAGTCCAAGTAACTGAACCGTCCAGGTCTACGGGACCGAGCGCAGCATTCGGGACCCAGGCTCCCCTCTGCTGACTGGCTGGCTGCCAGGCTCCCCTCTTGGGTCAAGATGAGAATGAGTGACGGAGCCGGGTGAGTGGCCCCCAAACTCGGCCATGCACCGGGACCCAGGCCCCTCCCCGGCCTGATGAAGGCAGGGCCTGTGAGCCCCGGGGTCTGTGTGTGCTTAACAAATTCCTCAGGTCACTGCCAAGCACCACGGGCCCTGGGGACCCCTGGGTTAGACACGAGCCTGTGTCCTGAGCACGGACAGAGGGAGGCCCAGGGGCTCCTCCCAGATCCCCCCGCCCCGGGTGTCCCTGCAGCGCGCGGCTCCTCGGAGAAGGCGAGCCCCGCCTGCACCTGGAACAAAGCCTTGGCCGCCTCGTAGTCCTGGATGTCTTCGTAGACGCGCGTCTCCTCGTCGTGCAGCGCCATCCGGAAGTCCCCGAACAGGATCGGGTCCCTCATCACCACCTCCACGTCGTCGTGGAAGTGCTCCGTGACCAGGTCCCCAATGAGCTCTTGCACCTGACAGCAGAGGACGCGTGGGCGGCACTTACCGGGGGAAACGCCTGTGCCGGGGTCACGGGGTGTGCGTTTAATTCTCCTTCCCAGTCGCTACAAGGTACTTAACGACCCCCCTCCGACCCCCTCCTTTACAGGCTGACTCTCATTTTTAGTGTCTATTTACTACATGTACAATACATCGGGTTTCTAATGCTTTTTTCCACTCAGAGGAGAATTCTGCGGTTAGTTTTGCAACTGCTGTGTCGGTTTCGATGCACTGACCAGCTGCTTGTCCGTTTCGTTGATTAATCGGTCGTGGAAGACCCGCAGACACTCGTTCCTCCAGACCCTCACCATCTGCGTCACCGTCTGGAACCTGCGTGGGCGGGGCGCGGTCAGCCAGGGCGGCAGCTGGAGGAGGCGGGGCTCCCAGGGTGCGGAAGGACAGCATTCCGACAGCCCCGCCCCCGCTGGGCTCACATTACAAGCGGAAAATTCAGGGTGCAGACCACCGCGTGGTGTTTATGACTGACCCTGAGGCAGGGGAGGAAAGGGCATCATCTACAAACGACACTCACGGCACCAAGTGAGCATGGCTCCTGCTCCAGCTTTGTGGGAACTCGTGAATTTAAAGGCAGCACCGGGCACTGGCGGCGCCACCTAAGAACCGGCTCCATCCGGCCCCAGATCTGGAGCTTTCTCTGGTTTCTGGCAAGGAGCCCCCACTACACTCTAAAGGTGGGGAGCCTGAGCTGCCATTCCAGCCCCTCACGAGCGCCTGAGAGTCGGTGTGGGTGGGTGGAAAGGCCTTACTCCAGCAATATGATGCGGATTCATAATGGGACTCCAGCCTTGCAATGCACACAGACTGAAGCATGCCTCACTGGGAGGGCATGCGTCCGGTTTTAAAGAGAAAATCTGTACGCCCAGATGGAAGTCCCTTCTGTCCTCTGTGCCTTATCCCAGACACACCACAGAGCCGATCTGAACTGGAAACACTTCAGCCACACGAGCAAAAGGCACCATATGGGCAAATCCAGACTTCAGGACCACGACAAGAAGCCAGCAAGCGGTCTCAGCGGGGGACACACCAGTCCACATGGCCACCCCGCTGCCTCTCCTGTCCCACCTGCCTTCAGCTCAAGGGCTTACAAGGCAGCGGGCCCCATGCCAAGCATGTAACTCTTTTCTTCTTTTAACGTAACCAGAGGGACACGGAGCGATTCACCGACACACTGACTGATGGACTTCATCCGTAAGTCCCCCGTCTTACTTTCCTTGAAAGAGTAAGAAAGGCCGTTGCTCCACAGCACGCGACCCCTTCACGGCACAGCGCAAACTCACCGCTCGGGGTTGGTGAGGACCAGCCCGTGAAAGACCCGTGAGAGGTCGCGCAGGTTGAAGATGTAGTGGAACTTGGACGGGGTGGGAGGCAGGTCCTGCACGATGCTTGTGTACAGTGCCAAGGTGCAGCGTGTCAGCTGGTCGCTCACGGCCACGATGCTCTCGTGGAACACCTGGGGAAGGAGGCCGCCCTCAGAGGCCACCCCGGGGCGAGCAGAGAAGCAAGCCTCGGCCCGTCCACTCGGCGGACGGCGGGTCCTCCCGGAAGGGGACCGGGCACCGGCCGTGACACGGACGGGCCCTGAGAGCTCGACGCCCAGCGAGGGATGCCAGACACAGAGGCCACGTGCTGCGTGACCCCGTTTACAGGAGATGCCAGGCGGGGGAATCCAGGGGCTGGGGGTGCGGCTGCTTTCAGGGTAGTGAACGCATCCCGGAACTAAACAGCAGGGGTAGGGCCATAAACCACTGTGAACGGACTACATGCCACTTAATCACACACCTTAGAATGGTTACTGATCTCATGTGAGTTTTGCCGTCATTTTTACAGAGGAGATAACATATACTGAAAGAGAAACTCACCATCTGGCCTGCCTCTGCCCCCTGGATTCCCACACTGGACGAGTCAGCAGGTGGGACCCGGCGCCCGGGCTGGGTCTCACCGGAAACGCTGTCTCACAGGCCCTACAAGCTCCGTGGGCGCTGTGCACGCGGCACCGGATGAGCAGGCAGGTCGGCCCTGGGGCACCCCCACCCCCGACACGGGGCCCGATCAGTCAGACTGCTAATCAACGTCCATTACCGAGGTGTGGCCTTTCAGGATGGAGAAGTAAATCAAATGCAGAGACTCCTCCGAAGGAAACGGAACGTGGAAGACACTGAACAGCGAAATAAACCTCAGGTCCACCTCGTTGCGGCCGCCCCCGGCTTTTCCCATCGCAGCCAGAAAGCCAAGGTCTCGAATGCTTTTACAGTTCAGCTCCTTCCCGCGGTCGTACAAGTAGCCTTTCTCCAACAGCAGCTTCAGCAAGGCGATGGGCTGCTGCGTGCCGTATTCGTCCACCTGGGTTTTTCACAGAGAAGGCAGGCCACAGTCAAAGAGCAGAGCCAGCGATGCCTCTGCACCCCGCTTCCCAAAAGTCCGCAATCGTACGTTCATCTGCACTTCGCTCCCTCTCCAGCCTGTAAGCTCCACGGGGGCGGGCACTACGCCCGGTCACTCATCGCTGCACAGCACCGGTGCTAGGGGATGCTCAGTAAACACACGCTCACTGGAAGGATGGACAAGCAGGTGTGTGGATGGATGATGCCTGGATGGAGGGTGGACGGATGGATGGATGGACAGGTGCTTGGATGGATGAAGGACAGGCGGATGATGGATGGATGCATACATGGATGGATAGATCCTAGCTTTGCATACAGTCCTTCTAAAAGACAGATTTTCGGGGGGAAATGGTTCTGTAGAAATGATACAAATTTAAACGCTAGTACTAAGAAAACTTGGCAACTCTCAGGCTCTGGCCCCAGAAACACACCCACCACAGGTGCTTAGTCCCCTCCTTGGTAAGTGCAGAGGGATTCTCAGGGAGTGTCCGCCCGCCTGCTGCCCGTGTGTGGGGCGCTGAGAACAGCGCTCTCGTCGGACGGACCGCTCCCTTGGAAACCACTCGCTCAAACTCGCGCTGGGCACGGTCCAGAGGCCGCCTGCTTCACTCTTTTCAGAAACGGAGGAGCACGACCCCTGAGGAAAAGGCTCCCCGTGCAGGGAGAGCATCCCAGGAACGTGGTCTCCCAGGCTGGCTCCCCGCAGACGTTCCACAGCGTGCAGGCAGGGAGGTCACACGCACGCACGCACCGCCCACGCACACAGCACCCGGCCCTCCCCCCCCACACCCGGGAGCGTCCCCCTACCTTGGGCATGTTCATGTCGTCCATGAACACCAGGAGGCGTTTTCCCATGGGGGGCCCGTAAGTGTCTTTGGTTCGTTTTTCCACATTTGTCTCCAGATTTCTCTGGATATCCAGGGACGTGGTGCGGGAGGAGAAGCTGACCATCAACACGATCTGCAACAGAGAGAGACAGCTGCAAGAGTCAGTCAGCCCTTCCCTCCCGGTGCGGGCAGTGGAAGTTTGAGCGCGAGCCCCCACCTCTTCTACAGACTCCGGGGCCGGAGCTAACTCGTTAGGGCCAGGCAGCGGCGTCTGGCGCCGTCAGTTTAGGCGCTGGAACAGGAACGCCCCTTTCCCTCCGGCGGGCCGCGGGGGCGGGAACGAGCTGCCCTGTGGGCCTCGGGGACAGCGCCTCGGGGGGCTGGGGGGTCTGGGCCCCACGCAGTCCTAGCCAGGCGACTGCACAAGGTCGTGGAGCCTCCCCGCGCCTCGTCTTTCCCTCTGGGGGTGGTTCTAATGAGACTGCGGGGGCCGCCTCCCGGGGGCCCGCCTCCCGGGGGACCGCATGACGCCACGAGGAACACGAGGGCAGCAGCTGCAAGGCGACGAAGCAACCGTCAAACATAAGCCCGACCGCACCCGCCGAGCCTGACCGATGGGTCACGGGAGCTCGGCCGCCCTCAGTCCCCTCTCCGAACCCACTGCCGAGAGGAAGGGGAGGGAGCGCCGGGTCCCCGTGCGGGAGCACATCCTCATGCTCGGGGGGGCCCCAGGCCTCTCCCCGTGCTTCTCAGAGCCAAATCCCCGGACCCGGGGCCCCACACCTCAGGCGTCGGGATCGCCTGGTGGGCTCCTGCACTCAGTGCCCCGGGCCCTGTTCTCAGTGGATCTGGGGCAGATCAGCAAGTGCCCAGGGGATGCTGCCGGTCGACCGGAGAGCCCGCGCCCCAGACAGCCCCTCCAGCTGAGGCCCCAAGTGCAGGTGCACCGGAGCTGCACGCGTGGGAGCCGAGTGTGATCTCCCGGTGGTGACCGCGTGGGCCGTGCCTCCCTGGGCCCGGAGGCACCGGCGCCGAGTCCCTGCCCAGATGACAGGCCCTGTGGAGGGTGCTCCGGAGCACCGCCCCCCGTTGCCGGGCTCCCCAGGCCCGCAGCTCTCTCTGGCCGTGCACACCGCAGCCCCCCCACCCCGTGCCCTCCGCAGTGACAGCCCGAGAGCTCGGCAAGCCACGTCTGCACGTGCCAGGATGTGGGCGAGCGTGCCCCCCCATGGGCAGCCCAGCCTGTCCTGTGAAGCCCATGGGCGGACACCCCCGCTGTCTCCGGCCCGGTCAGCACCACGCGGACTCACGTTGGTCTCCTCGTTGAGGTTTTTGAGGAAGTTCTGCGTGGTGGCCGTCTTCGAGGTGCCGGACTCCCCGACCAGCAGCACGGGCTGCTTGATCTTCACCATCTGCTGCAGCACCCAGGTGAGGCGGGTGGTGTCCACCGTGTGAACTGCGGAGCACAGCACAGACGGGGCGTCACGGGGACGCGGGGGTGCGACGGGGACGCCGGCGAGTGAGCATCGGTGACACGGAGCTTGGCAGAAACTCACAGATCCCATAAAAAGTGTCAGCGGAAACCTGACCCGTGGCCCAGGTACAATCTTCTCAGAAGCTCACTTCCCCAACCGCTGTCTTTAGCCACTCTGTGGAGGTACGACGTGTGCCCACGAAACCCCCCACTGTGAGGGGGCGACTTCCCAAGGCTGCTCATCCCTCAGGCCGTGGACCCAACGCTGTAGTCCAGGCGCAGACCAGTCAGGCCCGCCCCCTGCTCCCCAGCAGGGCCTCCCTGCTGCCCACGCCCCTGACGAACCTGCAGGCCCCGCTCTCCTGCCCAACCACCTCCTCTGAAGAGAAAACAAAACCTTGAATTTGGGCCTGGCTCGCTCCAGCACTGGCAGTTTTTAATTCTGACTGCTTCCTGAGACCCTCACTCTCCATGAGCCAGCGCCGGACCCTGGTTGTGGGAGACCGCCAGCCTCTCTGTGATCTGAGCACCCGGGCGGCGGGGAGGGGGCCGCCTCAACGTGGCTCTGGGGGAAACACGCAGCTGCCGAACACGGCTCACAGGGCAGCGGCGGTCGCAGCACCCCCGGCCTCGTCCTCTCCTCTTTTCGTCCCTCCGGCCCAGACAGCAACGGGAGGGGGATGGAGCCGCACCCAGCCCACCCTCACCCTCCCCCCCTCACCCACCCACCCGTCAGACCGGGCCTGCCGCAGGAAGAGAGTCGCAGACGGGAGAAGCAGCCCGGACGCCGCGGCCCCAGAAGAAGTCCGAAGCGCCACCCTCTGGGCAAGGCCCAGGTCGCGTCTCCGGTCTCTCCCCACTGCCGTCAGGGTGGGGCCCCGGGTGCCAGAGAGACCACGGGTCCCCGTCTCCCCCTCCCGGACTGAGAGCCGCACACTCTCCCACCAAGGACAGGGGCTCGGGCCCCACTCACCCAGGATGTCAATGAACTTCTTCTCACGGGAGTGAACATACGCGGGCACTAAAGCGTTCCACGGGATCCATCTCCTCTGGTCGGGGTCAAAGTGGAAGTCGTACAAGGTCGGGAGCTGGCCTGCAGAACACAGCGGTCCACTCCACATGGGTCACAGGTGTGGAAACACGCCGTCGGCCCTGCCTGCACACGTCTGACGCGAACTCACGCTCCCCGTTCCCAGGACGGCAGCCGCACCGGGGGCTTCCCACTCCCACCCTCCCCGCTCTGGACCGACTCCGCTCCCTCCCTGGCAGAGCTGCACCGAGCGGTGTGAACCACCCAGCGGTGTGAACCACCACCGCCCGCCCGCCGAGCCCTTCCCTGGGCGCGCAGCAGCGGGCAGGCGGCTCTGGCCCCGACTCTGAGCCGCCGGTGCGCTGGGCGGCGGGAGACAGAGACAAGCACACAGGCGGTCTCAGCACCAAGTGCCGAGCTCTGAGGTGGGCGGCAGACGCCCCGTGAGGCGTCTCGCCGGGTGGGCCAGGGGGGAGACTGAGGGGCACTGGGTGCGGCAGGGGGTGTGGAGAGCCTCGGCCCACCCCTGCACCCACACGCTCCGTGCCGTCCTGCCGGTGGACGACAGGGGTGCTGTGCACACCCAGCTTCGGGAGAAGGTCCTCATGCACCCCCCTCCCACGTGGGCTGCCGCGCCACACGTGCCGGAGCCGGCGGGGCAAGCGGGGCTCCTCGAGACAGGCCACCCGGAGGGGCTGGGCTGCCGCCGCAGCAGGTCACGCACAGAACTTCCCCTGAGGGTACCGCCGGGTGCTCTGACCACTGCCCGCTCCTCCACGGAAGCAAACACGCTGGAAAGCCCACACACTTACAATGGAAAAGCAAAGTCAAGGTCGCTTCCTCTAAAAACCAACCCCAAGTATTCTGAGCAGGAGAACAGGCAACCCCCGGTTCCCACCTGGCAGTTCCCCGGGTTTGGCCCAAACCCCGTCGGCATCGGCGGACGGCAGAGAGGCGAGACGTTTGACACACTCGTCGAACCGGGCCCGGCCGTCGTCCAGCAGGGCCGCGCCCAGGGAGCAGCACAGCGCCTCCAGGAAGTAGCACTCCAGGAGGTCGGGGTCCTCTGTCTCTCCTTCCAGGAGGGCGTCCAGCACCCGGGTCAGCTGGGTCACCTGGTTCACGGGGAAATGCCCGGGTCGGCCCCTGGAGGCCCTCACACCTCCCCGCCACATGCCCACCCGGGGTCAGCTCTGGTTCTAAAGTCCCGGGACCCCAGTCCCGGGGTCCGTCACTCTGAACCCCCGGCCCACCCTGCTGGCTCAGACAGACGGAGCGCATCCCGCACAGGGTCCCACAGGGCAGTGCTGTGTCTTCCCCATCACAACCCGCGACGTGATGCCTACACACCAGGCATCTCTGTTCCCCCCACGCACCCACCCACCCAGGGGGAACATTCTCTCGGCCAATGGGGCCCATCTCTCACCATGTTCAGGTCTGTCTGAGGAACTATCATCTTCAGCTTTTCTCCCTGCCTTCCGTCCACCAGGCCCTCCACGATCATGTCAATGAGAACGGGCACATACTTCTCAAAGAGATTCTGCAAGCAGCTCTGGTCCGCCTACCAAAGGCCAAGCGCCGAGGCATTTTCAGGGCCCTTCGCCTGCGCTGCAGCCGGCGCAGGGCCCCTCTCCCGGCCGAGGCACCGATGGCCCCGGGGCCGGCGGGCCCCGACAGCTCGTTCCCATGGGACCGCCTCCAGCGGTCCCCTCACGCTTCCCGGCCTCGTGGTCCTCCTACGGACACACCCATGTCCCTCGGACATGTCGTCATGGTGTCCTGGGTGTGGTCAGGCCACAGCCTTCCCACAATTGTCCCATCTACCTCGGTGCCTTTCCATGAAGCCCACTGCTAAGACAAGACACACTCATGCGGAGCAGCCACGTGACACACCACAAGGTTCGAAGTGAAATGAAATCATCGCATTTCCACGCCCAACAGGCTAGGCGCTCCGCACGCTGCTGTCACCCAGTGAGCAGAAGAGGAGGGGCTGGGCGTCTCCTGGAGACAAGTCTCTGCGGAGCCGGGCGGGCCGGACCGGGGCTGCCCCCACAAACAATGAGGCCAGCCGGGCCCGCCACCGGTTTTCGCACATGAAGTTTCCCTGGTGCACGGCTGTGCCCGTTCACACCCCAGCGGCAGAGCTGAGCAGTCACAGGAGAAACCACGGGACCCACCGAGTCTGGAGTCCCTCTCTGCGCCCCGTATGGAGCAACCGCGCCCGTCCCTCGTCCAGACGACCGGAACCGGCAGCTCTCTCGCTGGCTGCAGGTCGTCTAGAAACCCAGTAAACCTGCCCTCCTTGCTTTTGTCCAGTTTACTGACAGCATTAAGTGCTCAAGGTCATGACAGGCCAAGGCCAAGGTCATGGGCTTCAACTACAAACACCTGTCTGGGTGATGTTTATCCAACTGCCCACCACTGCCACCAGCTGTAAGCTCATTTAGAAGCAAGCTCACCTTGTTTTGTATTTGGTTGACCCACTTCTTCCAGTACGGCTGGTACTTCAGGTTTTTAGGGTCCACGTAAACCATCCCGCATCGAGACACGGTGGCGGGGGAGGCGTACTGCAAGTCTCCGACCTGGAGGAGAACGAAGACCACGCGCGCCTGCAGCTGTCAGCACCTGGGCCGCACACTGAGAGGTCTCCGCTCGTGCGCGTTGTCACGGCGGCAGAGAACCCAAGTCACACTCAGGTTAGCACGGCTCTCGTGAGGCTTCCAGCCGAACGCTCGGGCTCATCGGGGGAGACCGTACATCTCGGATGCAGAGCCTTTTAAAGTTCCCTGTTGCTATAAAATGAATGTGAAGGCTAACAGGCTGCAGAGCACCCGACAGAAACCGAGAAGTACAGAGGGGAAAATGAGCTATCCAAAATCGCACCACCAAGAAACCCGTTAACCCCTCTTCTGTCGTGTCTTTTCCGCACAGCGGGGGTTGGGCATGGTAAAACTCGGCACGTGTGCGCCCAAGGCAGCGACCCGAACACACCTGCCCCTGTCCCAACAAACAGGACGGCAACAGGCACGGCCGCGCCGGCGCAGACACGCTCTGGGCCCGCGCCGAGCTAGCGCGACGGCGAGTCTCGGGCCCACGGCTGCAGGACGGGCGCAGAGGGCGCAGCAGAAAGTCCGAAAAAGCGAAGGGAGGAGGGAAGCGAATGGTGCGAGAGGAAAAGCAAGGCGGTGACAACTCCAGGCCAAAACGAAAGGCTCTGGAGAAACGTGAACGGAATCGCGGCATGCTAGCCGGCTCCACGGCAGGGACGTCCGTGTTCCAAGCAGCGTGCGTGCTGGGTCCGGGCTCCACGGCCTGAGCGGCGCCGGACTTCGAGGGGGAGGCAGGCCGACGGCATCAGTCACCAGCCGGCACCCAGACTGGGCGGGGGAGGGGGCGGCTCGCTGAGCTCCTCGCGCGCAGAGGCCGGGGCGGCAGGGGAGGAGCGGCGAGCTCAGGGGCACAGCGAGGAGGGGGGAGGGGAGGGGGGATCGAGGGTCAGACTCCTCATGACCTCTTCTCCACCCTTTGAGTTTTCCGTGATCACCTGCACTGACTCCCACTTTAATGAACTGAAAGAGAGACATTGAGTCAAGGTTCCTTTTCTACGACTTGCCTCAAAGAGCAGAGCACAGTGTGCCTGCAGCCGGATGCGCTCGCCGTTGGCCAGGGTCAGCAGCTTGTTGTCGTCCATCACGGAGTTCATGTTCTCCACCCACAGCGCGTCCACGTCGCCGTCGAACAGGATGTACCTGCAGCGACCGGGGACGGAGCCACGGCTGTGGGCCCGGCTCCCTGCGGGGGGCTCCGGGCAGCGCCCCGTCCCTGCTGCACGGCGCCCCCAGGGCTGCCCGGCCAGGCCCCGCGACACGGCCCTCTGCTCGGTCCCGAGGTTTGACCCGGGAGATGAAGAGGAAAATACATAAAAACTGAGTTAACACCAACTTTTAAGAATCAGGCAACTGGAAGGTCTGACGACACAGACCTGCATGCCTGCCTGGGGACAACATGCCAGTGCCCCTTGGGGACAGAAAGTGTCACAGTTGACCTCATTCTTGTCTTTTCCTCAGTTACTGCTGAAGTCGACCACTGCTTGCATGAGTTTCCGGGGTACAGCCAGCAGTTACGCTTACGTAGTTCACACAGTGGCCCCCACGGTGAGTCCACACCCACCTGGCCCAGACAGTTGTTGGGCATTACTGACTACGTTCCCTGCGCTGTATTTTAAGTTCCGTGACTATTCTGTAACACCTCGTTCTTTCAAATCTGACACTGTACATCAATTATTCTCTGTCACTGATTCCGACACCTCGCTTTCTAACGGTAAAATGAAGAGAAAAGGGGAGTATTTAATATACCCACGTGTGCTGGGTTCCACCGTGGCCCCTCAAAAGGTATACCCATCTGGGACCTGTGAACGTGACCTTGTGGGAAAAAGGTCTTCGCAGGTGTAACTAAGTAAGGGATCTTGAGGTGAGATTGTCCAGAGGGCGCCTAGTCTGGTGACCAGTGTCCTTACAAAGGGGACACCTCTGTGAAGATGAAGGTCCCCTGCGAGGAGCACTCGCCAGGGACGAGCCCCGCCCCTCACACAGCCGCAGGACAGTTACCGAGTCGGGGGCTCAGCCCCGGCGGAACGCTGCTGTCCGGCGCCCGAGCCGCACCCAAACTTCGCCAGCTGTCCCCACAGACAGAGAGCCTCCGTTTCACCGTCCTCCGTCCTCGCGGGGAGACGAGACCCAGGCCCCACCGACAGAGGCTGAGGCCACCAGGGGACGGCGTGAGGAAGAGGGCGCTCCTCCCGCGGTCTCCGGTTACCTCCTCCCAGGCTGCTCATCCACTGCGGGGAGAGCCTGACCCCACCTGGCCCCACCGTCCAGAGTGAAGACCGCCACCGAGGGAGGTTCGGAGGAGACACGAGGACACCACGCCAGTGCTGCGAGGCTGCTGCGCAGACGCACAGTCCGCTCCCACAAGGAGGATGCGCCCCACGAGCCCCAGCCGGAGCTTTCTGTACAGCAGCTGGCATGCAGTCTTCCGGAACATCAAGGCCGCAGAAGAAGTCAAAGGCAACCCGACGAACTTCGGGAAGTTTGAGGACACCGAGGAGACAGGACGCTGAGTCCAGTGCCAGACCCCGGGCCGACCCGGAGCTGGGGGAGAATCACTGAAAAGAGGCTGTTCCACAAGCGATTCGCTGAGAGCCGGGCGCTTCTTTCCGGTGGTTTTCGTTAACGGGTCGGAGAGCGCAAAACCAGGCCCGTCCCTGAGCTCACCTGAGAGGTGTCACAGGAACAAATGACACCAGGGGAGGCTCTGACCCGACGTGCCGACAGCACTCCTGCTCTCGGCTTTGCGCCACCCCCACCGGCACAGCGTGCCGTGATGGGAGCACCGCAAGCGTCACCAACTGCCTCTACTCGTGAGAAAGTGCAGCTTGCGAGGGTGTTCTAGCCCTTTCCGTGCCACTTCGCTGCCCTCCCTTGACTTCCGTGCCACCCGGGCAGCCTGGCCTGGTGGCTGTGTTTAAGGGCCAAGGGTCCGACAGCCCAAGTTCTGACCCCTGCCCTCGGGGCAGGGCCCTCACCTGCCCTAGGGCTCAGTGTCCCCTGTGGCAAGCTGGGGACGCTGGCAGGTGAGGGGCTGACCGGGACAACACGTGAAGACCCAAGACGGCACTGGGCGCGTCGCGAGCTGAGGGCCCGGTCCCTCCATCTGCTCGTGCGGAGAGCCTGGCCGACTGGCCCCCACCAGCGCGGGCGCCCTTCCCGGCCGACAGGCACTCACTTCCGCTCCTTCTTATCTGTCGGCTTGTTGATCTCCCTGAAGATGTTGGACAGCACCCCGTCCGTCCAGTCTCGCGTGGTGGGGTCCAGGATGCCGTAGAGCTCGATGACACTCACGGCTTTGGGGTTCAGGATGTAGAGCTTTGTGGTCAGCCCAAGCCTAGGTCACAGGAGAGGCTTCAGGGGGGCTGCGTGCGCCCAGAGAGCCACTCGGGCCACCGCGCAAGGGTCACACGTTTTGGATCTAATGTGACATTTGGGACGCAATCCACACAGACTCTCCCCTGGGCTCCCCCCTCGCTGCAGGGAACCGCCCTTCACCGAGACCACGGCCCCCACACGAGTGAGGTCTGAACCAGGGCTTGGCTTTGCCTCTGGAGGACTCGGAGAAGCTGACTTTCCTATGTATTGCAATCCACATCTATTCCATATTCATGCATGTGACCGGCTACATAAATGTTTCATGACTGGGGTGCGGGAGAGAAGTCAGTCATCGGGACAGCACCCTAACATTTAATCCTTCGTGTTTACAGGGTGACCGCTGCTCCGCACTGACTTCCTAAATCACGTGGTCAGGGTGCTCCCCACAAAAACACCTGTGAGTTCCCACAGTGCCGTGGGATTAGCTCGTCTACAGAAAACTAAAGTTCCCAAAAACCACAGTTCGTAACTAATGAAACACAACAATAAAAGTAACAGTGGCACACACACACACACACACACACACACACACACACACACATTCGTGATCGCCCTGAAAGTCAGCTAACGAGAAACGAACTGAAGAACAGAGCACGGGACGGCCCCGGCACAACCCGCTTCGACCCGGAGGCCGCCGCCCACTGGCCCTCCCGTGAGGAACACCAGCAGTCGGAAGTGACCGTCGCTCACCGGGTCTTACAGGCTGTCTGCACCTGTCAGAGTCCCAAGCTCCCAAGGCCCGACCTGAGCTTTGCTGGGACGCTGGCGTCACACACAGCCTTTCTAGAGTCTGGTTATTGCCCAGGAGAAGAGCGAGGAGCCGGAAAGCCCGTGCCCCCTCGGAGGGCAGGGCAGGTCCCTGCGGGTCTCTGTGACTCGGTGCGCGGGGTCCCCGCACACGGAGCCGCACGGCCCCCCACCCCACGGCAGGGCTGGCAGGGGTGAGGCGGGGATGGAGGGGGCGCTGTCTCCGGGCACGCTGCTGCCGGAAGTGCTGTGTCAGGACGGGAGCCCTCACTTACTCTAGAAGAGCAATCTGAACACCAAGGGAGCAGGACGTCAGTTAACTTTTCAAACACCCTCGTGAGACAGTCTGGGGGACACTCGTTCCGTTCAGTCTGATGCACAAGTCACCGTCCTGACTTTAAAACGCGTGCGATACACCAGCCACGAAACAAGTCACAGTGTGACAAGGGTGAAGGGGTGTTGGGACAAAACGCACCCCCCAGGCAGTCAGAGAGCAACGAGGGACAGGGGGCGCTGCCACCAACCGTAGCGCAAGGCCACCCGGCCACCGCCCCACGGGGTCACACTCACTTGGTCTGGGCCTGGCACAGAGCGTTAATGACCACGGACTTGCCCCCGCCCGTGGGCCCCACCACCATGGTCGTGTGGCGGGTCAGCATGGTCTCGTACATCTGAACGACTTTATCCACCTGCGGGACAGAGTGCAGAGCTGGGTTCAAACCACTCTTTCTTAGACAGCTTCACGGACCTTTAACTCACCTCCCCTACAGTTCACCCTCTGAAAGTGGACAAATCGATGACTTCTAGTGCGCCCGAAGGCTGCGCTCCGTGTCACTGCCTGCCGTCACCCACTCCCCACGAAAGACCCTGTGCTCACTACCCGTCTCCCCCAGCCCCCTCCTCCGGCCGGGTGCCCACTCTCGTCCACCCTCCGTCTCTGCCTGTGCGGGGAATGACGTCAGTGGACGCGCACAAGAGAGGCGTGGCCCGTGTCCACCCTGCAGCAGGCGCCGGCGCTCCGCTCCTCTTCGCGGCCGAGCCAGAGTCCACTGGGTGGCCGGGCCACATTTTCTTTACCCATCCACCCCCCGTGGGCGTCTGCACTGTTTCCCCTTTCTGACCGACTCTCGTAACTGACACTGCCGTCCACTCCCGTGTGGATGTAACTCCTGGCTCCCTACGGGGAGACCCCTGGGAGTGGGCGGACCCCTGGCACGGGGCGGTCCCAGGACGACCTCCACGAGAAGCCGCCAGACTGTGCCCCACACCGGCTGCACCGCCGGGCGCCCTCGCCAGAACACGCGCCTCTCTGAACCACCGCCTCCAGAGGAGAACGTCCCGGCGGGGCCGGTGCAGGGAGCCCCCTGACCCGTGTCCAGGGCCGCTGCCCAGGCCCGAGGCCTCTGAGCAGCGGGGCAGCTGCGCTCTCGGCAGAACGCCCCGGCAACCACGTTCGGCTTCACGACGGCACAGACGCCCCCCCAGGCTTCAGACGGTCGGCGCCCCACCAGCCACGCCTCAGCTCCTCGGTGAGTGTGACTCCGGGGGCGGGGACGAAGGGCTGGGCGGGAACAGTGGCTGGTCAGGCCCCCAAACACAACGCTGGTGTCGTCTGACCACATTATGCCAAACAGCCAGAGCAAAGCCGGAGGGCGGGCCAACCTCACGACAGAGGGCCGTCCGGCCTCAGCCAGGAGGGAGCTGCGTGCCCGGCTGTGACTCGAACGCGCCCGGCAGACCTACGCCGAGTGAGACGTGCCGGACGCAGAGGGACACGGGCGGCACGACTGCTCACGCGTGAAGCACTGCGAGGAGTCAGACTCAGGGAGAGAGAGAGCAGGACGGGGTTCCCTGCGCTGGTGGGGGACACGCGGGGAGCCAGCGTTCAGTGGGACCGAGTCTCGGTCTGGGAAGACGGAACAGTTCTGGGGACGGACGGTGGTGGCGGTCGCACAGCAAGGTCAGTGTGCTTCACGCTACCGAATAGCACCCTGAAAAGCGGTTGAGACGGTGCGTTTTGTGTCGCCTGTACTTCGTCACAATGTCTTCAAAAGTCACTGGCAGAGATGGAAAGGACACGGCAGTCAGTGAACCCCCCGTCCCAGCACTTTTACCTGGACAGGCAGGATGATGAAGCCGTTCTCCTCGAGCACCTGCTCGACGGCGTCGTTGAAGTTGGGGTACCGGACCCGCGGGCAGTCAAGCCCGGGAAACAGGTCAGAGATCAAACCCAGGAAAAGAGGCACGTCTTCGAAGACGAACTTGGGCAGGTTCATGTCTCGGAGCGCCCTCATCAGCACCACGTCCTGGGCGGAAGGAGACGCAGGCTGAGGGCTGGCCTGGACGCCCTCTCGCAAGCAGGGAGTGGGGCGTTCATATAGAACCCAGAGTCAGACCCAGAGCGCGACACCCCCGTGTGCAGCTCTGGAGCGACGCGGGCGCAGCTGGGCCGAGCGTGGCTGAGCTCCCACGGCACTCACGTGCAGAAGCAGCACGACCGTGCCTCTCGCTTCTCTCACCAGGGGGAGGGGAGTCGTGTGCGTGCGTCCGCCCGAGCGGCGAGGGGCTGACTGCCGCCGCCGAAGCAGCGCCAACCCGCTCCACAAAGACACTGAACTTGACTGACAGCGGAAAGTCACGTTAGAAGAAAACAGATGGAATGCAGGCCAGAGCAGCGAGTGAAACGGCAGCCGAGACAGAAACGCTCCCCAGGGCACCCCGTGCCTCCGCACGGCCCTCACCTCCTTGAGCTCCAAGGAGCCCCTCTTCAGCTCCCCCGCCATGACCAGCACCGACTTCAGGGCCCGGAGCCCGAAGTCGTAGTGGTGCTGCTTGGAGAGCTGCTCCCGCGCCAGCTTGTACAGAACCGTCATCTTCTTGGCCAGCATCTGCGGGATGAAAGGTCGTGAAACACAAAGAAAGGAAATGACCAAAGGTGTCCGGACGAAGCTGCTCTGCAAACAAGCAGACGCCGCCGCCGCCGGCAACACCAGGACGGGTCCCTGGCTTTCCTGCCTGCGGCGGGCGAGGAGAGAATGTAGAGGAGCGCCGGCCCGGCCTGCGTCTGACGGCTGTCCCTGAGCGCAGGGGAGGGTCTCCCCCGCCTTCCTGCCAACGCCCGGGCCCAGCCGGAGCTTTCAACCACAGCCGTCACGCTCCAGAAATGCGCGTGCTCTTTATTTCCGCCTGAACGTACTATGAAAGCTCCTCCTGTACCCGTTTCTGAGGACAACTCAGCCACCTCGGCCACACCAAGGACTCAAAGCTGCCGGTCCCCAGGGTGCACGGGGACCTGGCTCACGGGGACCTGGACCCACAAATGTCACCCCTGTGCTCAGAACCCGAGCAATGTAACAGGCAGTGAGAGCCTTTAAAAGATGTGGGAACGCAACCTCACAATCCTTTATGTTCAAGGTATCTGCTATTTTGTGCCTTTACCAGAACCTCCTGCAAAAAACATTTGTGCGTATTTTATACATACTTTAAACAGTGACAAAAGACACACACACACACACACACACACACACACACACTTACAGCCACGTATCCTTGAGGGAATGAGGCTGAGTGAAGGAAGCCGCCTCTGAGAGTGACACACAGTGTGATCTATGCACCGATGACAACCTCACAGTGACAGCTACAGCGGCACAGAATGACCGGTCACTGCCAGGAGCTAGGGCTGCTAACGCCCACTGCTCACACAGAGGGAAATGCGGGGACAGTCCCGCACCCTGCCTGTGGCTCCGGTCACTCTACAGGCATGATAACATGGCACGGAGCTGCACACCCTCTGGACAAGGTAAGCCCCGGGGGTGCCCCAACCGAGTCCCTGCTGTGGGGGAAGCATGTGCCCGCCGCAGTCCCCGATTCCGACGGTGCGCTTCATTCAGCGTGTGAGACCATAGGTGTCATATCCGGGGGAGGCTGGGGGAGGGGTGCGTGGGACTCTGCTCTGTTCTCGCCCCTTCTTGTCAAGTCATCACAGAATAAAAGTTATAATTTTAAAAAGAGGGAGAGGGAGGAGAGCGGCGAGGCCGCCCGGAATGAGACGCCCGGGGACCAGTGTGGGGGTTGGCATGGGGGGGTGGCACCGGGGGCACGGGGGATGGGGGAGGGCGCGCTCACCTTGGCCTGCAGGAAGCCCTCGGAGAAGAGCATGATCTCGCAGATCTGCCTCATGTCCGGCACGATCACCACCACCGGCCGGAAGAGCGCCTTCACCGACTCGGGCAGCTCCGTGCGGCCCGCGTAGCCGGGGTTCATGGTGATGAAGATGCCCATGCGCGCGTCCAGCGAGATCTCCTGCCCTTCAAACTGAAGAGCAGCAGGAAGGGGGGTCAGGCCGCCGGCCGGCCCGGTGCAGGTACAGGCAGAGGAGGCGGTGCGGCCCTGTGATCCCACGGGCACCAGGCAGTCCTTGTGCCGATGGCCTGGGTGTCCGGGAAACGAGCCTCGCCAACCCCCAACCTGACCTGCCGTCCCAGGTCGTGCCCCTTGAGAAGCTGCTCATGGTGGGGCGATTCGAGGAGCTGTGTGACCCCTGGCAGGTCACCGAACCTCCCCGAGTGCCAGTGTCCTTTCCTGAAGGTCGTGGAGGCCCGGTGAGACGGGGCAGGCCAGGGAGCCGTGCACCCCTGTGAGCTGTCACACTGCCCCCGTCCCTCCTCCCCAGCCTGGGGGCCTGGACGCAGCGTGGCTCGCGCTCCCCCAGACCCTGCCCGCCACTCAGGGCGCCGCCCTTCCTCCCCCAACGCCCAGGCACGTGTGAGCTGCAGCCCCTCCCCCTGTCAGCCTCGAGCCCGCGGCTGAGTCTCAGCCACCGCGACTGCTCTCAGTGCCGGGAGTCCGCTTCTTCGCTTCTGTCAGCGGCCCGCCTGAGACAAAAGACAGAACAGCGCACTCTCGTGAGGAGGCCAGGCTGCCTCAGCGACAAGAGGGCAGCCCAGCGGTTAGCCGATGCGCCCCCCACAACAGAGCTGACTGTGCTGACGTCCCCACCCCTGAGCAGCCCACCGAGGACCGACCACCCCGAGATGACAGGCGGGCCTGCCCTTGAGCGCACGGCTCTAGAAACCTAAACGCGCGGCGGCAGTGAGGTCTCCGCCCCCACAGGAGCAGCAAGCTCAGCCCCAGAATACTTCGGAAGAACTCCCTGAAAGAAAATGCGCCCAGAACCTCTACTGGGACCCTGAATGTCTAACAGTGTCCAGCTAACGTGACCCCTGGACAATGACAGTGAGCCCACTGAGGTCTGGGGAGATAGCAGGGCTGCCAGGCCGCAGGGGCGCCCACCACAGAGCCGTCGCCAGACCGAGCCGACGTCGGGTCCTGAACCACCCCCGTCCCCACCCCACCCCCCACCCAGGAGGCTCTGCGGGGCCTCCAAGGACGTGTAGGCACGCTCAGGCGAAGAAGAACAAAGGGCAAGAGAGGGCAGACAGGGATGGAAATGGTGTCACAGCGCATGGCGTGTCTGTGAAGCGAGTGGTTTGCGGTGGCCAAAGTGTAGGGCACACGGGGTCAAGGGCAATGGCAGCAGCGGTAGCAGAGCATGCTGGGACCACAGAGGACCCCAGCGTGGGGAAGCGGCCCGGCCCCTCTGGGCCCCACTGCCAGAGAACCCGCCCCTGGGCCACCCACACCACGGAAAACCGCGCTTCCCCGGGCTGTGGGCCGGTCAGTCCGAAGTGGCCTCACGCGGGCTCCTCAAAGCCAGGTCTGAGCGTGTCTCCTGGGACCCAGAGAGACTAGGGAACTCTCTCCAAGTTCTCTAAGTTGGCCTCTTCACCTTGACCACCTTCAAAATCGGGCTCGCTGTCAGGCCCGAAGTGCCCCAAGTATGAAGGCAGAACCTCTTACTCCCTGTTACAATTTCTGTTGAAGACACTCTGACTGGCTGGAATGTTCATCTTTTACGTCATTTTCCCCAAATACGGGAAGTCACTCAGAACATTTTTTTCCTTTAAAGAGCATCACTTCTCTGAAAACACTGCTCACTTGTCTGTAACGACTAGTTACCTGTCTGGAGCTAGTCTGAAGCTCTTAGAATATTGAGATCCTCAGTCATCGAGGCTGCTGACAACCTTGGGAAACCCAGCCATGCCACCCAGAACAAAGTCCATCAGATCCTCTCCCGCGGGAAGCCTGGCCGGGACCAGCCCCCTCCGAGGCTTCGACAGCAGAGCCCGGCGAGGGTCCCTGTGGGGACAGGGAGGACGGGGCGGACGTTCACAGGGCAGGCCTCACCTGGAACAGGCCTCACCTGGAACGTGGCGAGCTGGTGGATCAGGGCGTTGCGGATGGTCTGGATCTGGGACGAGATGACCGAGAGCACCGAGGCGTCGATCCGGTTAAACTCGTCGAAGCAGCCCCAGGCCCCGCACTGTGCGAGGCCGGAGAAAATCTTCCCCACGGCCTAGACAGAGGAGACGTCCAGACAAGGGCCGGTGTCCATGAGAGCTGCAGGCGGCGCCCCGACGGAGACGCGTCCCCAGCGAAACCAGGCGGCCCTCAGGCGGCCCTCAGCTGGCCCGGGGGATGGCCTGCCCCCGCCGCCCGCGAAAGGCCTCCCCGGCGGTAGCCGACGAGTCACCGAAGCAGAACAGGGGCCGCTGAGCCCGAGCGCTGCTCCGTCGTCTCTGCCGGCCACTCCCCTGGCTCTGGCAGCTACGTTCAGGCCCCCGCTCCACCTGCTGCCCACATGGCAGACACACGTGAACCCCAAGACTGGCATGGTGAGAGGTTTTCTCCACACTTCCCCGGCTCCCCCACGTCCCCACCGGGGGGCACATGCCGTGGGTCCCACAGCACCCCGCCTGTGCTCTCTGCCCACTGACACGGTGCCGGCAGCGACACCAAGGCCTCACTTTGTAATCCATGCCTTCGCCGCAGTTGGTCACGACACAGAGCAAGCCCAGGGCTTTGGCCAGATCCTTGGTGGTCTCGGTCTTGCCGGTGCCCGCTGGGCCCGCAGGGGCCCCACCCAGGTACATGGACAGCGCCTGTCAAAAGCCAAGCCCAAAGTGAGGCTGTCTGACTCACCGCGGGGCACAGATGTCACGTGCCGGTCCCACACTGGGGGGGCAACAGACGTGAGGCACACGTGCGTGGCGGCGGACAAGGTCGCACTCGCCTTCCCGACACTCACCACGTGCAACGTCCCTGCCTCTCCTGAACCTCGACTGACCCCTCCGCCCATCGTGAAGGGCCAGGCGGCCCCGGGCCGGGCGGTGCGCCGGGGGCGGTGCCTGGGCCGGGAACAGCGCCCGGCAGCTCCGGAGCCGCGGCTCACGGGCACACGCACATCTGTGCGTGGCGCAGTCGTCTCTGCCAAGGGGAGGTCTGAGCCTCTCTCTCCGGACCCCAGCACTGGCGCCTGAGCCCTCGGGACACCCTGCCCGAGAAGCGTGGCCTTGTTTATCTGGGGACCACGGGCCACGCACGACAGTCTAACAACGTGACCGTCGGTGGGCCTCCGGGTCGCGTGGCATCGGCCTGACTTCCGGGGATGCTGGAGGCCACGGCCAGCCTTCGGGCGGTCAGTCACGTCCGCATGAGCAGTCCCAGCTCCAGCCCTGGCCCCCAGGCTCGGGCAAGCCTCCCGGGGGCAAGAGCTTCCACAGCTGTCACTGCCGCTGCTGGAGGAATCGGCGCTGCTTCTCCGGGCCCTGCCCCACGCCTCCTCCTGGCGCGGATTCTGACCCGTGTCCCATTGCTACAATGAACTGCGACCTGACCCCAGGAGAGCTGTGAGCCCTTGTAGCCAATTCCTGACCCTGAGGGTGGTTTCAGGGGCTGCCTCCCCTTCAGCAGCCCAGTCTCGGACAGGGACAGTGAGGTAATGCCCCAGGCGGAACCCCCTTGGAAGAGCTTGAGGCAGCGATCCCCTTTGCCCTCTCGCTCGTGTCCTGGGCTGCCATACCGGCCACCACCACCGGGCGGGCGAAAACACAGGAATGTACTTGTCCACAGTCCTGGAGGCCGGAGGTCTAAGGCCAAGCTGCTGGCCGGGCCATGCTCCCTCCGGAGACTCCAGGAGGGGTCTTTCTTTGCTTCCGCTGGCTCCGGCGCTCCGGTCCCTGCCTCCGCCTTCACATCACCTTCCGGTAGCTCTGTGCCCTCCCCCCTCCTTACAGGGACGCCAGTCACTGGCTTAGGGCCCTGGCGCAGGACGTTCTCGTCCTGGTCCTTAACCAGTCACGTCTGCAAAGACCCCGGGTCTAAGTGAGGCCGTGTTCTGCGGTTTTGAGAGGGCGCGGTTTTGGGGAAGACCCTGCTCGGCCCGGTCACTGGCACGGTCTCCGCAGTCACGCTCGGGACACGCACACGGCCACCGCTGAACGACAGCCACAAGAGCCCGCGCGCCCGTCACCTGCGTCAGAGTCAGGTAGATGCGGTCGGTGAGGGGCGTGATGACCAGCCGCCCGTTCAGGCCCATGTACTCGTAGCCGTAGCTGAAGGTGCCGGTGCACTGGCGGACGTGCAGGTCGTCGGGCTCCCGGTCCCAGTAGAAGCGCAGCTGGCTCTCCCACTCGAACTCCCGGGCCTCGAGGATGCTGGGGGCGAGACGCAGGACACGGAGGAGAGTGAAGGAGGAGACAGGTGCGGCGGAAGAGAAGGTGGACGCGAAGGAGGCCGGAGAGGCAGCGAGAAAGGCCAAGGGCGATGAAGGATGCCCCCGGAGCCGCCGGCACCCAGAAGGCCCTCACCTGCCCCTGATGAACGAGTCCACTATGTCCCTGGCGTGCACGTCGATGATGAGAACAGTGTTGTATTTCTTCCGGTCGTTTTTGCTCAAGGGCTTGGTGATCCGCGAGACCAGCTCGTCGATCTGCCGGTGCATCTTCCTGCCGTAGCTCTTCATGGCCTGCTTCTCGCCCTCCTTCACCTTGCGGAAGACGTCCTCCACCTCCCAGGTCCACCACACCTGGCTGGCGGCCAGCACCACCATCCCTTGGTAGAGGAGCATCCAGTCGACTCTGAAGGACAAGCGCACCTTTACGCGTCCCACCGGGCACCGCCAACGGCCCCGAGGAGCCGCCATCTCTCTGGTCTGGGAGAGGGCAGGCAAAGTAAAAGCCCCGGGAAGCCCGAGGCAGTCAAAGTCCTCCGGCAGGACGGTGAGACGCAGACCCCCACACAAGCATGCACACGAGGGGCCGGGGCACGTGCAGGAAGATGCCAGGGAGCTTTAGAAGTGCCTCATACAGTTCCAAAATCACACCAAGTTTTTAATTTTTTTACACTGCAACAGCAAATACCTAATAACCTCTGAGCACACTGCCCAGGGGTCCTGGGTGTAGGCAGCTCCTGGGAGTCACTCGCCACTCCTCCCCACTCTCCTGCAGCCTGCGCCCAGTGGCACGCACGTGTGGGAGGCGGGCTGGTGTGGATGTCGCGCCACCGACGGCACCTCGCTTCTCTCGCTCGGTGATTCGAGTGGGCTGCCCGGGCCGGTGGGTGCCGGTCTAGCCCCGCCTCTGAAAACACTGCAGGGTCTTCCGGGCATGGCAGGCCCACAGCGCCCTCGGACGCCGCCTCACTGGGGTCTGCTGCCTCACTGGGATCTGCTCGGGGTGCCTCCGGCCCTTGTGCCAACACGAACACTGCACGAACCATCCCCCCATGGCGCTGCCGAACATCCCTCGGCACACAGGACAGTCTCTCATGGTAAAGAGCCCCCTGCCCCCGCCCCCACCCCCGGACAGTGGGGAAGCTGAGTGCCCGGCTCCGCACACACCCTGAGGAGTCGGAGTGGCCTCTAGTGCCCCGAATGGAGTCCCGAAGCAGGGCGACAGGCCGCGCACGGTGCTCTCTCTCGGGGTTTCCTTTAGTAAGCATGGTCACGTGGCTTTAAAAGGCCGCAGCAATGCCGGCGCCTGCCCAGCACCGCCCAGTGCGCCCTTCTCACCAGCCCCCTCCAGTACCAGGTGTTACCGTGCTCGGCTCCCTTTCTATTTTTTACTGCACACGATTGGTTTTCTTTCAGCCTACTTGGAAGGTGAGAAACTGTCTCATCCTGCCTTTGCCTGCAGATCCCTGACAACTAGTGGAGTCTCTCCTCTCTTCACATGTTTATCGGCCACTTGGGTTTCTCTACAGAGATACTAATTTCCCGAGCTGTTAAGGGCCTTGAAGTACATTTAGGGAAAAATATTTTTTTCCTAAATCATACTTAAAAAATATGGACCCAGAGCTTTAAGTTCCAGTCCGGGAAGAGTGTCTGGGAATCACTGGTCCTTATCTCAGTGCTAAACCATTCATTAATGGTGAAATAAGTTTAAACGAACATTTCAAACAATAAAAAGAAGTATCAGGCTTTGCCGTCTTGCTTTAAACTTGCATGGTGCGTCTGAAACCTCACTGGCACTTTCACTTAACGAGCCCTGCACACACACGAGAGCATCCAACGAATCCGCACCAAACGTTGCGATAAACTTAAACGCTCCTCCTCGGAAACTATTCGGATGATTCAGAGGCTGCAGCCACAGGCAACGGGTGACAGGCAGCTTCATCACGACAACGTGCCTGCTCATGCATCACGTCTCGTGCAGTCTTTTGACGAAACATCAAACCACCCAGGTGACTCACTGAGCCTCCTACAGCTGAGATGTGGTGCCCTGCGACTTCTGGCTTTTCCTAAAACTACAAGCACCCTTGAAAGGGAAGGGATTCCAGACCATCAACAAGATTCAGGAAAATACAACAGGGCAGCTGAGGGCGACTGGGAGAACTGTGTGAGGTCCCAAGGTGCCTACTCTGGAGGGGACTGAGGTGTCATTGTCCTGTGTACAACGTTTCTCGTATCTTCCTCAGTAAATACCTCTGTTTTTCATAGTGCATGGCTGGATGCCTTCTGGACAGACCTCGTACACTACAACTTTCCTGCGAATCCGCCTAAGTCTAATCGAGTTATCCAAAGGTTCTATATGTACTGGAGTTCAACTTCACATTGAAGCCAGCCGCAGTTTCCAGCCCAGGAACTTGCGTTTCCCACAGGCTCCCAGCAGCCCTGAGGCTGCCGGTCCAGGGCCCACGCTGTGGCAGGTGCTGCGCCAGGGGACCCTTTCAAGACGGACGGGCGCTGCCAGGACAGAAACCCCCTCCGGAACACCAGTCAGTGCAGCGCACGTCCCGGGACCCGCCCTGCCCGCCGCGACCGCCGCCGCGACGCAGGAACACTGCCGGGGTGGCCGGCTCACCTGCTTCTGTCTTCGCAGTACCTAAAGATGGCCTCCTTGGTGATGAGCCGGTTCGACCTGCGCATCTCCTTCAGAACTGCTGTCATCCAGTCCTCCACGCGCCCCTCGGCCCGCACGATCTTGCGGAACTCCATGACCTCCCCTTCGGCCGAAACCATGGCGGACACCAGCTTTTCTCCGCCCTCCCCATCGCTGAACCGCAGCGACGCGATGTTGTCGTACATCTGCAACACAGCGGGAGGACGCGCCCGTGACACGGCCGTGGGGCTCTGGGGCCCCAGCGCCGCCCGGGGTGCCCGTCGCACATGGACAGACTGCTCGCCCGAGTGCGTCTTCGCGGACAGGTGCACGCGCAGCGTGAGCTCCCGTCTGCCCTGCGCAGCACAGAGGCCTGGGGTGGGCTACGAAGAAAGAAGGAACAGGAAGACGGACTCCCTCCCCGCCCTCGAGATTCCAGAGTGCAGAGGTGCCAGACGCACGGACCGGCCGAACGTGGGAGAGGGGACAGCCTCTCTCCTCGGGGGCAAGGTGCCTCAGTGCCCTGGGGATGAAGAGTCAGAGACCCGCGGCTGCACGCCAGCTCCCCCCGCAGTCCGGCTGGGCAACCTGGGCACGCTGCTTCCTCTCGCTCAGCCTGGGATAAACGTAAGTGCACCACTTACAAGATGAGGCTGGAAGGAGCAAATTAACAACGTGTGACATGCCAGCACGTTGTCGGCTACCGTCACTGCTATTAATCAGAGTAATAATCAGGGAAATGAATCTGCCGGGGCCCCATATAAACATCGAGGTGCCCTGCAAACCCAAGAGGAGGAGGAAAAGGCAACAGGCTCTAGAGGATACTATCAGAGGTGTACAAAAGGGACTCTCAGCAAATGCAGCACTTCTAACAACACGGGTTTCTACAGCAGTGAAACGGTTTTTATAAAAGCAGGCAGAGAATATAAGCCTCCCCTTTGGAAAAAAACAAAAACGCGCACTGGAACCCTGAACCTGCTTTAGGAAGGAAGTCAGCATGAGTTAGAGAGTCAAGCCCCTGGCCCTCACCGCCCTGTGTGTCTGGAACAAAGAAATGACTCTTCACAGGCACAAATACAAAGGACGCAGGGACAAAAACTGGGGGGTGGGGGACTGTGGAAATGGGAGGCAGATGGGGAGGGATGTGTGGGTGGGCTGGAATCAGAATAAAAGGCAGAGAACTGTACCTGAACAATGACGAAAAGAAAAGAAAAGAAAAGAAAAGAAAAGAAAAGAAAAGAAAAGAAAAGAAAAAAAAGAAAAGAAAGGAAAAGAGAAAAAAGAAAAGAGAAACGACTCTCCCACGCTGGTTCAGAACCGCGGACGGCCTCGCCCCAGGGGACAACGGCAGTGTCTGGAGACATGCTGGGCCACCCTGACTGAAGGGGGTGCTCCTGGAGCCCAGCGCGTAGAGGCCAGGGACGCAGCGGGACATCCTCCTGTGCACAGCCCAGCCCCGACCCCTGCCCTCACGCTCTTGCACGCTCACGCGCGCACGCACACACACACACACAGGGCGAAGGATCACCGGGCCCAAAACCCGGACGGGGCCAAGGTTGAGGAAGCTGCCCTGGGCTGGCCGTGAACACAGAGCTTCGCCTCGCTGACCGGAGCCCGCTCCGGCCGTGCCCTGGCTCCCGGCCACAGGAGTCATCCTCTCTGGTGTGCTTCCTGCCGCGAAACACTGCTCACGACACACGCGTGTGTGTGACAGCGTGGAAACGCGGCTCGGGGGGGGGGACGCACAGGCAGCTCGTGGGAGTGGCTGCCTCTTAAAGGTGGAGGAGGAACTGTGAGTGGGGAGGGGGACAGAGAGTAGGCGACTCTGTCCGTCCCACCTTAATTTCGAAGAAGATACACAGAAAACATGACCGGATGGCAACAGTGTCCATCCTGAGTGGTGGGTGGGGCTCTCTGGCCAGCACTGTAAGGCAGGCCCTGATCTAAGTTCTTAACTCATTTAATCTTCCTAACAACCCCACTGAAGAGGGTGACTGTTGGGGTCACCCCCACTGACAGATGAAGAAACTAACGCCCAGAGAGGCTGAGTAACTTGCCCACGTCGCACAGCAAACCCGTGCGGAGCCAGCCCCGAGCCCAGGCAGGGGGGCCCCAGAGTCCTGGCGCCAAAGCACCACCCTGCACTGCCGCTCTGCCTGCTCTCTTCGTCTTTGTGTATTTGCGCATTTCCTGAGTTTCTCAAAAAGTGTGGTTTTTGGACTGGAAAAAAGAGCCACATACAGCAGCTGAGTCCTGGTGTCGTTTCAGATGACACGGGATTTCATCAGATTTGTGCTTTCAATGAAATTCCAGCAGCTTTTTCTGCCCTGGCTGGTGTGGCTCAGCGGACTGAGCGCCAGCCTGGTTGGCTCACCGGTTCGATTCCCAGTCAGGGCCAGGTCAGGCCCCCAGTAGGGGGCGTGCGAGAGGCAGCCACACACTGATGTTTCTCTCCCTCTCTTTCTCTCTCCCTCCCCCTCTAAAATTAATTAATTTCAACAACTCCCGCAGCTTTTCAGTCTATGACCTCCGAGCTGACCCACACTGGGAAGAGGACTCGGGGAAGACAAACCACAGGCGCAGAGTGCACCCCCCGCCCCGCCGGGAGCCCCGGGGCCGACCTTGATCATGTGCTCCTGGACACACAGCGGGTCGCTGCTCCCCAGGATGCTGAGCAGCTCGTCGTCGGAGATGAAGAAGAACCGGGGGAAGGCGTTCCTCTTGGAGTCCAGGTAGTCGTTCAGGCTCTTCTGGCACTTCTCCAGGCCGTCGCTGATGAGATGCAGGTCCTTCAGGCGGTTTGGGGCCTCGCAGCACCTCTTGATCACAGGGTCTTTCAAGGTCTCGCCCATGATCTGGACAAGGTCAGGAGGACAGGGGTCAGGCCAGGGCAACAGGGCTCCGCACTTGTCCCCGCTGGCACTTGCTGGGGCCAGCTGGGCAGACGGAGACGAACCGACACCTCCCCGGGAACAGAGTCTTTGGAGAGGCCAAAGCTGTTAGGCGTTAGAACGAACACACCCATGGCACCTCCTGACCCCCCTACGGAATTTACTCAGCTCCAGGTCAGCTGCTCGGGGCACGGCTTTCCCTGTCTTGTCCTCACTGACTGCCCCTCACACCTACAACGGGGCCCGCGTACAGCAGGCCCTCGGTCAGTGTCTGCCGATGAGCAGAGCCAGCAACCCCACTTCGAGCAACCCGTATGGACCGGAGAACTGAGTACGGCGCCCTCTACAACGGCAAAGAAGGGGGGACGGGGGAAGGAAATAGCCTAACCGCTGGACAGCAGGGAACCAGGGCAGTCCCTGGCTACGCTACTGATTTTAACAGACGAGTAGATGTTTGTTTACTGGCACGCACATCAACAACGTTAAATTACAAATAACAATCACTGGCATTTTAATGACTATTTTGTAGAAAACTTACTTGTCTGTTTATTGGCATGTTTACATAGGAATATGCAAATTCGGGAACAACATATGCTAAACTGTTCAAATGGTTATTTTGGGCATGGGATTGCCAGCCTTTTTTCCTTTTTCTTTTTAACTTTGCTTTTTTTTGTGGTTTTTAATTTCTCCTTCAATGGATATTTACGATATAATGTTTTTTAGGTTTTTTTAAGAGCTTACGCAAATGGACAAGGACAATGACCACCTCTCACGGACAAAGGAGGCCCGGGGCGGACCGGCCGCTGGTGGCAGAAGACACGGTGGCGTCGATAAGCAGCAAAGCTCCGGACTTGAGGGCAGGTGGGCTGGGTTGGACCCCTCGCCCCACAAGCCACCACCAGCAGCGGTGACAGGCACACTCTCTCACGGCAATTCACCCTCTGACAACCTCCTGGAAGACACTCATCCTAAACATGGGGACAGCGCCAGGTGCAGACCTGCAAATGAGCCCTGACGGCAAAGAGCTCCGGCTCCAACAGGGTGTCCAGTTACCAGACAAACATCAACTAAATTCACATCAAGTCACACATACATATAAAGGCATTAAAAGACTTTCTCAGATGGTTTCATAATATGAGATACATTTCTCCTAATGCTAAGGAAAAATCATAAGATATAAAAGTATACAAAATATCACTGTAATTGTTTTTTAAACCCATGTACACAGGAAAGCATTTTTAACATATGGCATTAAAGTGGCCATCTGCAGGTAACAGAACCGTGAAAAATACATCCTTTCTGTTTTTCTAAATTTTCCAAATTTTTCTCATACAGCCAGTATTACCACTGCCCTGCCTGGCGGCTAGTTGTTTGGAGCGTTGCCCGCCACCAAGAGATCGCGCATTTGATCCTTGGTCAGGGTGCGTGCGAGAGGCAACCCATCAATGTTTCTCTCTCACGTCGCTCTCCCCCCCCACCCCTGCTCTCTCTCTAAAACCAATAAAAACATATCCTCAATTACTTCTATCATAAAAATAGGTAAATACAAGAAAGCGCCGTGTGCCAGCAGCTACAGATCAAACAAACTTTCACTGGGCAGACTAAGGCCACCTACGGCGACAGAAAAACTTCAGGAGCCACAGACAGACAGACAGACAGACAGAATAATACATGAAAATAGGTGAAACTACTCCACTTCTCTCGGGACTGAAAGAGAAGCCGGTTACTTGCCCTTTTAAAAATCCGGTCGATGTTGTCGAACTTCTTCGCCTCCTCTGGGAGCTGCGACCGGATGTCCCCCCCGATGAAAATGCTCTCCAGGTACATCCACTTCCTCTGCACCAGCATCCAGATCTGGGGGCGCACACGCTGCCGTCAGCCCCGGGCCCCGGGTGCGTGGCGGCATTCCCCCCAGCACGGGGCAGGCTCACGCCAGGCAGGGCGGCCCCTCCCCGGGGAGACGGGATGATGGAGGACGCACAGCCGGGTGTTTCAGAATCCGTGGCCACACTCAGAAGCACCAGAGAGCTCTGCCCCGGACAAGGAGGGCGCTTCCAGCCGAGCGCAGGGGTTCGAGGGGCCCTACGACCCAGGACCTAGGCCTGTGTGGTCTGCCATGCACCCCCAGGCGCAGACCCACAGGAACTGAGAACAGGGACTCAAAAGCAGTTGTGCACAGATGTTCACGGCAGCGCTACCCGCAACAGCCAAAAGGGGGCCATGGACAAGCGACAGGGAAACAGAAGTGGCCCATCCACACAGCGGACGGTGACTCGGCCCTGTGAAGAGCTCTGACACCAGCTACAACCTGGGTGAACCGTGAGAACGTGGTGCTGCGAGAGAGATGGGGGACTCAGAGGGCCACACAGTGCGTGATCCCATTCCCGGGAAATGTCTGCAAGAGGCCAGCACCCAGGGACAGAAAGCAGACTGGAGGACGCCGGGGCCAGAGGGAGGTGCAGCAGGGAGTGGTCACTTCCAGTGGGTCGGAATTTAACTCTGAGGCTGAAAACGTTCTGGGACTAGACAGAGGAGGTGGCTGTACCTCTGAGTGAACGTGCTGGGAGATTCTGAATTGTAACTTTCAAATGGTTACTTTATGTCATGTCAATTTCACACCCACTGAAACACCTTCATGTGACAAACAGCCACACTGCACCCGACCTACCAGCTGTGAAGGCTCTCGCCCCCTGAAAGTCGGCTCTCGGCCGTCTCCCCGGGGTCTTTTCTCTCACCTCGATGACTTCGCCGATGAGGGAGAGCGTCTTCTCCCACTTGTGAACTGTCTGCAGAAAAGGCCCCACAAACCGGCTCCCCGAGATGCTCTGCAGGTTGAAGGTGTTGTCGTCGAGGCACTGGATGATCTCGTCGACAGAGCCCAGGATGTAGCCCCGCTCCTGGGTGCCCTTGCAGTACTTGACCACGGAGAACTTCAGGTTCTCCCACGTGTCCAGGATTTCCTTCACGGCCTGCTCGGGCATGCGCGAGGGACGGTTCGGGCACGCGCGAGGGACGGTTCGGGCACGCGCGAGGGACGGTTCGGGCATGCGCGTTTAACCAACGGCCCCACCCCTCCCGCAGCTTCCAGAGCCTGCCCCGGGCCAGCCCCTGCACCCAGGGTCCCGGTCCACTTCCAGAACAAGCAGAGGTCCCGACGGGGAGATGCTGGCCACCGTTCGCCAAGGACTCGCTGCCTGCCAAGTGAACCCCCTGGCGCCCCGGTTACCACCCGTGTACGGAGGCGGGGACAGGGGCTCAGAGCTGAAACAGCCTCTGCTCCATGCGCTCAACTCTGAGTGCCGGGGCCGGGGTCCAAGCCCCCCAGTCAGCCCCTGGCTGCGCGCTCACCAAGCCCTGCCTGCGCTCACTGTTAAGCAAGAAAACCAAATGATAAAATAACACGCCTACATATGACGACTTACAGGAACACTCCATCAGTGTTTATGTTATTAGAAGCGTAGGTATATCGTGTGTACGTGTGCTATCACATATGTGCTTGTGCACGTGTGCCTATGTGTGTGTGTGCCTTTCGTGTTTGTGTGCGAATACGTTTTAGTGTGTGCGTACATGTGTGTATACGCATGTGTACGTGCATCGTTAAATGTTGAAGGATAGACCTAAAGTGTTAATAATCTTCAGGTGGTGCGATTCTGAGTGACTTGTTCATTTCCTCGGTTTTCTGCTGTGAACCTTCCTCATTTCTTTAATAAAAAAATAAACAATGAGACTCTAGTTGAAGAAGATAAAAACCTCAACCGAGGCTGAGTCCCACGTCTAGGACACATGGCTCCTGGTTCCCCGCACACCACAGGTCCCCGGGCCGCCCCCGGGTGAGGCCAGCGCCCCTCCGCCCAGAGCGCGCGGCCAACCGAGCGCGGCGGCCCCACCTTCTCGATGGCGATCTCCTTGACGGCAGCCATGACGATGTCGTTGAGGACATCGGTGTGCCGGTGAAGCTCCATGGCAAACATGTTTTCCAAGGTGAACGTCTCTGTCATCTCGAAGAACACGCCGGTCTTCTCCATGAGCTCGTTCCAGTGCCTGGGAACGCACCAACAGGCGACTGTTTACCAGACCGGGCTGAGCTACGGGCCGGTTCGCCCCGCCGAAGGCGGAGGACAGCCCGCCACAAACACTGTGGAGTCCTGCAGCGGGAGGGCCCCACTGGCCGCCCCGGTTAAAGGCAGGAAACACCGAGCACGACCTCCTGCTGAAGGGTCAGAGGGGCTGGGAGGGACTTCCTCGGGGTCGCCTTCTCACGGGGTCGGATGAAGCCCTGTGACGCCACATGGCCCTCTGCCCGCCTGGGAAGTGTGAGGGGGACAGAGGGCCTGCCAGGAAGAATGCACTCACACCTTCCTGCGGACCCCTGTGTGTGGGGGGCCGCGTCCGAATGGCCATAGACAAATGAGAGGGACCCTCCTCCACGTCACGCACACCCGCCCCCCCCGCCCCAGCTAGTCCATTAAAAAACAAGGGAGACCTGCTCTGATTGACAGCCACGGGCCACCTGTGGCTCCCGAGCATCTGGCTGTGACGAGTCCCAACTGAAACCTACTATAAGCGAAAAACATACACTGGACCGAGATGTACTTTTTAAGAACATAAACTATCTTGTGAATAGTGTTGTACCTGGATTACATATTGAAATGACAATATTTTGCCTGTGTTGGGATAATTAAGTATGCTATTAAAGTTAATTTCACCTGTTTTCTCTGCAGCTGCCAGAAAACTGTAAGTTCCTTACATGTGTTGCACGCATCCCCCAGAGGACGCTGATCTAGACCCCTTCCCAGTTTTTAAAAACAACTTCTGGCTGAAGCAACTGCAGATCACACTTTGCACCTGACAAGGTTCCTTTTGTTTTAAACGAGAGAATCCTTGGGGGCGACAATTCTGTAGGGAGTGCACATCAAACAACAGGACGGAAACAGGCCTTGCTCTTGGCCACCAGACCAAACTAAGCAAAGACAACTCTGACACTGGAAGCATCCCCCCTCTGCTCTCACGGTGGCTGACAAAGGACGAAACGCACCTGTCCCTGAGTGCCTCGTGCTTCAGGTCGAGAAGGAGAGGAATCGAGTCTTTGAATGCCTTCATTTTTGCTTCCAAATAGTAGGCCACTGACAAGTTCCGGACCTGCCGGGGCAGCTTCCTGAGGGACCTGAGGAAACCTTCGATCCCGTCCTGGAGAAACTGAACGTTCAGGTTGACCCAGAGCGTCTGCGCCCACTCTTCTTTGGCAAGCTGGGGATGGGCGAGAAAGGCCCGTCAGCACGACCCCTCAGCATCGCGCAGGCAGCCGGGCCGAGGGTCACGCTCGCTGCTTTTCTGGACCGTCGCCCATCAACCCCCGGCAACCTCTCGTTCACGGGGGAGGACTGACCACGGGGCTCTAGAACACAACCCAAACAACTCCGACCCCTTCCGACCCTCGCCAAGAGAGGTGTCTTCCGAGCCCTAGGAGAAAGGGCAAGCGTGGGGTCAGAAACAGGTGTTTGAGAGGGAGGAGTCACGTGGGCCCTTGTGTGCTTCGTCCAGAGGCTGCCCTGACGGGCTCCCCCTTCCTGATAAGAGAAGCTCAGTTCACAGAGCACAACTTAGGTGACCGCGCTCGATCACCACGGCGAGGACCCGGCTCTCTGTGCTCCGTCTTCCCGAGACTTACGTGACAAGCACCGTCGGGCGTAAACTTGCCGCCTCCGACAGTTCCCACGTGCCCCTGCAGCACCGAGGCTCCTCAGGCTGGGAGACCATCGGCCTGACCACAGGCGGAGCTCACTGGGGCACTCCGCACACGGCGGTTGTTTCGGTCCAAGGAGTAGGCGGCGTCCCGCTGGAGGAGGATGAGCCCTGCACCCGCCAGCCGGCCCAGGCCAGCCCCGCTGCGGATTCGGAGCCCTGCTCGACCACGGCCCCACCTCGCCCCCACCCCCGGGCTCCACAGCGCCCCCTGACCCTCACTTCTGGACGCTGCACAGCAGCACAGGGGTTCGTTCCCGTGTCAGTGGGAGGGTTACCGCCACGCATCAGCCTGACCAGGCCCTGGACCCTGGACACTGGTTTAACGCCACCCTGGGTGCGTCTGTGCGGAGGACTCCGGGTGAGAGTCGCGTCTGAGTCAGCTGACTGGGTGCAGCAGACCGCTCTCCCTGCTGCGGGTGCGCCCGCGCCAGGGCCCCGAAGGCCTGGGCCCAACTACGGGGCCCAGGAGGAGAGAACCCGCGCGCTGGACGGTCCTCGAGCCCAGACTCGGTGAGAGCAACACCATGGGCTCTGCGGGGCCCTCAGCCTGCCGACTGCGGGCCGTAGGACCGCTCGGCCTCTGTGGCCACGCGAGCCGATTGCTCGCGATCCATCTCTCTGGTTCTCATTGGTCCTGTTTTCCGGAAGAGCCCAGACTCACACATTAATTCTCTCGTCGGGGCTCAAGAAGGGCAGGGACGGCGAGTGTTCCTGCTCCCCAGCCAGCGCGGCACTGGGCCGTAAAGAAGCAAGTGAATAAACAGATGGAGGTATGAATGGATCAACCGACCGACCAGCCAACGGCATGAAACCGCACAGGGAACGCGCACGGCAGAAAAACCCAAGTGACGCGATGCCTGCCACCCGCCACGTCCCCTCCCTTCCAGCAGCGCACGCCACGCCCTCACCAAGCCCTGGCCTCCGGGGGGGTTTTATCATCACGGGGGTAAAACACATGCGACACCTGCCATGTTAGCCGGTCAGTGACGTCAAGAGCGTTCACCGTGTTATGTGACCATCACCACTCTCCTGTTCCGGGACCTTCTCCCCCGCCCAAACGGGAACCCCGTACCCGCCAGCAGTCCCCCTGAGAGCCCCAGTGAGGAGAGTTCTGGGAAACCTGCCCGGGCTCTCCCTGGCGGGGGCCTCCGAGTCCGCTGGGCCTGGGCGCGTCCTGCCCCCGGCGGGCAGACCGGGTCTGCGGGGCACGCTCACCTTCAGCCCCCGGTAGAGCTCGTACACCACCTTCAGCCCGCTCATCTCCTTCTGCACCTTGAGCAGCTCGGGGTACATTGTAATCGGAAGGTCGAAAAGTTTCTCAGCGTTAGCCAGCTCCTGGCGTTTCTTTTCATGCTGTACCAGCTCTCTTTCAAAAACGGCTAAAAGGTCTACTCCTAGTAAACAAGTAAATGCATAGGTAAATACAGAAAACTGTAAGGCGCCGAAGTCACAGGAGAAACCGCAATGTACGTGAGCTCTCATTTCCCCCGCAGAAGCCACCGGGGAAGACAGACTTGGAAGTACCAGACTCGATCTCACCATGGCTCTGACGAAAACGGAAGGGCCAGTTACACCTGCAAGTTGGCACAGCCTGTCCCCTTAGCATCCCCCTCCTCTCGGTGTCTCAGCCTGGGACGGGCCCCAGGACCCCACGGGAGCTCCTAAACGTCCCCAGGGCCGGACCACCCTCGAGGACAAGGGACTCAGACAACGTGGCCCTGGGCCGCGGCCCCAGTGGTGCTTGGAGGTCCCCCAGGTGAACCCAGCACACAGGCAGGGGTAAGAAGCACCACCCCATCCTGTCCTCCCATAGAACTCGGAGGTAAAACACACTCGACACCCCAAAAGACCAACGAGACTTTTCTCACCACTGTCAAGATCTTCCCCAACAGAACCAGGGCCTTCGCAATAAAAACGTTTTGCAAAATCCTCTATCTGCTGCCTGTAGCCTGATATTTCTCCTCGAGTAATCTGGGAGAAGCAAGGAGGCATTAATTTGACCCAGTGGACGTTTCTCAACGTCTTCACTCGGAAAGCAAAAATGTGAAAGGCACCTCTGTGAAAGTTTTCTTTATGCCACCCAGCGCGTGCTCCACGTTCACCGAATCGCTGAACAGATTTAGCCACATAGTCTCAACGTTGTCCACCAGTGTCTTCTCTGCATCGGAGGGCTAGGCAAAAGTAAAGGAAGGGCAAGGCAAACGGTAAATGATCAACAACTTGGAAGGGAAATTCCTGCTCAAAGACACTGCCAAGAAACTTCTGCTTACGGTCACAGCAGGCCGAGCGATTTGAAACAACAAAAGAGCTGGTTGAAAAATAAAAATTATATATGTATAGCCCTGACTGGTGTGGCTCAGCGGGATGGGCATCCACCCGCAAGAGGAGAGGTCGCTGGTTTGATTCCCGGTCAGGGCACATACCTGGGTTGTGGGCCAGGTCCCCCGGTTGGGGGTTGGGGGCGCGTGTGAAAGGCAACCAATCAGTATTTCTCGCACATCAATGTCTCTCTCTCCCTCTCTCCCTTCCTTCCCCTCTCTCTAAAGTCAATAAGCATGTCCTCGGATAACGATAAAAAACCAAAATAACAGGCATATAAGGATACAAAACGACTTGAATGAAGCCAAGAAACCAAGAGAAACATGAACAATATAAGCAAACCATAACAAAGTTTTAGGATACAGAGTTTAAAATCACTTTACTTAATAGAGTAAAAGAAACAAAAGACAAAACAATTTTTAATTACAGAAATAAAAATTCTGTCCTGGCTGGCGTAGCTCAGTGGATTGAGCGTGGGCTGCAAACCAAAGTGTCGCAGGTTCGATTCCCAGTCAGGGTACATGCCTGGGTTGCAGGCCACGGACCCCAGCAACTGCACATTGATGTTTCTCTCTCTCTCTCTCTCCCTCCCTTCCCTCTCTAAAAAAAAAATAAATGAATAAAATCTTTAAAAAATAAATAAATAAAAATTCTGCATACTGTGCATTTTTCTCATGAGAGGATCTCTAACTATCAGCCCAGGGTTACTGCTCAGGGAAAGGTACTCAAAGCAGTCGAGTAACATCAATGCTGAAATATAGATTTTATGCAACTAGACTTAAAACAGCTATTTCTCTCTCCCAACTGTGCATTTGTGTGTGTGTGTGTGTGTGTGAGAGAGAGAGAGAGAGAGAGAGAGAGAGAGAGAATGCAAAATCTCTGCATACAGTTTCAGGGGCTCACCCACGGGTTTCTAAAAGTCCTTGAAACCCACACTTAACAACCCTAAACAAAGAAAGACAATTAAATTATTATCTTCTACCAGTTTGCTATCATCTTTTCTCTCTCTCCCTCTTCCCTTACCATTTTTGCAAAGGCTTTTACTTATCAAAAGAAATTACAGCAAACAGAGAGAGATTGAAATAGTGTGCAGTTAAAGACCAGCCTACAAAACGTATTATTTGGGCTATGCAAGATTAAGAACTAGACCCTAAATTTTCACGGTCCTAAGTAACAGTGGGGTTTCCTTTACACTTCAGTCTCATCACTGGAAGTCTCAAACAAATGCGTGGCAGTGCATCCGAGGCGCATCTGCAGACGGAGCCCCCGTGCCCGAGACCAGCAGAGAAGCGCAGGGAGAGCGGGTGCCCACTCACGTGGAGGTTGTACGCCGCCAGGGTGCGGTACCGCTCCTGGACGTCCCTGTATCTGAGCTCCATGAGCAAGGACTTGCTCCTGATCTCTGCGATTGTCGCCAGGACAAACTTGAGGTCTTCGAGGGTGCTGGGGCTCTTCTTCAAGCTTTTACCCAGGTTCTATGGAGAAAGTTCGAAGGACACAAAATAAACACCGGGGGGGGGGGGTGCCAAGCCGAGCCCGCACTCGCGTGAAAAGCAGCTGCGACTAAGCCCAGTGGCCCGCTACCTCCATCTCCTCGTGCAGGCTGTACAGCTCCTCCTTGGCCGACTCGCCGAGCAGCTTGCCCAGCGAGACCACCCAGGACCGGGCGCTCTCCTGCACCGTGCTGGCCAGGGGCCCGAGCTGCAGCCGGACGCAGTGCTCGTCCTTCGTCAGCGAGTTGCGCGCGACCTCGTAGGAGATCTTGGAGTAGAACTGCAGCTTCTCGTCGTACGCCGTGCAAGGGGGCCTCTTGGCGGCAAATTTCTCCATCACGATGGCTTTGTCCAGTTTCCAAAGGGGGCGATACTTCTTCCATTTCTGTAGGTACTTCATGAGATTGATAAGAATCCTGTGGACGTTCTGGGGGATCATAACAGCTTGTTCGATGATCTGAGGGTTCAGGGAGATGTCGCTGTAGAAGCTGATGATCACAACTTCCTCCTCCTCGCCCTTCTGAGGGGGGCACTCTATGCAGCTGCCATGCATCCACCGAACAAAATTCTGGCAAAGGGAGAACCGGGGGAGAGACAGCACTTGAGTATCAATGTTGCTTCCTGTGTGTACAGAAGTATTCAGTAATAATTCTTGCTAGTAATGAAAATCACTCGATTATTAATAAGCTGTGCTCAGGTGCAAGCAAGACCACGACCCTCTGTCCCTCCCAGCAGTCCCCTGCCCCGGGCTGGCCGGCGATGAGACCACCAGGAGGGCCAGAAGTGGTTTCTGCAAGTTCCAAGCCCAGGACTCGGGGCACTGCGCAGCTTCCACTCTCAATGGGTAAATAAACATGCAAACAAGCAAGAGAAGGTCAGACGGGGGAGCTGCCAGGAAGGAGGCAGCCTGGTGCTGCTGGGACAGGGAGGACAGGGAGCCAGTGAGAACAGGTCCGGGGAGAAGGCCCCACGTGGGCAGCCAGCCCGGGGGGGGGGGGGGGCGGGGACACGAGCGGCAGGTGCGCGAGGCTGGGGCGCAGGGGACGGACAGACTCAGGGAGGGGACAGGAGAGGCGGGCGGTACTGGCTGTGACCGGAACAAGGGGCTCAGATTACGGTCTGATTGCTACGTGAGGTCACCAGGGCCTCCAGACAGGGGAGGACAGGAGTCACCGGGGCCTCCAGACAGGGGAGGACAGGAGGCGGCTCACGTTCTGACAGGACCGCCCTGACCACCTGCTGTGGTGGGGGACCCATCGCCCCGCCCGCGTCCAGGTCAAGTGGCAGCACTCAGGAGAGACCGGTCACGCAGAAACGGGGAGGAGGACAGTAGAAGATGCATTCGGGCAGCAAGATGTGCCCGCCAGTGGGCTGGGCGTGGGTGGACAAGAGAAAGGGCTGAGTTGGTGCCATTTCCTGAGACAGGGAAGCTGGGGTGGGCCCAGGCTGCTCGACCTGCACCCTGGACGAGCCAAGTCTGAGACCCCAGGAAAAGGGGACGTCCAGTGGGCAACGGGCCATCAAAGGGCGGGGAGGTCTGGGCAGTCGGCTCCAGGGGCCGATCACGGCTGTGCAGGGGAGGGAAGGGAGAGGAGACGGGGGCGCCAGGGTCGAGCCTCGGGACAGTCCGGAGCCTGGAGCGCTGCAGAGGCCGGGGCGCTGGGGAGAGGACAGCGATCTGGGCAGACCGCAGAGCGACCCGGCCACGACCTGCTCGGGAGACCGCCGTCGGCCGCGGGCGGGCTGGCCCTGCGATGCCAAGCCGCTGGTGCAGCAGCGCAGACGCCCCACCTCACCTTGGTGACCTCCACGCAATTCCGGACGCAGTGGACACACATCTTGTTGATCTCGTTTGAACTGGGGTGGAGGATGATCTCCGGCGCGGTCAGGATGGTTTCCGTTTGGAACACAGGGACGTTCCCCAGGATCAAGGAGTTAAAAGATTGCAGGTTCCTGAGCAGGGTTGATGAGGAAGACTCAGTCCTCACTGGCGCAGCGCACACGCAGCCACGGACGGCAACGCCCAGAGTACCCGGGGTCCCACGTCAAAAGCCTGGTACACGGAGTGTCCCATCCCAGGGCAGTCATGGACAGTTTGGGGTGAGCTATGTCACCGATCCTCTTTTTTTGGCCTAAATTTTACAAATAGCTCGTTCCAATTTTGGGGAGATAACTACCGGTTGGGCGACACTTAAACAATGACGATGACCTCCAAAAGCCGTCCGACTCTGGCTCAGGAAGACTGGCCACGCACAGGCTCACGTTCCGCCCCGGAGGCGCCGTCCCTGTCAGCGCCCTCTGGTCTTCAGGCCTCGGCTCGGACGCGGCCTCTGCATACCCCCCGTCACAGCTGCACCCCCCACCCCCACTCCCCAGGACACCCCCTCCTCTCCCTCTCTCATGGCCGCCGCCGCCGCGGCTGTGTCTGTCGCCTGTGCCGTGCCTCTCCCCGCCGTGAGGCTGGGCCAGGCCGCAGGCATCCATCCCACTGTAGCTGACACTCTCCTAGCCGGGGCTGCCCTCGAGGCCACCGGGACATGGGAAAGGGTCCCCTGACTTTCACAGCAGCCCCTCTCAGCACAGGCAAGAGAGCCACCTGGGGTTCTCGTGACCTCCGCGAGACGACAATGCTCTGCTGCCCAGGGGACACACATGCTCGTGTCTTTCTGGTGGCTGAGGGGTGGAGGGAGAGCTCCTTTTCTGAGGGCCTGGCAGGAGCCAAACGGAAAGTCGTCCCCCCGTGCGGCGAGCAGCCTGCCGCCGGGAAGCAGCGTCACCCCCCGCGCGGCCCTCGCCCTGCCCCTGCAGCGCCCCGGGAACCACCGCCCGCTCCAACTGCCTTGCTCTGCGCACACGGTCCTCAGACAAGCCACGAGACGGACTCACTTCAGGATGAGCCGGGTCAAGGCCTCGTACAGTCTCTTCTCCCAGTGCTCGTAGTAGGAGGCCAGCTTGGGGGCCTTGCCCGTGTTGGTCTGGACGACCAGGCCCTCGACTTTGGTCAGCAGAGGCCCGATGGCCAGGTACCACCTGACCATGTAGTCCACGTCTTTGGCCCTTTCTCGGTCAATGTGCTCGAAGAACTCCTTCACGCCTGCAGAGGAAGTCACCTGTCACGGCTCCTCACAGGGAGGGACAACTCCTGGGAACGCATCCCCAACGTTAGCTGTCTGTCTCGGAAGCACGAAAGCAGCCTCCAAGCCGGACCCGAAGCCGACAACGAGGCGACACCAGAAGCCCAGACGGGCGGGCCCTCGGCGGGAGAGAAGGACAGCGCCCAGCACCCCTGGGCCGAAGCGCACGCACCACGCCCCACGGGCAGCGGGCGCGTCTCTGGGCCGACCCACGTTCCCCGAACTGCGGGCTGACTGCGCCTGAACCCCAGGCCGACGAGTCTGAGGCCACTCACGACACCTGGTCTGAACAAGCGAGCGTGAGCCCATGAGCGTGAGCCCATGGGAATCACTGGTGACCCCGGCAGGTCGGTGAGCGAGACCACTTGGAGTCGTGCTACTCCGTGCATGCGGTGAATGTGTGTGTGTGCACACACACCTGTGGGTTCGCAGTCACCACCAAGAGGCTGCTTCCTTCCCTTCCACGATCGAAGGACCAAGGAGTAGGGCATACCTGGGAGCTCTTCCCCACTTTTCGGGGCTGGATACTTGAAGAGATTTATGGACTCTATCAACGTCAGCCTGGAAGAAATGTCATCCGCGTTCTTCTGAATCTGGTGGACGAGGGACTCGAACTTCCCAATGGCCTGTCTGCACCGGGCTATGTAGTCAGCGATGCCTTCGGGGAAGAGGGAAACGGAGAGAGACAGGCATTGGCCTTTGGGCCTTTCTCTCCGTGGCCCCTCTACCGTCTGCAAAGGTAATGCCGTGCAGCATCCCTCTCGCGGGAAGGACGCAGCCTGTCCCGCCCCTGGGTCAGCGAGGTGGCAGAGAGCCACAGGAGCCCTGGGGAGGAAGGACCACTGTGCTCAGAATCAGCAAAATGACATATTTCTTATTACGCTCCCACGTAACTGGTCACCACATCCCCCCCACACACACACGGAGAGATTACGGGGTGACCAACACCACCTCCAGGGCCAGAAGGCGGTCACGGACGCGGTGCGTTACCTAGCGAGTTCCAGTTCAGGCGCTTGTACCCCGACCTGAAGACGCGCACCAGCTCCTGGGAGTGCTCGTCGAGGAGCACGGCCTCGGCCTCGGTCAGCGTGCCCACGAGCTCGTGGTAGTGGTCCAGCATGCGCTGTATCCCCTCCGTGTACCTGCGTGTTCCGGGGGAGACGGCGGCTGAACGCAGCCCCCCTCGGGGACGGCCGACCGGAGGCCTGCAGCCGGCCTGACCCTCGGACCGAGAGCTTTGCAGAAATGCACAGCGATGCCACTCTCCCCACCCACTTCCGTTTGGTTGCTTCCCGTTAGAAATGTTCCTTACGTTAACATGGAATGGCTCATTACTGTTATTTTTAGGTGAGTGAATAAATACACGTTTTAAATGTTTCTTAGTTTTAATTTATAGTGGTGAACACTGGTAGTTATAAAGTCCACCAAAATGAAAGCTTTGCAGAAGGGGAGCAGTTCTCGATGGTTTTTCAGAGAGCGAGGGTGTCCCAAGACCAAAGTTTACTGCCCATTTAAGAGAAGAAGCTTTTTACCTAAGAAACTTGTCCTCCTGGAGGGCGACATTCCTTGCTAATTCGGGGACAGGAAACCCCAGCTGTTCCAAGTACTTTGTTTCATTAATAATCTCCCTGAGAGCGGTGGGGAAATTGATTGCGAAAGCCGCGCTCTTGTCGGAGCTCACGGCGTCATCAGAGACCTGTGGAAGGGCAGTCCTCAGGGCAGTCAGTCACTACCCAGGTCACACGTGGGTTTGAGAGAGAACAGTGCAGGTACCCCCGGGCTGACAGACTCGGGAGCTGCCTGGGACCAGCGAGAACATGTATCGGTGAAGTTCCTGAAGAATTCCACTCAGCCACCCCCTTTGGCAGCCGGGTGATGGCGTACAGAAGCGCACAATTCTGGCTCCCCTCAAAAGCCTGGGAAAGCTGATGGCGTGTGACAAGAGGGGCCGGCGTGGGGGAGCGACGGCCCCTTTGAAAGGACCAGAGCAGTCAGCCCCTCACAGGCCCCCCGGCCCTGTCCCTCCTTCTGGTCCCTCCTTCAGAATTTCAGGGACCAAAGGCCGAAAGCCAGCGGGCCCCGGCCGGTCCTACAATGTCCCCACCGGGCACCTGCTGCGTGCCGGGCCCGGGACAAAAGACGAGGAAGAATCACGTGCAATGGCGTCTCCTGCCGGTAAGAAATGGTCAGCAGCCAGCTCTTCCCTATGCGGTTCAACCAACACTTTGTGCATTTACGTCACGGAACCCAGCTCAGGCTCAGGGTGCAGCCGCCTGCCCAAGGAGTCGGGATGGGAAACGCCCAGTTCTGGCGGGTTTCCTGCCAGTGTCTGAGTTTGCAAACACCCATGGGCTTTAGGAGGTCAGGAGGAGGCCGCGCCCCCACAGGGACAAGGCCGCAGTGTCCGGATGGGGCGGGGCGGACACACCTTTGTGAGCAGGCTCTTCTTCATGAGGGCCGGCAGCAGCTGCTCGGTGGCATCTCTCCACTGCTCGTACTTTCGGTCCTCGTAGCTCTTCATCGTCCTGCCCACCTCCAGATACTTCTGTTTTACCTATCAAAGGGTTCAAACAATTATCGTTTGGTCCTTGAAGATAATATCTGTCTCTCAAAAAAAAAAATTATCTAGCACATTCTGCAAAAGGAAGCAGACAGAAACTTTGGAGGGTCTGCTTGAGATGGTGCGGCTGGAGACCCGGGCCGACGGGCAGAGACCAGCCGACCCAGCCGGTGGCTGCGTCCGCTGCAGCCCCTGGGCTGAGCACAGCTTTCCCGCGATCAGAAGGACATCACAGAGGACAGTGCCTTGTGGCACGTGAAAACGACACGAACTCAAGTTCCAGCGCCCACCAACAAAGTCTCGCGGGACCACACCACGCCCGTCTGTCTTCATGGTACCTGTGGATGCCATCCGCTGCAAGTGCAGGGCCACGGAGCTGCACCCGGACTGCACGACCCACAGCCCCTAAAATATTTCCTCTCTGGACTTTTAAAGACAAGGGCTGTCAACACCTGTGACAGAACTTACAAAGCCCACGGGCGGGGAGGGACAGGCGGCATTATTGGAAAGACGGTGGTCACCCTCTGGAGGCTGAAGTTCAAGTCCAGGGAGAAGCCCACTTGCCTACCCCCTGGAAGGTGTCATAGGTATCGAGATGCCAAAGACAAAGGGTGAAAGGGGCACTTTAAATCTGAGCCCCGAATCAGGGACCACAGAGGGGACCTCCAAAGTGTCAGGCGGGAGGAGGGGGGGGTCTGAGTGTGAGCTGCTTCTCGCGTGGCATCTCCCGAGAGCCCGGGACCCACGGCAGGGGCGGCTCCGGCAGCGCAGCACACCTCTCGTCCCCGGTCGCTGTCCAGGATCTCCGCCACCTCCTGAAACCGGAGGATGGTGTGCTTGATGCGGAAGAACAGGGACCGCTCCCAGTAGATCGCCCCGGCAACGGGGGGGTGGTTCTTGTACAGCGGCGGGTTGTCGAGGTTCTCCGTGAAGATTTTATTGACGGTGTCGATCTGGAAAGCAACCCGATGTGCACCGTGAGTGGTACGCGCCGCCGTTCGGCCGAGAAACACTCGGCCGGGAGAGCGGGCGCTGGAGTGTCAAGGGACAGTCCGGAGAGAGTGTCCTCACTACGTCCTGTTTCATGCTTCTCTTGTGTTCTCCCTGTCATTTTTCTACTGTTTGATACTCGGAACGTTCCAGATTGCCTAATCATTACAGACCGTGCACGTCCACCTGACTGACTGATTAGGAATTCTGAACCCGCTCTAGACAGGAATTGTGCGTGTGTGTGCACACCGCTGAGGCTTTATCATCCTTACACATTTTCAAATTGCGGCAAAGCAGACGTAAGATAAAACTGACCCCTTCAGCCCCTCCCACCGCACTGGCCGGCGGCATCCAGCGCACTCACGAGGTCGCGCACCGGCCACCCCGGCCGGCCCCGGGACGCCCTCACCGTCCCACCCGGACACCTGCGCCTGTGAAACGCTCACCCCGGGCCCCGCCCAGTCCTGACGAGCACCCTTCTACCCTGTCTGCAAATCTGACCACTGCCGACTCCTCAGATAGGGAAATCGGACACGAGTGGTCTCTGTGACTGGCTTATCTCTCTGAGCAGGATGGCCTTGAGGTTCATCCACGCTGCAGCAGGTGACAGAATTTCCTTCCCATTTAAGGCCGAATAATAGTTTCCCACTTTACGGACAGGCCACATTTTGTTCATCTGTTTCCCGTCAATGGACACTCAGGTTCCTCCCACCCCTTGGCTGCCGTGAACACGCCGCCGTGAACACGCCGCCGTGAACACGGGTGTGCAGATACTCCTCAAGACCCCGATTCCAGTTCTTCTGGGCATGTACGCAGAAGTGGACTCATGGGGCCACGTGGCCTGGGCCTGCACTTTAAAAGCATTTCCCCACTCTCATCTGGGCATTAGGAGTGGGGGAGAATAACAGCCCCCACAAAGGCCCTGGTCCCCAGAACTATAAGTACGCTGCGTCCCACGACAAAGGGAATGAGGCTGCAGAGCGCACAGAGGCCGCCAGACCACTGACCCCGAAGCAGGGAGACGCCCCCACACTGTCCGGGCAGGTGCTGCCCTCACAAGGGCCCTTCAAGCAGGAGGAGGGGCAGAGCCTCGGTCGGGGTGGGGCTGGCCACTGCTGGTTTTGAAGGTGGGAGAAGACCATGACCCTCCAGAAACCAGAAACCACCGGGGAGTGAATTCCCCCAGGAGGCTCCTGCCGGGTGACACTTTGATTTAAACCCAGTGAAACGGTGGCCGGCTTCCACCCCTTCGGACTGAATGTAAAGAAACAAACTAGTGTAGTTCTCCGTCCCTGAGTTTGCGGTTATTTGTAGCAGCGGCGGTGGAAAACTAACAAGCAGACGGACGACCACCAGACCCCTCTGCTCGACCCTGCCCTCTGTCAGCCCACGACCTCCCGGATCTCAGTTTACTGTCCGAGTAAGACGGGAAGCACCTTCCCGCCCAGGGCCCGTGCAGTCACCATGGAGGCGTGTCCTGTTACACCTGATACACTCTCACCGAGTCTCTCCACCGAAGAGGCGAACCCACTCTGCTCTGGTCCCCACACTAGGTGACGTACCTGGGAAACCCCGCCGTCCCTCTGAATTCAGATGGAAAGGGCAGATAATGGAATGACTCGGTTGTTCACATCTCACCAAGTCCATTTTTCCTGCGACAGCAGCTACGGACTTCCCACTTACCTCTTTGCAGTACTGGGCAAGAATGTCATTGAACTTCATCATCATCTGTCGATTAATAGCCTCCCGGGAACGAATGTGCTTAAACTTTAAAAGCATGTCAAATGCTGCCTCAGCTGATCGAAGTGTCTTAAAAGATTCATCAATAAAATTTTTTGCTTCTTTCTCAATAACCTGCCAAAACAAACAAACAAAAAGTCAAGAAAACATTCCAATGTCATTATCCCACAAAAGCAAAATGGTAAAAAAAAAAAAAAAAAAAGAGCAAAAAGCCAACTGGTGCCCCAGGGGGTCCCCAGAACTGCAATGGCAGGGTGGGGGGGTGTCCACTGCACAGCAGGGGACGGCTGCTTCGTCCCCGCTCCCCTCTGCCCGTTCAGATGATGGAAGGGGAAGGCTTTAAAGCATACGTACGGAGACAGGGAAACGGGAGAGGGCACCACAGTGGAGGAGGCAGTTCAGGAGTGTTTGGGAGGAGAGGGACTAACTTTACAGAAGGCAGGGAATCACCCCTCACGCCGGCAACAGGGGTCCTCTCTGCTCCCCAGGAAACCCCTGGGGGGCTGAGCTCCGGAGGTGCCAGGAAGAGGAGGGGGAAACAAGGGGTCCTTCCCTACCCCACACAGCCAGGCCCCAGTGCCGCCTCCACAGCCCCACCCCACTCTTTAAAAAGGGAAAGGCTGACGCTAGAAGAATTAAATCAGAATGACATCAGACTTCCAGTAGCACTGGGAGAGAGATCTCAGCGATGAACGCCTTGAACTTTTGGAAGAGAAGTTACTCTCAACCTCGACTTCTATGCCTGTTGTTGCGGAGCCCACAAACACAAGACTCAGAAAGTGTGGGTCCCGGGAGACACTCCCAGTGGCTGCCTGCTGACCTCTCGGGGAGCCACTGAGCAATGTGCTCCCACAGAGCAGAGAAGCGGACGAGGACGGAGGGGCGTGAAGCCTAGAACACAGGACCAGCAGAGGCGAGAGAAGTCGGAAAGCACAGGGCCCCTGCTCTGAGAGCCGACGGCACAGGGCGGGGCAGAGCGCCGCGGGCTCCGGGAGGGGGGCCCCCCCGGGAAAGCGACAGCACTGCTGTGCTCCAGCAGAGGGGGCCCACTGGTGGCAGGTGTGTGGCTGCGATGTTAGAGCAGCTGGAGAAAATGAATAATGCAGAGGCAACCGAGCGGGGGAATGCAAAAGGAAAGCCGCGGCTAGCTCCAGGAAAGCGAGGCCTGGACGGAAAGGCAGTGAGGCCGGGGGCTCCCTGCACCGGCAGTGGGCAGCATCCGCACGGGCATGGCGAGCAAACTCTGATGGGGGGGCAGCAGGGAGGGGACGGTCGGGTCTGAGAAGGGGACAGCCGCACTGGCCCGCCCTCCCCTTCGGGAAGCACGGGTCGTGGACACCGCCAGCGAGGGCGGGGATGGAGAGGGCTCGGCTTGGGGCTGCTGGTTCTCATCATGAGCCTTTCGTGTCGCAGCGGCTTTGGTGAAACGTTCAGTTTAAGAACAAACGACACGTCTGATGAAATAGAAGCTGAGAATAATTCAATGCAGTTGAAAGGAAAACGTTCATATAACCAAGTAGGACTGCCTGGGCTTGTCCACATAAAGAGGTATTCTGGGATTAGAAAACAATTACTCAAGGCGCAACACGGGGCAGTGCTTCCCCACTGGGCGAGAGGGAGCCCCTGCCAGGCCTGGTGCAGCGAGGTCGCTCGGTCACCCCCAGCCCCGCCCCGGCAGCTCTGCCCCGCCCACACTGCAGGCCAGAACCTCGGCAGCATCCCCTCCCCAGCCCGACCCACCCCCACCGGTGCTGTGGCCAGAAAAACCTCACTCAAGGCTAGTCCCTATTACACTGCTCCCTTGGCCACCAGCCCTCAAGGCTCCTCCCACGCACGGAATCAGCCCCACTCTCGGCCAGGCCCTCCCGTGTCCCCTCCAATTACACAGTAATTGGCCTAGGCAAAAATGCCGCTGTGTCTAGTGTGACTCAAACTCACTCGTCTTGGGGAGGAGGAGGGGAAACCGGGAGAAGACTGGGGAGTGAATGCTGACTTTTGTCCTGTGCTCTTCTGTATTGTTTCCATGTTTTGTTTTGTTTTTTTTTACAAAAAAAGCAAGTATTAATCTTTGTGGTTTAAAAGAAAAAGAACTCTGAGCCTAACTAAATAACCCAGCCAATTTAATGAGGAAACCCATGGCGTCCACGCCCAAGATCGGACCGACAGCGCAGCCGGGTACTTGCCAGGACTTCCACCTTGAAGTCGTCCATCACGTACTTCCAGTACTGCGAGGACTTGATGCTGAAGGGGTCAAAGGTCAGGACTTCCATGGGCGTGACCAGGCTGTCCACCCTGCACAGGACGTCGTCGATGCGCTTGGGATCCCCCGTCACGGCCTTGAGTTCTGGCCCAAATATGTTGTAAAATTCCTCCATCACCTGTCCGATCACACAAAACACACGGAGGTCACCCCTCGGTTCTGCCCTGAACGTTCTCACCGCACAAGGGCCTCGGCACCTGCACCGACCAGCTCTGCGACCCTGTTCCGACCCGAGGCCTCAGCGTTTCTGCCAGAACCGCTGCCCTCGGGCCTGATCGGCTGGGTGTGTGGCCAGGAATCTGGCCAAGGCTCTCATCCAGGCCACAAGGGAATCCTCGGGAATTCTGGGGAAGACTGAATTCCCAAGTGCTGGTTTTCGGACAGAGTATGATCCGTAGGCCTGTCTCTCCCTCTGCCCCTACGATCTTGCAACAATGTGCCTCATCAGTTGTGAGTTTACAGGTGAAGCGATTTCCCACATAAATGGGTATAAATGTATAAATGTGGTTTTTTTTTTTAAGCCAACTGCTTTTCACCTAACCCCCTGCACACGCACTGAAGCAGACGCGCCCTGGCCTGCCCACCTGCAGAATGTTGGCGAGGTCCTGGCAGATGCTGGCCATGTAGTCCGTCCGCTCAAACAGCCGCTTCCGGTCGAACTCCCACCGGGCCTCTCTCCCGGAAGCCTCGATCTTAGCCCTGGTCTCAAAATAGGCCTTCTTCCACATGACTAGGGTCTTCTTGGCCTCCGAGACTTTGTGCTGTGCGCTCGCTCGGTTTTCCCTGTGACCAGAGAGCCGGTGACGGGGACACAGACGTGCGGGGACTCTGGGCCACAGCCCCCAGGGGAGCGGGGTTCCAGGGGTGGAGTCGCCCTGAGGGGCAGAGCCCCCAGTTCACAGCCTCTTCACGGAAAGCTCCCCGGGCGGGCAGCTGCTCTGTCACAATACACCACAACACGCACAGATGTGACGGCAAGTCCGAGCCGCAGCCCAGGCCGACCTTGACACCAGCTGCCCACCCGAGCTGAGGCTCGCCCAGGGAGCTTTCGGACCGAGCTGGAAGCGGGGCAGGTGGCCTTGGGTCCCAGGCCCGATGCCGACAGTAGGGGCTGCCACACCGCAGCAGCATGCTGAGACTGAGGGTTTGGCTCCTGTGTCACCTACGCAGGTTATTTTTACGGCCCGGCTCCGACCTGCAGCCCAGGCGCAGGGCCAGGACAGACAGGACTGCAGTCTGCTCTGCCCTGGCCGAGACAGAGCGCCACCGCCAACCGGGGGCTCCGTGCCCCCTGCCAGAGATTAGACTTTAAGAAAGTGAAAGAAGATCTGTGTCTCCTTCAACATTTGTCCCTCCGAGGCTGTCCCACCCGAGGGGTCTGGGGTCGGAACTGAGGACTTTCTGACCCCCTGCCTCGGTCTCTGAAGATCTGAGTAAAATACGATTACCAAGCCTCCACACAGTGGGCAACGCCTTGGCCATCGAGGGGACAGAGCGCTGACACCTGCCGCGGCGTGGGCGACCCTTGGGGACCCACGCTGAGCGGGGACTCGGACAGAAAACAGTCCCGAGGGAACGAGCGCGCCGCCCCCTCACTTGAACAGGGTCCGCAGGTTGACCACTCGGCAGACCCGCTCGGCGATCTCCCAGGCGATGCGCTCCATGAGCGGGATCATCCTCTCGTCCTTGTTGTAGTGCCGGGAGATGGTCCACACCATCCGCAGCGCGCTCATCATGGACGGGATGGTGTCCAGGATGACGGGGAAGCTGGACCCGTGCGTGAGGTTCTGCGCGGGAGACAATGCGGGAGAGAAGGCAGAGCCAGCGGCCTCAGCCTCGGGGCCGAGAGATCAGTGCAGCCAGAGAGCGGGGGCTCCGCTCTTCTCGGGCCCCCCCAAACACACTTACTACGGACAAAAGTGGTGACCAAGCAAGTTTGAATGAAACAGGCTGCACGGACTGCCGTGGAGATTCACGATCAAAGCGGATAAAGCGACGTGCAGAAGTGCTGTGAAGTGTGTGTGCACACACACACAGCACCTGCACACGTAAACAGGAGTGCCGGCACACGCGCACCGGAGCCGCCCCTCTGCAGGGACCGCAGCCACTTCTCCGAGGCGTGTGTCCCCCGGCGAGAAGTGCGGCAGCTCTGGTGGCGCGGCACCCAGAACTCACACAGCCTCACCCACTCTAACGCGTGTCGGGGAACGTGTGCGACCAGCCCGCGAAACAACCGCACAGGCACCACTGTCTACCACGAGGCCAAGCTGCACACTCGCACACGCGTGCACGCACAAATACCACAAGTAAATTTGAAGTCGACGTAAAGGAGGGTAGGGGAGGGCACAGACCGGGGCAGCGGCCCGGGAGGGACGGGAGCCCGGCACCCCCGAGCTGCACACGCCACTCGTCCTGCAGAAGAGGAGAGGCTGCCGTCACCACGTCAGCCCAGGGGCAGGCCCTGCTCGGACCGCAAACCCTCGGGCTCTACCAAGGTCGCACCACGTCCATGCCACCCTTGTGTGTGTGTGCATGTGTGTACCCGTGTGCACATGCATGCACACGTGAACATGCATTTATGCTTGTCCGGCATGGACAGTGGGGTTTGGGTCGGTTGCTTCCCCGATGCTCCTGGCGTCAAGTGCTGTGGACGCATGTGCTCATGCAAGACTCCCAGCAACCGTGTGAGCTGAGTGTTCTCCTCGTCCCCATCTTCCAGAAAAGGAAAGCAGCTGGGAGGTTGCGCACACAGACCTGGGCATCGGGGCTGAGCCTGCACCCAGCCAGTGCTCTGCACACACGCACCGTGCCCTCGGGCACACACACAGGGCTCTGACCACCCTCATTCTCGGGACAAGAGTAATGACTCCGGGACTCAGAACGCTATGCCTATGTGTAATAAATTCAGAGAAGAAAAGGACCCCCCAGATGCAGTGACACCCGTGCAGTGTTGAGGGGAACGCACGACGGTGCACAGAACCGTTCACCAGAGTCACCACAGGACCCACAGTTCCACCCCCAGGAGCACAGCCGAAAGATCCAGACGCAGGGGTTCAGACAGGCCGCCCGTGCACCCCCGCCACCGCAGCGTGTTCACGGCGGCCAGCGGGGAGCCGCGGCCCTGGGCCATCACCGGGTGGTGGGCATCAAAACAAGGCCCAGCCACACCAGGGAACACCGTGAGCCTCAGAAGGGAAGGCACCTCCGACCCAGGCGGCCCCGTGGCACTGCGTCCAGGAAACCGGACACTGAGCCAGACCCTGCCTCCGCGGGGCCCCACGACAGGGGAACCCGAGGGACAGGAGCGAGAGGGGAGGCTGCCGGGGCTGGGCGGAAAAAGGACGTTGACCCCACGGGAGGCCTGATCTGCAGAGGCGGGCCCCCGAGCGTGGCACCTTGAAGTGGCGCTCCACGGTGGAGAGGAACCGCACGTTGTCCGAGGCCTCCGTGTGCAGCTTGAACAGCTCTGTGAAGACCGGCTGCAGGTTGGCCACGATCATGGAGTCTGCCTCCCGGATCACGTCCAAGACTTTCCTGACCATGGGCAGCTTCGTCTGTTCGTGGAGTGCGCTGAGAGTGGCGTTCCTCTCCCTCCAGAACTCGATTTCGGCCAGAGGACCGTTACCCTGAGAGGCGACAGGAATGCACAAACGACTGCCATCGTTAGTGGGACACCCGCAGCTGTGTCTCCAGCACCCATCCCTCTGTTCCCAAGGGGACATCCCTCTGTCCCCATAGAGGGGCTGAGCAGGACAAGGACTCCGGGGACTGACGCTAGACCCAGGACAGTCGGACCAGAGTGAGTCCCAGGACTTCGGCTGGGAGCACCGGACAAAGACACTCCGTCTTCCTCCAGACAAGGGAGGAAACCAGCCTGAGGGAGAAGCGCCCAGGGAGAGGAGGGTGGAGTGGAGAGTCACAGGGAAGCACAGCAAAAGCCTTGATCAGACTACACCTGAAACCAGCCTGCCTGTGGACCTTCCAGTTATGTGAGCCAACAAACTCTTTCCCTTATCTGAGCCAGCCGAGCTGGGCTTCCTCTCCTTGGCAGCCCGAGCATCACGACCGACCACGGCACTACCTTACCAATCAACGCAGGAAGTAACCTGACCGCACACGAACATCAGAGAGCCCCAGAACGGCATCTTGGGTGTGTTTACGTCGACCTCCTGAGGAGGTCACGAAGCAGCATGAAAACAGGCTCGACCACACAGGGTGCAGACTGCCGGCTCCTTCTCGGGGAGGCGAGCGTGCGCCGCACCAGGGACACAAGGAAGCACGGCCCAAGGTACCTGGGGCGTCTTCTTCAGCTGGCCCTCCACGGCCGCAGATATCTGGTTCAGCCAGCTGATCACGGTCTGCTCCAAGGCCTCCACGGTTTCCAGGTCGGCCGCCAGGGCGGACACCGGTCCCTCCACGCTGATGCTGGGCATTTCCAGCTTGATCTCACCTAGGACAGTAAAAGTGCCCCCCGCCCATCAGCTTGGGAGGAAATTATTACGGACGATAATGTTCAGTTTAACCTGCTGGCTCTTCTCCCCAAAGGTCAGTACGAGAAGCTGGGGTACGTCCCCTGCCCAGCCTGTCTGTATTCCCATCTCTTCCACGGGAATGAAAATGGAACAGTTTGGAAGGCGGATCGTTGTCCCAGTGTTAACCTCAATCAAAACGTTTAGTTGTTTAAGATGTTCCTGAAGTTACAACCTAGTAACTTCTGTTTAAAAACTGAACCAACCAGAACTTCACAGGTATTTGAGAAAACGCCCATCACGAAACACAGTCCAAGATAAACCAGAAACAACGACCTCAGGGGGCACCGAGGCAGTGCAGGGAAAATCTGAACAAGAACGATCATAAATTAAAAAACAAGAAGGCTCCCGGACTCTTACGTGGCCCTCTGAACGTGAACCCCGCGTGCCTGGCCAAAGGGGAGGAAAACGGAAGCTCACCTTCGAGCTGCTGCATCGTTCTCTGTATGCTGTTTGCGAACTTCTGGACGTTCATCAGAAACTCGTCCCGTATCAACTGAATGCTGTGGTACTCCACCGCCTCCCCCGGCACACTGGGCAGGTCCACTTCGCGCTCCAGGCGGTCGGCGACGTCCCCGGGAGCGGACCCTGTGGCTGCCTCCTTGTGCTGATTGAAGGACAGCGCTGGCAAGAACACCTGAAACGCCACGCCGGTCACATGGATCGTCACGCGATGCCGTGTTCGCTGACTCGTGCTGGCACGCTGCCTCCGGCTACGAGTGTCTGTCGCCGGAGGCACGACCGCAAGGGCAGCCCGCGGCAGTGCCGGTGGGGTCGGCGCGGTCAACAGCCCCCCCGGGTGCGCAGGAGTCAGACGGCCCTGACCTCGGCAAGGCCGAGCCCCCGCCCCCGCCCGCCCTCACCTGGCATATGACGTCTCTCAGGAGAGGAAGCACGTTCGCGTTGATGACCCCGTACTCCATGGCCTCGGGCATGGTCTCCATGGCCTCCTTCATGTCCACGGCTTCCAAGATCGCCTCTGAGAGGGGACGGGTCGGGGGTGAGAGGAGCGGGGAGTGGCAGTCACTGCTCCCCCGCGCACTGGGACGCTCCAGCCACAGACGCAGAACACACGCCACTTTCCAGTCAGACGGACGCCCTGGCCGCTGAGAAGCCGAAATGGACACGGACGCCGGGGGCCCGGGGCTGGCACAAGCGGCGCCCGAGACTCGTCCAGATGAGCGGCCCTGGCGGGGTGGCTAAAGCCGGACATGAACAGCAGCACCTGGGGGCTCCTGAAAAACACTGGCCGGGCTCCCTGCTGGGCTGGTCTCCGCCTCCCCCTCAACGCCTCCCCAGTTCACTGGCAACGTGCCTTTGACTCGTGGGGCCTTTACAAAGACATTCTCAGCAACAGGCCACCCTTCTGACGAGGTCTGACGGGTGTGAACTGGCTGCACTGACCGAAAACCGATCAGCACGCAGACATTCAGACGCCACCCAGGCGTGGCACTTCCCCCGTCTCATTGGGGGGAAAGGGGAAACACAACAAACGCACCCACTGAAGCTGGGCAGTGTTCTTCGCTTAACATATTTGTTTGTATCAAACACTTCTTCGTTTAAATTTATTTTAAAGGGAAACTGTGTCAACACCCAGTGTGAGAAAGAAAGAGAGCCTGACCTCAGTGAGAGAGCCCTAAAGAGGCGAGTAAGGGGAGGGTGAGGGTGAGGGTGCGCAGGAGCAACGCCCAGGCGCCTGCCCAAGGGCGCCTGTGTGCGGTGAGTCCCACTGTCACGGGCACAGCACCGTAACGGGGCGGTAGCTCCGGAGGCAGCACAAGGCTGCTCAGTGCCCACCCTCTGCGAGTCCCGTTCCTCCTGCTCACCCCCGCCCCCTGGGGGAGAACGAGTTACAGGAGCTCAGCGCTCAGCTGTGAAGTCCTCTCCCAAAGTGCCCCCGAAGTTCAGAACAAGGAGAAGAAGCGTAAGAGTTGTCCTAAAATTCAGGGTGTGCCCTAAAACGTAGCTAGGTGGGGAGAGTGGAAGTTGGCCTGAACGGATACAGCCAGGAAAAGAGCGGGGGTCGGAGGGGACCAGAGAGCAGCGGTCCCCGGGGGCGCCACTAAAAACCGCCCATACTTGCCCTGCAGGGCGACCTGGGCCTCTGAGAAGCCACACAGAGAGCACCCACCAAGGCTCACTTTACAACCCAAGGTAGATCATTTTGAATCTCCCACGGACAAGTTATAAATAGAACTAAGACTAGACTAATACAGTCAGTCCCCATCATGCACAGCAGCCCCGTCCTACACAGCGCCAGGAACGCCGAGTGGACGGCCACTGGGCCACTGTTCCCAGGAGAGAGGCAGGGCCGGGCCCCCGTGAGCCCCTGGTCTTGAAGACCTTGCTGGGGCACAGTCCAGCCGAAGACCCGTTAGTCGACGGGCGTCCCTGAGTCACTGCCGCGGACCTCCTCGCGCCCCACCACACTCCCTCCCCGTCCCAACTGCAGGGCTTAGCTAGCACCGCAGGCTTCCTCCCTGGGCGCACCCCGGCCTCCCTGAGCTCGGGGGCGCTGGACGGCCTCGGGCACTAGGCCAGGCGCCACCGTCCGCAGTGAAATCAGCAGCAGAGGGCACAGAAGTGTGGAACCCGTGGCCCCAAACAGGTCACTGTAAGGGCACCTGTTTACGGAGAAGCCGCAGTAAGAAGCAGAGTGTTGCCTCGTTTCAGCCATGTCAGCGGGGGACGCGCGTGTGGGGTGACTGCTGTCTCCCCCTCGGCACACGTCCTTGAACGACCTCGAAAGCATTGCCGGTCTTGATTTAGGCATTACAAAGAAACTCAAGTTGGTAGATAAATTTGCAGCCATGAAATCCAAGGAAAATGAGGACTATTCCAATAAAAAGTCACACTCTCAGGAGAGTGCAGAGAGTTAGACTCACGCACACACACAGGCGTGTGCAGGCCCCCACAATCGTAGGCACACAATGGAAACATACCTTTCGTATTTCTCAGAAAAAACACCACATTCTGGTCCAGAAACTCCTCGGGAACAGGAGCACACAGGACGTGGAGATACATCTTTTCCACAACTTGTGTGACAATTCTCTGAAACAGGAGGAAGAAACCCGTCACCCCGAGATTATCCTCCCCCTAAACAGCCTAACATCCCCTGGAGCTGTCCCCCCAGCGCCATGTTCCGAAGTCACTTGCCCACCATGCAGACACAGCTGTTACACGGCAGGCACTAGCGGTAACACATGGCCTGGAACGCACCCGGACACTTCTGCTGACTTCCGACGCAGCTGCACTTCGACCAGCTGCCCTGGCCGGTTCCCCAGGCCACAAACTGCAACTGCCCAGGCCGGCCCAGCTTTGGGGGCGGGCCCCACGCCTAGGGCGGGTCGGTGTGGCCTCATTCAGCAGGGGTCAGGCTGAATGCTTGCATCTCAGCTTTACCACCCCCCACCTCGGGATCTGCACAGGAAAGGGCCAGCTCAGCTGGTCTGGGCTGCCCAGACCTGCACCTGCAAGGCTTTCAGCCTGGCCCTTGACCGGCCCCTGGGTGACAACTTCCAAGACTGTGGAACACCCTGCCTGACTTGAGAGCCTTTCTGTCCTGGGGACTTGGGTCCTCCTGTTGGACAGCAGACACCAACGCAGTGACTTCCGCTGACGCTGCTCTGTCTGCCCTGGGCCCCGACTCACACTGCAGTCTGACCTCTGGGGTGCTGGAGACTGAGGAACCAAGGTCAGACACTCGGGCACCTCTGGCCTCTGTGACTGACCCCAGTGAAAACCCTGAATGTCAAGGCTCAGGTGGGCTCCCCTGACGGGCAGCGCTTCACACAAGCTGTCGCACAGAGCTGCCGGGAGAACGGGCTGTGTCCACGTCCTGCCCCGAGGAAGCTCGCACTGTGTTCCACTGGACTCCGCCCTGTCTGTCCGTCCCTGTGGGCTCTGGTCCGTGCTCCCGCGCTGAAATCAGCTGCAGCCACGAGTCCAGGAGCCCGCCTGGGTTCTGGGGGTCACTGTGGTGCAGCGCTGCGCCCGAGGGTGGCCTCTGGGACCCCTGCACAGACGTCTGTCATCTCCCCTCCCACATGGTGCGTCCCTTGTCTGAACTGGGTCAGTTAGTCAGATGCATCGGAAGCAGGGCAGTCCCATCACCCACCCCACCCCCCGCCCCGCCCCGAGGGGAAGAAAGCACACATACCTTGGCAGGAAAGTTTTCCAAATTCTCTTTATCCACTTCTGCACCCTCTATGCTGATTAAAGACGGAAACGTGGAACTGCTTTTCAACAGCAAATTCTTAACTGCAAAACATTATTCAGCGAGCAAGATGCACCAGTCAGAAGGCTGGGTTCTCTTCCATCAGGCCAGATGCACACTTTGTACAGCGTATTTCATTCACCAGGTGTGGTTCCAAAAAGCTGCACTTGCATTTACAAATGGGTCTATCGTAGTCCAGACTTACAATGTAACTAGGAGATCTGTGTTGCGGTTTTGACAGGCCCTCAATCAGAGACTGTGTGTGTGTGTGTGTGTGTGTCTTCTACTACAGTGTCCACTGAGTGACTGACTTCCCAGAGTTTCACTTAAAAAGATTTATCATCACAATGGGAATCACAGCTAACATGACAACATTTACTCCTTTTCCACGATGAAACTCGACATTTGTGGAGGGGTGACAAGAAAATAAAAACGACCCCGTACCTCTCAAGTCCACCGTCACCGGGACAGACCCAGAACCCCGGGGCCCGGGCACAGCCCTGAGAGTGCCGGACGAGCCTAGTAGCTACAGAGAAGAGAGACCCTCCCTGCACAGTTCAGCCCCCGCTTCGGGCGGCTCTGTGCGCGGTCGGGGTGGCTTCGGAATCAGGCCAACATGTGGGTCTGAATCCGCCCTCCTATTCTACTGGTTTCCCCATCCATGAAATCGGACAGCAGCACCCACTGACCAGACTCGGGAGGACCGGGGGCAGTGTGGCGCGGTGCTGGCACGCCGGCTGGCAGAAGGCGGCTTTGTGGTCGCCAGTGCTGACACTGTCAGAACACGGGCAACAGCCCGCAGTCAAAATACACTTCAGTGTACACTCTGTGCCACTGAGCTGCACACATGGGACGGGTTAAAATGGCAAGTTTTACGTGATGTATTATATTATCACGATAAAAAAACACACTTAAGTAGTGACTTGGAGTAACGCTATTTCGCTTTGCTGCAGAAGACTCTCCTGGCCTTTCTCTGCAAGCAGCTGCCTCCCACCCAAGCCTCCCTGTTCGCAAGTTCACAGGGCGCATTAGGGGGGACCCTCTGTTACTCGGCTGCGGCCCTCAGACCCACTGTGTGTCTTATCAAAAGCCAAGCCTTACTCGTAACGCACAGCCTTTCTTTCTAAACTTGTAGTCCCCAGTCTTCACCAGGGAGGGTATTACATTTTGGCTAAAATAAATTCTTTTGAAAAATAAAGGTGACTAGAAGAGACACTGAGCATGGCTAAAACCCCTTCTCCCCTCTGACTTTCAAACACTCAGGAGCGTGCTGCCCCGGTGTGTCTGACCTACAGCTTCTGCTGCTCACAAGGGAAGGCGAGTCACGGGATCGCAGGAAAGGGACGGGCCGCTCTGCAGGCGCTGTGGGGGGTGGGGCACCGAGGCTTTTCCGTGCTCCACTGCCGACACTTGGGGCTGGGGCACGACTGGCTGGGGGCTGTCCTGTGCTTTGCAGGGTCTTCGGCAGCGTCCCCGGTCGCCACCCACCAGATGCCAGCAGCACCCCCCTCCAGCTGTGACGACCAAATGTCCCCTGGAGGCCAAGGTCTCCCCTGGATGAGGATGGCCGCTGCAGACCTGGGCCGACACATCCGCCACTGCAGGGGAGACTGCTCCTGCCGGGACCTGCAGCGTCACGACACCCCCAAGCGTGTCTCCAGAAACGTCTCTGGTTTAGACCTTTCCACTGGTGAGCAGTGAAACCCCCGATGTGCGTCTCAGATTTGCCGAAAGAAAGGGCAAGCGCAGCTCACGCAGCGGGACGCCACCCGCACTGCGCATGTGCCGTGGGCTCCGGGCTGAGCTGCCTGAGACGCTGCCCGGGCAAGAACGGGTGTTCTGAGCTCCAGGCGACGGGCTGGAGTAGTGCCCATCCCCCTCGAAAGGCACGTCCACCCTGAACCTCAGACAGTGAGCATTTTGGGACCGAGAGTCTGCAGATGTGAGTAGTTAAGACGAGGTCACACTGGAGCAGAGTGGGCCCTAAATCCAGAGACTGGTGCCTTCCTAAGAGTGTGGATAATGCCCTGGCCGGTGTGGCTCAGTGGATCGAGCTCCGGCCTGCAAACGTAAAGGTCGCCAGTTCGATTCCCAGTCAGAGCACTTGCCTGGGTTGGGGGCCAGGTCCCCAGGAGGGGGCGCTCCAGAGGCAACCACACATTGTTGTTCCTCTCCCTCTCTCACTCCCTTCCCCTCTTTAAAACAAAATTAAAACTTTTTTTTAAAAGTGTGGATGAAACGAGGGCTTCTAGGACGAGTCACCTGACAGGGTGCTCTGCCCCTAAGTCCCTAACTGGGCAGGGATGGGGGGGTCCCGCCCCAGGCACTTAACGCCCGGAGTAAAGGGCTGTCTGCTCCGAGCCCTGCCGCCAGGTCTGCGCATCCCGTCAACGCGCCGCTGAACGTCCTCCTTCTGAGGCGAAGCGCCCTCTACCGGTCAGCCCGATCCCCGTCTTTCCGCCGCCTCCCGCCACCTCTGCCTTCTGGGCCCTCCGAGGCAGGAAAGAAACCGCAAGGTGTGGGTCTCAGGAGCACCTGAGATCCTGCTCCCGGGCAGACGCCGTTGGTTTGGCTCACACCCACCGGGGGACCCGGGCGGACCGGCGGCAGGAGGACCTCCACGCGACCCGAGGTGGAAATAGCCCAGGACTGACAACCGCCACCTCGGGGGAGGGGGGGGTAGCGAGCCGGCAGGCTCCCCGGGAGCCTTCGAGGGCCGCTCGGCAGGTGGCAGCTCGACTTTGGCCCTGCGACCACCGGGGCCGGGAGCCGCCGCCCATCCGCCGCCGCCAATCCGCGGCCTCCAGTTGCGGCAGCCCCGGGACACCAACGACGTGCCTACGGACACCCCGCGCCCTCGCTCCGTGCGTCCCACCAAGTCCCGGCTCCGTCTCCGGGAGAAGTGGAAACGATCCCGGCCCCGGCCCCGGCCAGGCCCCCCCCCCCCGCCCCCGCAGCACCGTCCGCCCGGCGCGTCCTGAGGCCACACCTGACGTTTTATCAATGACCCCGACTTGCTGGGCCTCGGCCTCCTCTTCCTCATTTTCCTCCTCAGACGGGGCAGGAACGTCGCCGTCTTCACAGCCACGTACATGGAAAGAAAGAAAAAAACCGTGACCGTCTCACTACGTGAGAGCCCATGGAGCCGACGGACCGGCTGAGGCGGGAGAGCCGCGCTAGTAAGTCCGCTAGAGCGGAAGTGACCCCGGCTGACCCGGAAGTCGGCCTCCCTGCGCTCGGAGTGTAATGTAGGTTCCGCCGTGGGTTCCGCCCACGGTCCTGCGGCGGGAGGCGTTTTCAAGGACGCAGCCTGAGAGCTCCTTGGGGCTGAGACTTTCAGGGTGGTGACCGTGACTGAGCCGAGCAGAGGTCTCTCTATAAGCTATGATCACGGCGGGCTGAGACGGCCTCGTTGGGCGGGCACCCAAAACGAGCCGCAGGGGCAGCCCCCTTGCTTTTTAAACCTCTCACCGCTCCACCTGCCTGCCCTTCTCCATCTCTCCTTGCTCCCCACGTCCGGGGGCCGGTCTGTAAACCAACGCGGTCATATGGAAATACCCGAGAGACAGCCTTCATCGACTCAGGGAAGAAGAAGACTTGCGCAAATTCTCCCGGAGACGAAGGACTCAAGAATCATCACATAGTGACAACCAGCACAGGGGAAACATGAATAACCAGAACGCATTTTAAAAGACGCTCAGCCCTACTAAGGACTGAAATGTCGATTAGCATAAGGAAGCGCATCCGCCATTCATCTATAGGAAAGAATAAAAAGATCGACCACATCCGGTGGGGGCGAGGCTCCCGGCACCCAGGCACCTCTCGGCTCTGGGCGTGGGCTGGCGGGGCCCTTCCGCAGAGCAGATTGGCAGGACCTACCCACACTGCAAATGCGCATGCCCAGGAGAGCAGCAGCCCCACTTTTACACGCCTATCCCACAGAAAGTATACATATGGATATATATATATATATGTGTGTGTGTGTGTGTGTATATGTATAAACATACAGGGTCTGGCAGAAGGAAGGCCTGTTTGGGTCTAGTTGGTAGGGTAATAATAGGGGTGTAATAATTTATCATTTGGAAAAGGTGTGGCAGGGTACACACCAAACTAACAGCGGTCACCCACAGGATTCCTGCATTCACTGGCGATTTCTGCCCGTGCCCCGACTGCAGAGAGCTGACTGCAGGGCACATCCACCCACTGTAGTTTTGGGAATCTCATTCAGGCATTACTTTACCATTGCACGCCAGGGGCCTCAGGAGATAGAAAGGACTGCTCTTCAGACCCTCCACAGCCCCTGCCCCTGTCAAGGAGAGGGAGGGCGAAGCCTCCCTCCCTCCCAGGGCCGCTTCTCTCGTGTCTATGGCCCGTCACTGGGCAGTGGGTCCTACTCTTGAATCCTGTGTGACCTAGGTGGGTGAGTTGTTCAAGCCTCCCTGGGCAGCAGCTTGCTGCTGTGTGAAATGGGGTAACAATACTCCCACTTCGTAGCACTAATGAGCTGATACGGCCGTTAGGGACTGCACCCGGGACAGACTAGGCACTCCATAAGCGTTTGCTGTGACTGTTCATTCCAGGCTGCCTTTCCAAGCGGACTGTGGGAGCCGGGACTGGGGACCATAACCGTCTGCAACCTGCACCGGAGGCCAAGGTCAGCCGGCACAGGTCCCCAGCGTGGAGAAAGCGGCAGGAGGGGCGGCCGCGGGCTCACCGATCTCCACCTCCACCTCCACCTCCTCGGGCACCATCTTGCGGTAGAAGAAGAGCGTGGCGGCGGCCTCCTCTTCGCTGGCCTGGTTGAGGAAGTGCAGTATGAGGTCCTCAGCCTCACCGTCGTTGCGGGTCATCAGGTCCTCAAAGAGCTGGGGGTCTGTGAGGCCGAAAGCCGTGTATACGCGGTCGCGCATCCACAGCACCCGCAAGTCGTCCATGGCGCCGAGAAGGGTCTCGCCCGGGGAGCCCAGCAGCAGCGGACCGGCGTCCTTGGCAACGGCCCCCCTAGCGACGGGCGCCCGGACAACGGCCGCGGTCGCGGGCACCAGCTCTCGTTGTCGCGGGACAAGCCTGCACCCCGCCCCTGCGCTCCCAGGGGCGCGAACCCAAACGAACCCAAACGCCGGAGGGAGGGTGACGGCGAACCCTGAGGAAGGGCCAGGACCTCACAAGCCTGCGCGCAGTGGGGCAAGGGGACCCTCCCCCCATCCCGACGTGGGTCCGCCCTTCTCCGAGCCCAGCTACTGGGCAGCACGCATGCTCCTCGGAAGCCGGGAGCTGCTCTCAGACCGCTGTGACCGAGGGCAGCCGACTGCGAAACTCGCAGTGCGCTGGGAGCGTCGTCCTGTGCCAGCGTCCTGCCCGTGCTGCTCTCAGGAAATCGCGGCGAGAGGTGACCACACAAGGTCACAGTACCCCTGAGTGGCAGAGGCAAAGCTGAAGACCAGGAAGGATTTGTCTGAGCCCGGCACTGCTATGCCTTGAAGGACGTTGGAAGGGCAGATACCTTGGGAAGAGGTCCAAGAAGGAACTAGTCCCTTTACAGGGTTTTGGGTCTCGGAAGGAGCCAGGTGTTTTGGCTTCCTAACCAAACCAGGGTGTAATAAAGCAAAACACGTTTTAAAAATATAGATGTATTTATTGTTCACCAGTAAAAAGAAGTTCAATACTGATAGGAAGATGCAAATTTGTCCTTGCATGCATGTGGGGAGCTTGGACTTGCTCAGTGGTGTTCCCTCCGCAGAGAGTTGAGCCCCTAGATGTCCGTTTTCCCTGTAGGAAATACGTGGCAAGTTCTAGGTATTTCTTAACATGATAAATCAAAGCTCAGCATCAACGGCCTGGCTATCAGGAAATTATCGCTCGGAACTGCCTTATTTTCGTTATCTTGAAGTAAGATTTCTCAATAATCTTGCTGGAAATATACCAGATGACATGCAAGCAAACCTGGCTTTAAAATTTTAACCAAGAAATTTTATTGTTTTCAAATGCAGACTGAAGAACAGTTGTTGAAGTTATTTTGTGTGTGTGTGGTTTTCCAAAATGAACAAGATTCTAAAATGTCCGTAAGAGCTACCTATGCTATCTGCTATGAACTTCTTAAACTGTTACAGGTTGAAACCTGAGACTAGAATGTTGCTCTAAAATGCCCATTCCAGCAGTGAGGGCAGAGGGGCACTCGGTGAAAGGTGTCTTTTCAAAGCCGTACCCACAATGACCGGAAAGGCCGCAGGGCTCAGGGACCTGACCAGACACCTTTGCGCTTCTTAACGGGCGTGACGAAGTCACCTTGCGGGATGAAGCCAGAGCCTACTTCCCTGAAGGAGTCCCCTGGGTTTTTAGGACTCCGTCCACACAGAGAATGAGGACTGGAGGAGTGGTCGCCGTGACACTTCTCTTTAGGGAAGCAAGCGTATTTGGCATCATCTAACAATGACCGGCGCTCCTCTTGAGATCTGCTGTCGAGAGAATCAAGTCTGTGCTGAGGACTGTAACACGACAGTCCTACCAAAGGCTTACACGCAGAACAAAGCGACTGCTCTGCAAACAGGTCCCTGGAACCAAGAGCTGTTATCAGGAAGTAAAATTTCCCCTGGTGCCTAAAAGACACCATTAAACCATATTTCTAGAGTTCTGTGAGGACTATTAATGTTTACTATAATTACATTCTACGGTTTTGATTGAAAAAATGACCCTATGCTCTCCATTCTACCCCCTGGGATGGGTGTTCATTAGAATGTAAAAGTGGCCCCCAAGACGAGCAGCCATGGGGCCAGGGCGCATGCCTGCAGGTGCCGCACGTCTTGCGTTTCCTCGTTAGCTAGTAGTTCCCCAGAAATCGTGACTTTCCTGGGGTGAATCCGCCACCATTTTATTACAACAGACCCTTGGAGTAAAGTAATCAAAAAATGACCACCCGTGAGGGACAAGTTTGATCCTGGACGGCATTATTTTGATTCCATACTCACCCCCAAAACTGTCCAACTTTCTGGGGGAACTCGGAGAGCAGAATCGCTTTCCGGAGTTTCATCGGGACCCTTTTGTGTTTGCTATTTTAACGTCAAGGACAAGACCCAGGAATTCCAGATGGCTCTGGGTAATACCTCATGGAGGAACAGCGTAGGATCTGTACTACATTTTAAAAAGTTTAATGTCAGAGTCACAGCTGTGTCGTGACGTTCGGGTCACGCCCCTCAGCACACGGGCCTTGAGATCGCCGAAGGGAGACGCTTGAGTCCAGCGCCAGCATCGCGTCGGCCTGTGACGAGAACGCCACGCTCGCCCGCCAGCCAGGGCAAGGGAGGACGGCGGCGAACAGGCCTTTGTGCGCGTCACAGAAAATGTGAGAACTCGGAAATACTGCAGATTTCTTTTTGAAAATAATTATCTAAAATCAGTTACAACAGAATATGAAAAATGAGCATAATTCACAAGACGACAGATCGGAACGTTCGACGGGACTGACATTCACGTAAAACTAAATGTCAAGGGGGCAGGTGAACTTAAACTAAAGACTCCAAGTTAATGGCTAACAATTAGCTTTAAAGTTTAGTTTAACAATTAGTTTAAAGTTCCAATTAACTCTAAATGCCTTCATCAGACCTTTCTTTAGACTTAGTCTGAAAGGAAAAGAACTATCAATGCATTGTGCTCAAGGGTAGGTTCCAATCTCTCTGTGGTAAAATATCTTAACGTATATTTTGTTATAAAAATACACAGAAGACTGCTTTTTACCCTTCCCTCACGCAGCATAAACCCCTTCGGGTCCAGTTGCATGGGTCACTTGCGTCCGACCCTGCCTGTGCCGCGCCTCCGCCAGGCACACTGCGCTGCGAGGCGCCGTGTACGGTTTCTTTCCGAACACACACACAATCATCGTCACTGGTTTGATGGAGGGACAACAGGGCGAGAGGTCTTTAAATATACACACAGGTAGGGTAACCACGTGTTGCAGGTTCTGTTACCCCGTTTCCCCAATTATAAAACAAGACAAAGTTGTAGAAACCATCTCCTACTCGTAATTCTGGACAGCATACAATAAAAAAAGGTTCATATACTTTCAGTCAAGCAGAATAACGTGTCTTGATTATCCGTCATTAACATTTTTAAAAAACTAGACTCAACTTCAGCTGTTGGAAAATATTATCTGACTTCAGGTGACAGAATAACTCTGTTTTTTTTCTTTTTTTTAATAAGGTGAAAAGGAATTAAGTATCTAAGACCATTTTCAGTTAGCCATTTGGCATGGACTTCTCTCCCCCAAGTCTGTATTTTAAAAAATAACTTTAGCATAACTGTTGGCATTAACTTATATTTGTTCATCATAAAAACTGAAATAGATTTACGTATCTAAAATTGATCAAATTTACAAAATATTTAACATGAGGAAGAGGTATATCTTACAGAATTATTTGGCTATATCATAAGGCAATCAATGAAGACAGAATTTTCCCCATCGTGAATCTGACCTAAGTGAATTTCTACAACATGATAATTCTCTGTCACTCTGAGAGCTGGCCGGGTGCGGCCAAGTGATCACGCCCCCTCGTCGTTGAACTTCCATGAAAGGCGTCTGAACGAAAAAGGGACGAATTTGATGCCTGCACCAACGTAGAATTTGTTCTGAAATTCTACCCTAAAAGAAAAAAAAATTCCACGTGTTAAAGAAACGTTGCAAATAACATTTCCTAAAGCAAATTTTACTAAGCTTAAGAAAAAAAAAGTTCTTGCACTGAAACCGCTCCGTTCCACACGTGCTCTGGGCAGGAATTATTTGCACTCAGATGAAACTTAACTGCACACCCACCCCACCTGGGCTTTCTCAGAGCGCACCAGAAACGCTGACACACACGCCACCCCACACCCTACACTACGGTCCTCTCTCCCCGCCTTCGTAACTGGATATGCAGACAGGTAACCTGACATACACTGTGGAACATTAAGAAATAGGTGTGAAGTATTTTACAAGATAAAGCAATCTGTCAGGCCCAGAGTGAACGGAAAATATGACTATTCATAATTACTTGGCAAGCATTAACTTGCTTTTACTCGCCAGTGGTAACGATTCGGAAACACAGCCCAGGGGTAACTCAGGGGATCTGAACACGCCGATCCCAATGTGAGGAAGAATCAGCCTGAATCAAGCACAGAAGTGTGTGTGGGCTTCCTGTGCACGTGTCGGGGGGAGGAGCCAGGGTGCTGCGAACACTGGTTCCTGCGCCCCGTCCCCCGCTCACCAGTGCAGGCGTATGGCGTGCAGGAATGCAGACAGCCCTTCCATGACCAGAAGGATGAAGACGGTCAGAACCGCGAAGAGCGCGATGACGGGCAGCAGCAGCAGGACCCCGTAGGTGGTGTCCACCCGGAGGCCCACGCGCATCAGCATGGCCCACAGGACGTCGGACAGCTCTGCGGAGGAAGCATCGCGCACAGTCAGCTGCCGTTCCCACTCGGCGAGCCTCCGCGGTCGGCTCGCGGGACGGGGTTTCCTCCGGCGAGTCCCAGCCGCCGTGGGCGAACTGACCGCGCCCGCCTCCACCAGAACACACGCGTGACCCGCTGCTCGTGTGAACCGTCTCCAACACGGAGGGGGACAGGCAGGCCAGGGACACGGGAAGCCGGCCTCCCAGTGAGAGCTCTCGCGCCAAACCGGGGTGGGGTCGGCTCTGTCCCAGCGCAGCCCTGGGCCGGGAGGGAGGAAGCCGGGCGTCCGGTCCTGGCTGTGGCACCAGTGACCGACCCGGTGTCCCTGCGTCGGCACCCACCCTCACTGGGCTTCCGTGTCTTCCTCTGCAAAATGAAGACGACAGACCAGGTCCCTTCCAGCCACGAAATCCCAGACTTTCGGCCGTGCTCATAAAAACATCAGTGTGACGAGAATAAACGTAAACCCTCCCTATCACCAGTTCTCACCGGCACGGGCAGGCTCCACCCAAAGCAGGCTCAGTGATCAGCGGAAACCATCCCCTCGTCCCCGTGGCTTGGAGAATTTTTGTCAGATCATTAAAAATGCTTTATTGTCAGTTTATAAATGCATAAAAAATGAAAAATAATAGATCTACTTTTAAAACATAGGAAACATTGAGTATTAAATTCCCTTCTTTTACCAAAAAAGAAAAACACGCATCCAGGGTGGTTTGAACGCTGTGCCTTCTCCTCGTGGAACCCGGGTGAGCTGGCCCCCGACACAGCGCGGGCAGGTGGCTGCCCCTGACTGCCCTCTGCCGGCCAGGTCCCTCACTCGGCCCCCATTCCGGAAAGTGCCGCCTGGGCCTGCCGCTGTGGCGCAGGGAGGAGAGCCACCACGTGCTTTGCTGTCTGCGTGTGAACGCGGAACAGGCAGAGGGACCGACCGGTCCCCGGCAGGCTCTGCCAGGACCGAGGGACTGGGCACTGGTCACGGAGTGCACGTGTGTGTGTGTGTGTGTGTGTGCGGTGACCCGGCAGTGAAGCCGGGACTCTGCACTGTGGAGACCAGCTGCCGTGGGGCACGCGTGTGATGTGGCTGAGGGTCATCCTAGCCATGCACAGGGAGGACCGCCTGTCACCAGAACCACTGGCTGGCACAGCTTTAGGGCCTGCCTGGGAGAAACGCACGCTCCTACTTGGGAAGCTGGGACTGGACAATAAAGTACCAGCGACGACACGAACAATGGTGGTGACGACAGAGAGGGCAACAGTGCCAGTGCCGCAGGCCCCAGGCCTCCCCAGGCCCTCCTGGCTCTGGGGTTGCACAGCAGCCCGAGGCCCGACGGCCACCCCGGGGCTCCGCATGCTCAGTAGCTAAGACCCAACAACACGCATCGGATCGGACAGATGGCGCTGGGCTTCCCTCGCAACCTGAAAGCGTCCCGGGGAGCCGGCTGCGGTGCGGGGGCGACACTTACGTGCGTGAGCCAGGCTGAGGGCCCAGAGGCGCAGGTAGGACGCGGTGTTGGAGATGCAGCCCAGGCAGTACTCGATGGAGTGGATCGCCTGCGTCATCAGTATCTCCCCGAAATTGAACTGCGGGAGAGAGAACATGGCACGGTCAGCATCCGCGTGCCACACCACACGCGTGCTTGCGAGGACTCGGGGACACGCTCCCGGTCATGTTCCTCGGAATTAACCCACTGTCTCAAACGAAACACTAAATCACCACCGATTAAACGTGACAAAACGTCGATGACAAGAAACTTGGTTCCATCTCCCTTGGCGAGCCAAAGGAGTTTCCGAGAATTTCCACACACCGGAGCGGCACAGTCTGGGTCCCGTCTGCCCGGCTCTGGGCCTCTCTTCTTTGGGGGGAACCGCTTCCTCTCCGTCTAGCCCTGTACCCCCAGCCACAGCAGTGACGGGCTGAACCCTGCTCCCCAAACTTCACTCTGAGTAAGTCCCAAGGTGACCGTGTTTGGAGAACAGGGCTTAGGAGGAGTGAATGAGGGTTACGTGAGGTCACGTGGCCCGGGCCCTCATCAGAAAGCCCGGGGGCCTCGTGGGAAGAGCGAGCGGCCCCAGGTGCGCCCAGAGAAAGACTGAGCGAGGACGTGGGGAAGGCAGCCACCTGCAAGCTGAGGAGAACGGCCTCGGGAGAAGCCGACCCTGACGACACCCTGATCTTGGACGCCCAGCCCCCAGAATTGTGAGACATTAACTTCTGCTGTTGCAGTGACCCTAGCCAGGCCAAGCCCAGCTTCCTCATGAGTCTCCCTGACAGTCGTGAGCGATTAAGAGTGCTCTTCTCTCTGAAAGACTGAAGAAAATGAGCCCAGCACAGCCTGGCCGGTGTGGCTCAGTGGGCTTGGTGTCACCCCACAGAACAAAGGGTCACCAGTTCGATTCCCGGTCAGGACACAGGCCTGGGTTGTGGGTTCAATCCTCAGTCAGGGCGCATATGAGATGTTTCTTTCTCCCATCAATGTTTCTCTCCCTCCCTTCCCCTCTATCTAAAAATAAATAAGTAAAATCTTTAATTAAAAAAAAAAGAGAAAGAAAAAAATGCTGGTCGCATAACTTAAAGAAAGAAAAGAAGTCCAGAGCCAGCTGTGGCCACGGCTCCAACGTCACGGAGCCGCCCGGCTGCAGCACAGGAAGCGGATCTGCACAGACACACCACCCCAGGCCTCCCGGAATCGGGGTCCACCGACCAACCACCCCGGGGCCGCGGGGCTCCGCCCCGACGGCAGCCAGCGTGCACTGGGCCCCGTCTCACGGCCACAAGGCAGGTCTGCCTGGATGAGTGTCTTTGGGAAGGAGCGTCCGTGGCACCTGTGGTCGGTCACCAGGTAACCGCCGCTGCAGCGTTACCACCACAAATCCCACCGAGAAGCGGACACGACGGAAGTGAAACCGAAACCTGACGTATGATGATGACAACTGTGAGGCCAGACGAGCATCTGGGAACCGCGAGCAACGGTTGTTTCGCTTCCGCTTTACCTGCTCATTGAGGCGTGTCGCGGGAACGCTGGTTAGCAAGTTCAGGTGAATTGCCGGGGCGCGACACTGCGACGTGCTCCCCCCGCCCCGGGCTCGCCACCCCGACAGCGGCCGACCGGACAGGGCGGGCCCCACCTCCGGGTCCGCGTGCCACCTCACTGACGTGTCCTGCTGCGGCCCACCTCGCCTCCCGGGAAAGCGTCCCAGAGCCCCCAGCTGACGGCCACCCGTGTCCCACACCGTGCCGCCAAGACCACTTTTGTCCTTGACGGCCAGAACGGCACGACCAGCTGCTGGCAGCACTGGTCACAACAATCACCATCGTGAGGCCCCCGGCGGTGCGGCCCGCGGTGCACACTGCGTCCTGTCCCTGCGTCGTGTGTCGTCAGCACCCGAGTCACCCTGTCAAATAGCCCGGGGAGCGGGGCTCGTCCAAGCGAGCGGCCGGGTCACCTGTCTGCGCCGACCCGCCTCCCGTGAGGAACCCCCACCATGGAATGAAGTCCCTCTCGGTCCACCCCGCGCCTGTGTCGTCCTTCGGTCCGCAGACACCTTCCCAGACCACCAGCACACCTGCACCCCGCCAGCAGACACCACCCGCGGCCTCCGCGCTGTTCCGTGGGAGACTCGCACCTCCGCTCTCGAGGTGGCGGCTGCCCCCCCACGGAGAGCTCGGGCGGGTCCGCACCCCCGCGGGCCCGGGACGCCTTACCTCCTCGCCAGTCACGGCCCTGCACCCGTCATCCAGCCGGCCGCCGCCCTCCTCCACGTCCTGGCTTCCCAGCAGGGACACCTCCTCCTCGCTGTCCTTCCGCACGAGCGTGTAGCCGCCCTGCCGGCAAACACACAGAGACACGGTCGGCGCCGCCGGCCGGAGCCCCGGCGACACCGGCCCCAGGTGGAGCCCCCTCCCTGGTCTGAGCGACTTCCGTCTCTTCGGGGGTGAAACATTCGTTCTTCAAAGGACAGTGAGCACGTCACACCCGTCACAATGACTACTATGTAAAAAAGCACAAGGAAGGAAAGATAAAAAATGCAAAACCAACATTTTTTTAAAGAGCACGTGTCAGTGAAGGCATGGAGGGACGGGACCCCAGGCGCTGCTGCTGCAGGGGGACCCCGGGCGGCGGCTCCTCCAACAGTGAGCCCGGAGCCAGAGCCCGACCCAGCGCTCCCACATCCGGGTGCAGGCCCCAAAGACATGCTCATACGCCCGTGTTGCCAGCAGCGTTGTTCACAACCGCCAGCAGGTACACACACCCCGAGTGTCCGCTGGTGGGCGGACCGTGAACAAAGGGCGGGCAGTGCCCGGCGGAGCATGGTCGGCCTGGGGTGGGGAGGAGCCTCTGGCACAGGCTGCTGCGCAGAAGGCCCTGGAGGCCACTCTGCCCGGGGGCGGGGGCGGGGGGAGGCCCACCGCAGACAGGCAGGGTGCCGGGAGTGGCCACACTAGACACCCCCAGAGCTGGGCGGCAGAAGGGCGGTCGCTGGGGCGGGGGAAGGGGGACCAGGGTGAGTGTTTCGTGGGGACGGAGTTTTGTTTGGGAAGAGGGTCTCCCTGGAGACGGAGGGTGGCAGGGGGTGGCTGCACCACTGCGTGAGTGTGCCTTGTGCCCCTGATTGTGCACGCTTGAGCACGCTCAAGAAAGAAGATGTGTTGTGTGTGTTTTACCACAATTTTTTAAAAGGGGATAAAATGAGAAAATAAACGCCTAAGTCTAGAAAGAAACTTAACGTGGCTCATAATTCAGCAGTAAAACTTAAGGGCATTACTTTCAACGTTTTCCCACAATTTCTGTAATTAAATTATATATTTTTATATGAATAAAATTACTTTTGAGGGGAAAAAAATAAGAGGCAAGAAGGAGAATAAGACGTTTTGACCGGCAGGACTCCATCTGAACCGCCGGCGGGTCCGGCCCCCGTGGCGGGGCCTGTCTCCGCGCCCAGACACTCCGGCTCCGGCTCCGGCTCCGGGGGTGTCTCGTCTGCAGAACAGGCAGCCCCAGGTCTAAATCGGGGAAGCTCTGGCTTTTGAACGAGAGGCCGGGGACCCCCGAAAGGTGTTTTCTTCCCCAAACCTTCCGTAGCCAAGGGAGACCCCGCGCCGTGTCCACGGACGCGCGCCCGGCCGAGCACTCACCCTGCTGACCCCGAAGCAGCTGCGCCCGTTGTGCAGCCAGAACAGGAACAGGGGCTTCCCCAAGAAGAGGACCGGCACGGACAGCGCGGTGATGGCCAGCAGCAGCCTCTGGACGTGCTCCTGGGGGCGCAGGAGGAGGGGGTCAGCGGCGGCACGCGCACGAGCCACGGTGTCTGCGGCGCTCGCGACCGCAGCGGCGGCGAACGCACGGAATGCCCGTCTGTGTACCAACAAGGAGCGGGAGCCGGCGGGAGCCGGACCCCACGGGCCGGCGGGCGGTGTCCTGAACCCACAGCGGGGTCCCGGTGCCGGCGGGCGGCCGACCCTGCTGAGAACCGCAGATGGGCTTTCGTTTGGACCAGGAAGGAAGCTGCGGGGAAACGCTGAAGAGTCAAACTCGAGCTAGTACTGCCAGGTGTTATTTCTGGAAACACCGTCGGGGGGAAACACAAGAGAAGCTGCACATTTTTCTATATCCTTGGTTCGGGGTTTTTTTTTATAACTATAGTGACTATTTCAAGAGCGCGAACTCTCACACGTGAAAAATACGGAAATGGCATTCAGGAAACTAAAAACATTTCCTTAGAACGGCAGAGGTCTCGCAGTTGTCTGAAAGTAACTCAGGAGCGAGGCAGACGCACGCTGGCACAGGCACCGCGGTGGGGGTGGGCCGGAGGGTCGGGAGGCGGGTGCTGAACGGGCCACCAGAGGGGGCGCTGTCCCCTGCTCGGCCCTGTCTGGGGCCCTCCCAACAAACACGGGTTCCCAGAGCCCTGCACCCCCCTCGGCCACAGGCGGCAGCATCCGTGTGCGAGCTCCCGTCCTGCGTGACCAGCACCCTCGCCCTGAAATGCCGATGGGAGTGGGGGCCATGGGGGCCGTGGGCAGAACCACATCCGGGTCGGGTCATGAGCTGCACGGGCAGGCAGAGCAGGTGCGCGTCCGGGGCCTGAGCCACCCAGAAGACGCCACCCGCCCCGGGAGGGGGAGGCCGAGGGCGTCAGGAAAGGGCAGGAAGGAAGGCTGACCCCCGAGGGCGGCGCGGGCTGGAGAGAGGCGTCCCTGCCCGGCCTCCCTGCCCCCAGCACCCACGCCCCACTGAGCTCTGCTGTGTCTGCCTAGGCTGTGTCGCTCTGCAAAGGCTCCGAAAACAGTGCCAAAACACAGTCCTAGAATCCTCACCGAGAGAAACACCAGCAAGAGGGAAAAGCTCGAGCCGTTCACAGAGGGTGCCCGGCGGCAGCGCCCCGCGGGGCCGCAGTCGGCTGCGTGGAGCCTCATCCAGCTCGGCCTCTCGGCTGCACGCACCAGTCAGCGGACCCAACGTGCCGGGTCGGCACGACTGCAAACCCAGGCGCCACCCGGCTCAGGAGCACCGGGGTGTGGCAGTGACGGCGGAGAGGGCCGTCCCGCAGGCAGGGTGCTGAGGCCCTCGTGGTGGCTCCGAGACCAGGACGGCACGCCCTCCCGGCCCCTCCCATGCACTCGGGGCCGGGCACTCTGCTGAGGGCTCCGACGCACCAACTCCACGCTCTGAACAAGTGGGTCTGGATTCCACGGCCACTTCACCGACGAGGGGACCGGGGACCAGGGCCCGGGGCGCAGCAGGGCTGGGGCAGGCAGGCAGGCAGGCAGGCAGGCCTCGGAGCCCAGGCTCTCGGCCACCGGCCGCACCGCGCTGCGCATGGGCGGCACCACACAGACGCACGGTGACGAGAAGCCCCGGAGCGGACCGCCGTGCTGTGGCCCAGAGGCCGATGCCCTGGTGACCAGCCTCGGTCAGAGACTGATTTCAAAGACACAGGACAAATGGAGGCCGCCCTCGGGGATCCCCCAGTGACATGTTCTGACGGCTCCCATGCGGCAGCGGGTCTGGGTCCCGCTGTCCACCCAGCGCCCCCAGCACAGCGTCCGGAGCAGGCTGGTGTCCTCCTGGGACGCCACAGGGAGGCGCAGAGCCCCGGGTGCCGGGCGGCCCAGGGAGAGCACCGGCCCTCGTCCGCCGGCCACAGAAAAGGCTGCGGCAGGGCTGCCCATCGGCTCGGGGTGGGGGGGGACCCCTCACCTGGCCCGAGTACAGCCCGCTCGTCGCACTTCCCGGGAACAGGAACATGTTGATGAACTCAATCAGGATGCTGGGGGCGGCCCTGGAGGTCTCCGCGGAGTAGGCCAGCCACTTGTAGAAGATCATGAAGATGAGGTACCCAAAGATGCAGAGCAGGAAGAGCAGCTCTGGGATGGAGACCAAGTAGATGTTGAACTTCTTCCTGAAGTGCCTGGAAACAGAGGAGCCCGTCAACCCGCAGAGAAGGCGGGACTGAGACAGACAGTCAATTTCCCGCGAGGAAGCCCACCTCAGCCCCCCGACATCCGCCCGGAGCCCCACGCCAGTGACTCAGGGGCATCTCGAGAGCAGACACCGCCAGGTCCGGTCAGAGAAAAAAAGACACGACCCCTTTCTCTCACTACACCAGCTCTCACAGACAAACAGTTTTCTAATTAAAAAAAATGGTGAAACGAGAAAAGTCAAGTCTCTGAACGCACAGGACCACACGCTGCCCCCGTCACTCGGACGTGTAAGTGCCTCGTCTCCTGCCCTCCCTGCCTGGCCCCCGGCGGCCCGCACGCCGCCGGGCACGTGCTCTGTGCGCAGGGACACCCGCTGCACGAAGGAGCCGAGGGAACAGCCAACACCCTGTGTCGCCAACCAGAACCGCGCAGCACGACTCCACCACCGGCTGCCCCCGGCCTGTGCAGGCCCCACTCCAGGGGCAAAACCGCGAACGCCCAGCTAGGCTCAGAAACGCTGCTTTTACACAGCCTGTACTCACAAGTGGTTAAATATTCCCAGGACGACTCCAAAGGTCATGTGGATAATCCCTAAAATCACAGACATTTTCATCTTGAACGAGTTCAGGAAAGTGAGGCGATTCGTGGCCAAGTTCCAGATCTGCAGACAAGACAGACAGACCCAGCAGGCTGTGACGCCCTTCCCGCGCCCCACGCCCGGGGCTCGCGGCGCCGGGGTGGGGGTGCGGGGGTGCAGGGGCGGGCGGGCTCCGGGCTGAGGTCAAGGCGGCCACTCCTCTCCACCCTCCAGTCTGAGAGGCACCGCTGTCCCGGCCCCGGGCCACAGGCTGCCGCACAGCAGTTCCATTGTCAACTCGAGCTCCCGGGATGACGAGGATGCGGGGCTGCGTTTAGGGGCGCGTCCAGGATGGGACACCGGGGAGGAGAGGGAGAGGACGCGCACCCGGAGCCCAGGGGGCGGGAGCGTCCCCTCTGCGGGCAGCTGGGGGTGGGGGGGTGGTGAGGCGGGTCCTGGGGTCTCTGACCCTGGGCGGGGACACGTTCGATACACTGTCCCGTAAGTGTGTCTTAAAGTTTAACTGCAGAAAGAAAAGGAAAAAGGGCGGGCAGACTCATCGCTTCGAAGCGGGACCGGGATTTCGGAGAGCGAGGCCAGGCTGGGACGGGCCGAGAGGGGGCCGGCCGGCTGGCCCGCGTGGCTGAGCCCGGTGTGCGGCCGGCACTCCCCGTGGGCGTGGAGCTCAATTTTAGAGTTGGGCACGGGGCCGGCTCCCGGGGAAAGCGGGGAGAACGAGAACGCCTGTTGCGTGTGTCTGCGTGTCCTCGCAGACGCTCCGGAAGGGCACACGTGTGACCGGCACGAGGCCCAGGAGCGGGGGGCGGCCGGGGGCGTCTGGGGCCCGTCAGCCAGGGTTGGAGGGGTTGCTTCTCACCAGACCCAGACCCTCCCCGCACAGAAAGCCCCCCTCCCCGCGCCGTGGATCTGCCCGCGGGCCCCGCGGCTGCCGTGCCGTTTTACAGTCAGACTGAAACCCGTGCGGTGCCGGGCGGGCACCGGAGACGTCGGGGACCCCTGTGTGATGCGGACGACTGTCCCGCCGCCGTGCCGGCCGCACCCCTGAAACCAGCACCCAGCAACACTGCCTGCAACCTGTGACTGGAGGAGGATGCCGAGAGAAGAGACGAAGCCTGTGACCCTTGAGGGACGGTGAGAGAGAAACCACCGCGGTGGCCAGCACCTCGTGCACGGGGCGGGGGCGGGGGGGGGGACGGCGGGGAAGCGTGCACTCACGGGGTCGATGCCGAGGGGGTAAGGGCCTTGGAACACGCCGGGGACGCTGGGGTCCAACTGCAAGACCCGGCTGTGCTTGACCACGCTGTCGCTGCAACAGAAAGCAAGTGAGCAGGAGGAGGAGGAGGACGGAACCCGGGCCAAGGCGTCTGCTCCCCGACCCCCGTGCGGCGAGGGGACCCCCGTGCGGCGAGGGGACCCGTACTTCCAGAGCGCCATCCTGCCGCGCTCGGCGGCCGTGTGGCCGGCGCTGTACATGGCGGACACGTTCCAGCCGGAGCCGAAGAGGTTGACGGACTTGGAGAAGCAGTCGTTGTAGATGAGGCCCGTGTACACGGAGAACAGCCCCATCAGCAGGAGGATGTAGCGGCCGTTGAAAAACATGCGTGTGATCTGTGGGGCGCGGCGGGGGCTGAGCCGGGGACGCGGCGGCGGGGGGAGGTGCGTCCAGCCCAGACCTCGGCCGCCCGCTCCTCTCCACCCCCGCCCTCGGGGCTCCCGAAACCAGGCAACGCCACAGGCGCCCCCGTCACACCGAGAGGACCCGCCCACGCCTCTGACGTCTGGGTCAGCCGGGTCACGGTCACGGCCAGCCACCGAGCAGCCCTGGAGAGCCAGCTCTCGCTCGCCCGCTCGGTGCAACAGAAGGGCATCGGCACTCACGCCCCCCCCCCCCACCCCGGAGGCGGACGGGCGAGCGGCGGCGCTGCCCCTTTACCTCCTGGGACTGCGTCAGCCGCGGGTGGTCCTCGTTCAGCACCAGCAGGAGGGCGAACAGGAACATCACGAAGCCGTGCCCGAAGTCCCCGAACATCACGGCGAAGAGGAAGGGGAACGTGACGATGGTGAAGAGCGCTGCGGGGGGGCGGGGACTGCTGACCCGGGCCAGGCGGGGCGCTCCCCTCCGCCCGGCCCCCGCGCAGCGCCCGCCCGGCCGCGGCCCGACGGGCCCGTGCTCAGACGCGCGCATTCGGACGCCCAACCTGGGTTCACCTCCCGGTAGCTGCCCACGCCGTAGGCGTCCACGATGTTCTGGAAGCCCTCGGTGAACTTGTTGGTGCGGATCAGCGTGGGCGGCGTCTCCCTCGTCGGGATGGTGTTCATGAACGAGGGGATCGCGGCACCACTCTCTCTCTTCCGCGTGAGCAGGGAGAGAAGGAGAAGAGACTTACTCTCCAGGAGCCCTGCCGACCAGCTCGGACGCCCGCCGCCGCGGGTCCGGCGGGGCCCTGCGGGAACAGACTCAGGCAGCGGAATATTAAATAGTTATTTTCAAAAACAGAAAAGTTTGCCCCGGGCGGTGTGGCACGGTTGGTTGGGCATTGTCCCGCGAAGCGAGAGGTCGCTGGTTCGATTCCCAGGTCAGGGGCCTGGGTTGCGGGTTCAGCCCCTGGAGGGGGCGCACACGAGAGGCAACCAATCAGAGTTTCTCTCTCACACACTGATGTCTCTCTTCCTCTCTTTCTCCCTCCCTCCCCCTCTCTCTAAAACTAAGTAAATAAAACCTTTTTAAAAATAGGGAAGTTTCATTAAGTGAAAAGAGCAGTATACATAACACGTGACCTCTTGTGAGAAAAGGAAAGAAAAATCACCCATTCGTGTCTGCTTGTCCGGGATGAAGAGCCGCACAGACACCCTGGGACTAAAGCGCTGGCCGTCACTGGGTGGGGGCATGGGCGGTGCCGCTGCGGCATGGCCGCCGCATTTTCTGACGTTCCCACGGGGGGGGGGGGAGGGGCGGGACTGCGCCCCTCGCTCGGAAGACCAAGGCGAGAACCCCACTCACACACGCCTGGAACGGCGGGCGCTCGGGCAGCCCAACCCCAGGAAGAGGCCCGGGCGCCCCCGTGGCCCCGAGAAACGCGGTCTCTCTCTCTCTCCACACTCGCAGGTCTGACCGCCCAGCGGGCGAGCGCAGCGGGGCCCGGTGGGACGGCCTTACCGACCCGTCCTCGAGCGCCCGGCGCAGGCCCTGCAGGTCGGCCTCGGGACACCAGACCTCGGCGATGAGGCACTTGTTGGTCACGTCGAAGCTGCACATGTTCAGCATGTGGTAGATGGCCTTCATCTTCTTCACCTGGATGGCGCGGGGGTAGACCGACTCGGCGGCCTTGCACAGCACTTGCCTTAGGTAGTCCTCGGTCTTGTGGAGCACCTGGGTGAGGACAGCGGCGGGCGCTCAGCGGAGCGGGTGACCTGCAGTGTCTGCCAGGCGCCCACCGGCCCTGGAGACACCCGTGGGGGGGTGGGGTAGCTCCTGCCTCTCCTCCCAGGGCCCAGCACCACCCGGGGGCAGGGGGAACACCTGAGTGTGGCCCGTCTGACCTCCTGGAGTGGCCTCTCAGGGACACGGCCCCAGGGCCACGGGAGAGGCCAGAGGGCCTGGTGGCTGCGGCAGCAGCTCGGCCCGGCCGGGTGCCGAGCCCCCGGGTCCCCGCCCGTTCCCCACCTCGGCCCGGCTCCCCGCCAACCCGGTGGGCCCCCATCTCCCGCCCTGTCCTGCCAGGAGTGCCCTCTGGCCTAAGCAGATCACCGCCAGCTCCCTGCAACCGAGAGCCCCTCCGCCATCAGCAGACCCGGGAAACAAGAGCCACACTTGAAACGGGCTCATCTGTGCCCCCCGACGGAGAGATCCCCCCCTCCGGGCCCCACAAAGGTGGGCTTTCGTTGCAAAGCCTGGCGCTCTCTAGGTTTCGAACAGGCTGCTGGGACAGAGCCGCCACAAAGAGGGGGCAGGTGAGTGACCTTCCAGTCTTCCTAAAACGCCTGAGTGGCCCCCGCCGAAACGCGCCCGGGAAGGCAGGAAGCGTGTGGGCACGCGTGGGGCAGCTCCGGCCGAGGCGGCGGCGGCAGCGGCGGCCCACTCACGGTGTAGAGGTCCTGGATGCGGGTGCTCAGCCCCTCCTGGATCTCCTGGCGCTCCGCGGCCGTGCTCGGGTAGGGGTACACGTGGCAGTGGTAGCTGGAAGGCAGAACCCAGGCAGGCACACGTCCCGCGGGGCCGGGTCTCCCTGGCCGGGACGGCTCCCGACATCACGCCCAGTTCCAACCTCCAGACACGCGCCACCCTCCCCGGGTGGGAACCTTCACACGGGTTTGAGACGGAAACACAAAGATAACACGCGACACCTGTCACCTTTGAAAAAGAGAAGTCAAGGGGAGACAGAGGCGCTGGTGAACCAGCACCGCCGGGCCGTGTGCTGCAGTGAGCCCCTCCCCCACCTCACAGCGCCACCAGTCTCGGGGCCGCGTGACGCCAGGACACGGGTGGGGGGGGCACGCAGGGCTGGGCCCGCCGCCCACACTGCAGCCACCCCACCCGCCTTAATGCTTCCCTGTAAGTTCTGACTCCTAAAATTAGCCCCGCCCCCCGCCTGACCCCCAGCGGGGACGTCCGTGGCACCATGGGCCGCTGAGCCGGGGCAGTGTTTCTGCCGCGCGCTCAGACAAGCGGCTGTCCACAAAACCACCGCCGGTTTGCCCACGTGACGCCCGAACGCCTTCCACGGCCCGGCGACTGGGCATCGAGCTCCAGGACGCGGGATCGAAAACAAAGCCGAGCCCCTCCCTCGCGCCCGAGGGACAAGGCGGCCGCCTGCAGGGTCCCCGCGGACGAGAAGGCGACACGCCCTCTCCTGCGCGTCCGCTTGGCTTCGCCTGCTCTCCCAGTCGCTGGCAAGAGCGAGTCACAGGCAGGCTCCTGTGTCCCCGAGGGGAGCTGCGCCCCCTCCCCGCCGTTTTCACCGCTGAGGACACGGCGACGTGGTGACCCGCCCGCGGCTGCCCAGGTGGGACGGAGCCCACGTGCCTCCCCCACCACCCCGCCCCCGCCGCCCCCGGTGCGCGGGAGCAAGCCGCCCCGTGTGGGAGAGGAGAGAAACCACAACCCCACGAAGTCTCCGTGCAGCCAAGGGCAATGGGGAGGCACGAGATACAACAGTTTGATTCTTCTTCCAATGGGGTCTTAAGTCTTGATTTCAAAAAAGGGGAAAAAACCCGCAATCTGACAATGTTACTAACGTGATCTCCACTTTGAAGTTACTTTAAGTGCTGTCCTGGCAAGAGAGAGGACAAACTAAGTATTTGAAAACGTGGGGTGACAGTGGCGACGTCCCCTGACGAGACCCAGGAGCCCCTGGACCCCCGCATCTCTCCTCCGACGGGGGCACCCTCGGGGAGAACCAGCGCCCCCTGCTGGACACAAAGGAATAAAGGGAAGCGAGCACGGCTTCTCCTTACCAGTCACATATCTTCTTGACCTTGTGGCCGATCTGCTCTCCCCAGAAGGAAATCAGGAACACGTGCCACTTCGTGACTTCTCCCTGCGGAGCGAGCAGGACAACGGTCACTTCTGCGGCCACAGCCGTGAGGGCTCTGCCAGCAGCGCAAACTCGGTCACCACTCGACCTGACCTCCAGCCCTCGGCACCGCGGGTCCCGCGACGGCAAGGTCACCGCCAACACCGCCCCTCACCCCCAAACCGACACTCGTAATGCGGTGTTGTTTTTTTTTTTGGTCACTTGCAGACGTGCAGGGCGACAAAAATCGCGAGTCGCCCAACGCGCACGTGGACAAGGTGACTTCCTGGTTCACCTCGAGCTGTAAGAAAACGTCCTTATCAGGACGCACGCGGCGCAAGGTCCTCCCACGCTCGTGCTCTCGGTGGGCGCCGGTGCTGCTGACGCGGCCCCCCGGGCAGCGCTCAGGTGCCGGCCCGTGTCCCTGAGCGCAGGGAGGGCAGATGAGCTTCGTCCACACGTAAGGGACGGTGCTGTTAGCTGAGATCAAGGTCAACGAACTGACAGTATCTACTAAAGCATCTTCACAAACAAACGCAGAAACAAAGTTTCGTCCCGTGCTGCCGGCTGGACGAAACGCTGGGGCCAGAGGCTGGCGGGCACCTCGCCGTGGCCCCAGGGCACGGCAGCGGCGCGGCGTTTGCAGGGAATTCACGGATCAGAACGACCGTGAGTGACGGAGCCTGACTGCCCTTACAGACGGACGCCCCACAGAGAAACCAAACTCACCGTCTCGGGGTCCTCGAGGGGCTCGTCCAACTCCGCGCAGGTCACGATGGTGTACCCCTTGCAGGCCCTCCACAGCATCCTTTCGAACGCCTCCACTTTCCCTTGGCTGATCAGGCCGGACACGAAGCTGGGGGACAACGTGGGTGGGCAGGCGGCGGTCAGCGGGGAGCAGGGGACTCGCATCAAACACACTCGGGACACGACGAGGACGTCCGTTTCGGCCGGCACGGCAGAGACGCGGAAGGCCGCCAGCCGCCCAGTATCCAAAACGCGGGATCAAGAGCTGTTGACACTTCCTTCCCCCTGCAGAGCTGAGCCTCGGGTTAGAGAAGTTCTAAGAAATCAAAGCGACGGCACCTCGCGGCCACCCCGATGCCTCACACTGGCCTGGAGCTCCCACCTGGCGTGGGAGACGGGCGTCGGGCAACGGGTGTGCACAGGGGAGAAGACACTGACCCCCCACCCTCTCCCTTCTGAGGCGGGGACCCCCAGAGGGCTACGCCTTCAGTGCACGGAGGGACGAGGAAAAAATCCACCTCCTTGCAGAGGAGCCTACAAGGACACTCGTTTCCAGGCTGGGTGGGGGAAGTCTGCATGGAGGACTTACAGCCACAGCTGAGAATTCACTCAGGCCTGGGGCTTAGATTCTCATCAGGCGCACAGTGAACAAACAAACAACGCAGAAGCCTCGCGGAGAAACTGATGTGAGATGACTCCCGTGGGCGGTGGGCTCTCAGGCACCTAACGCACGCAGAAATCCACTCTCTCCGGAGGAGCGAGAGGCGCTTCGAGTCTGGGTCACGTGTGAACCGGCTCGGTTCAGCCTGCGTCCCCGCCACGCAGAGCAGGCCCTGCCGCCGCCGCAGGGACCCGGCGGCTTGGGGTCGCGGGGGTCACGCCGGCACAAGCGCCCTTCCTCCCAGCTCACTGTGCCCGCAGCGGCAGCACCCGCCACACACACACCCGTTGGCGGCTGAAAGCTCGCCGCGCAGGCCCTTCGCCGCAGGCCCAGACACACGCGCTCTCTTCGACAAGCCCCGCCTTCTCCCCCTCGAGCCCCGGCCTCCGAAGGCGCCCTCGCACCCAGCACCAACCTGGCAGAGTGCGCCCGAGGCCCCCCGACGCCCAGGCGTCACCTACCCCAGCTTCGCTCCCAGCCTCTGCATAGAGCTGTAGTCCAACAAGGAGTCGCTGTCCAAGGGGGGGAACTCCTCGTAAGTGGGTTCAAACTGCAACGAGAGCGGGAGCCCAGTGTGTCCCGGGAAACGTGAGTGTGCGTGTCACGCTTCCAAATGAGAGCGCGGGGCCGTCACCGCCTGCTCAGACCTGGGTGCTCGGCCCCTCGGCGACCCAGACACGGCACTCGGCGCTGACCGAGGAGGAGGAGGAGAACTTCTGCATCCCTCATCTGCGAGCTGCTTTACATGAAAGGACAGTCGTAGCCCTGCCTGGCGTGGCTCAGTGGACTGAGAGCCGGCCTGCGAACCAAAGGGTCGCCGGTTCGATTCCCAGTCAGGGCACATGCCTGGGTTATGGGCCAGGTCCCCAGGAGGGGGCGTGTGAGAGGCAACCACACATGGATGCTTCTGTCCCTCTCTTTCTCCCTCCCTGCCCCTCTGCCTAAAAATAAATTCTTTTTTAAAAGAGTAGAGTTACAATTTTTGCCATCCCCTAATCCAAGGTAATTTTTTGACATGAAACTAAGTTCGGAAGAGATGTACTCCTCTCTGATGCTCAGGTGAATGCAGGAATACAACGTAGGCTGTTCTTTATCCTCCTAAATCAGGTTTTCTTATCTCCTTCACTCTTAGCAATTTGGAAATAAAAGCGATTTTAGAACTGAACTTCCTCCATTCAATTTTTCCTCACGATCATGAAAAGATTTTCCTCAATTGTAAACTAAAGCATTTTACCCAGAGGAGGCGCTGTAACTGCTAACAGCAACCGACCCGGGGAAAGACGGAGCTACGTCCGGCTGGAAGCACAGCCCAGACCAGAGCCCCTCTGGGCAGCGGCAGCATGTCGCCCGGAACCGAGGGCACAACCGGGCCCGACGGGAGGGAGACCCCCATGGGAGAGGCGGGCGGGCCGCCCGTACCTCCACGTTGCGTCTCACGAAGGTCTTGGTCACCCTCAGCATGTGCGTGTACTCGATCAGCTCCAGCAAGTTCTTCCTCAGCTTCTCCTTGTTCTTCGTGACCTCCCGCAGCTCCACCTCGAGCTTCTGCAGCTGCTCCTGAAACGAGGCAGAGGCGGTTCCTGGAGTCCGAGCCTGGCCTGACGGCCTCCCGCCCGCCCCGGCGGGGCTCGGAGGGGCCGGACTTTACGGCAGCTGGGACGGGAAGCGCGGGACAGGCTCTAAGGGCCGTCGTCCGCTGCGCCACGTGAGGGCGGGTGACTGCCGGGGTGGGGGGCACACGACACGCACGGAGGCCAGGCCCCCTCGAGCTGCACTGACTGGGATGCGGGTGCCTAGGGCTTGGGGGGCCCTCCGTGCCCACCCGTCCCCTCTCCCTCACCACGCGTCTTCCTGCTTCAGGGCCGCGTGTCCTTTTATTTGCAGTGCAGCACACAGGTTGAGGCCCTCTGCTATGAACATACGTACTCCTGTCTCCAGCTTGACAGTTTGCACACAGCCGCACTCACCGTGAATCGGGCATAAAAACTCTTCTTAGATACCGCGGTGCGGGCAAAGCATTCTTAGCAACTTGCAAGCACAGAAACAACAGAGGCAGGGACCCGAGACACAGACGCCTGGCCCCAGGGACTCGCGCACCCGACAAGTGACAGGTCGGGGGACGCACCACACGCGTGCCTGTGCTCCGAGCCAGAAAGGGCCGGAGACCACGGCACCGCCCTCCGCACAGGCCGACCCGGGCGTGACTGCGTTCTGCCCTCCCTCGGGCCCACTCAGCACCAAGCATGCGGTGGCGCCCTCCCGGGTGGACCGACAGGGTGGCCCGCAGTGGGGCGGCCCGAGTCACCCAGTGAAGACCCTCTGGGAGGGGCTGTCAGGGGCTCTCGGCTCCCGCCAGGGTGATGCTCGACCAGGTGCCTGGACTCAACCTCAGGGGTCACTCACGGCACGGGTGTGGGTGTCCTCCCAGGGGGACGCTGTGTCCCCAGCACCCGAGACCCTCGACTCTGGCAGGAGTTCCGTGGGTGGCCCCCCTGGAACAACCCTCGCCTCCCGTGGCTTCTGAACACGAGGGGGAGGCTCAGGGACACGGGGACAGCATCGTCCCCCCACCACGCCTTGCCCGGGGGGGGGGGAGGCCTGCTGCAGCCCAGAGAAGCCCCCGCTGACCGCCCAGGAAGCAGGCCTCATGGCCAGCTCTCCTCGGCCCGAGCCGAAGACCGCCAGGAGAGGGGCCCGCGCCTCGAGCTCTGAAAGGAAACCGGTTCCGGGAGAGTGCGTCCCAGGCGGCAGGTTACTGAGGGTCAGCGCCCCTGGGCTCGCCTGCGCGCACTCCACGGCCTTGAGAGGGAGGGCAGAGGAGCCCCCGGCGGCGCCGTGAGGAGAGAGGAAATAAGCAGACTCACTCGGAGAACAGTGACGGGAAACGGCAGTGGCGGACGCAAGTTACCTGCATTTCTAGGACCTGCTTAAGAGGCGGAGCCGGAGGGCTGGCCTCTCCCTCCGGAAGGGGAATGTCGGCCCTGTGGATCTCCTGGACGAGGTACGCTGCGGAGACAGAGGTGCACGCGTCAGACCCACAACCGAGCGATGGGCGCACCGGCCAGCGCGGCCTGCACCCCGCCTCCCCTGGGCCACCTGAAGACTCAAGTCTAGAGGCCCCAAAAACCCTGCCGGTGCCAACAGACCCGCAGGCCGCCCGCTGCGACCTTCTCCCCAGGGAAGACGCTGCCCAGATGCTTTCTCTTCATTTCTAGCACTCCAGTTAGAGGACCCTGGGGTGGCAGCGGTGTCTGCACGTGCAGAGGGAAGGGCAGGGGAAGGACACAGCTGGCCGGGCCGCAGCAGCCCAGGGACAGGCTGCCACCGTCCCCACTGCGACCGAGCAGAAGCCCCATTTCCTCGCCGGGACCCTGTCTCCCCCGTCCGTCCACCCCCCTTCACCATCAGGCACTGAGGATGTCAGACGGCCGTCAGCAGTGACCTGCCTTCAGGACGGGGCCTCAGGACTGCTAACCACACGGACAGCGTTTTGGTCACGCTGGAGACACCGTCCGGGCCCCGGCTGGTGTGGCTCCAGGCCCAGGAAAGCCAGCCCACTGACCACACCCTTGGGAGCCCGCCTGACCACCCCTACTCTGACGCCCACCAGTCAGCCAAGACCAGGACCCCAACCAAGCGCACAGGCCGGGGGCACCTCCGGCAACCCCGCATAACTCGGGGGCCGACAGCCAGGAGACCGCGACCTGACACCTTCAGGAGGGAACCCGGGGACACGGAGTCACTGTCATCCGGCCGGCCCGCCACTGCCCGCCGCCTCTGCGCACGGACAGGACGCTGAGTTGCACGTGGACCTGCACACGGTGCTGTCGGGTCCCACTCAACTACGAGGGGTCGGATGGACGGGCGGGCGGACGACGCCACGTGCATCAGGGCGCAGCGTGCAGCCACTGGCGACGCGGACGGGCGGGCGGGTGCGCTGCCGGGGAAAGGCGCCGCAGCGCCGGCGACAGAGTCGTCACCTGGCCGTCCCGGGGGGGAAGCCCTCCCCTGCACGGGTGAGCGGTGAAAAGCACGGACAAGCAGCGTCGGCCCACGTAACAGTGTTTACCTCTGAAGAGCCAGAACACGGCAGTTCCTTCCTTCCTTCCTGTTTCATCTGTGTTTTCTGGTTTTCCTCATGCGAGCAGGGTTTGCTCATATAAAAACGGTTACTCAGGTTATCAAAATAAACTCACCCAGTATCCGCTCCAGCTCCTCACACCTCTTCACCTCGCCAACGAATTTCCTTTGGAAAGAACTTACATTCTGGTTGAGCTGAGAAAAGAGTAAAAAAATTTTCTTGGAACGCTCCGAAACTTAGAAAGTGAATTGATTTTAAAAAATACAGTATTACTGGCGAGGGTCCAGAGAAGAGCCCACCCTCAGGGACCATTCAGCGGGGGCACAAACCGACGCCCCCTGCCCGGAGAGTGACCCGGCAACAGCTACCAGCACACCCAGAGGTCCCTCCGGCCCAGAGCTACTCCGCGGAGAAATGTGCCCAAGGAAAGAACGACGGACACGGACACGGGTGTGTCTGGAAGACACCGACCTCGGGCACTGAGAGAAGCTGATTCGAAGGAGAAAACGGATGCGAGGAATTGCAGGCAGTCCTCACCCCGCGGAGCACCCACGGGCGCGCTCAGCGGCAGAGCAGCCGGGGACGACGCTCTGACACAGGGCGGCAGAGGAGGGCACACAGGGGCACTGGGCGTGATTCCGTCTCTAGGACAGGCCCAGGAGCGGCTGCCTGGGGCTGGGGGAACGGCCCGCTGTCCGGGAACACGGGGGTGCACTGGGGTGCCGGACGCACAGGTCGGTCGGTCTTCTAAAACTCAGTGACCTGCGCGGCCGAAATGCGTGGATTCTATCACAGACACCAGGGAAGCTGTATAACAAGTACGATTCAGTCATGTAACTTACGCACTTTTTTAAACTCTAACTGTTGTTAACCCTCCGCTGAGGACGCATTTACTGGTTTTAGAGAGAGGGAGGCAGAGAGAGACACCACCCATCGGCCGCCTCCCGAGCTCGCCCGGACCAGGGATTCTGGCTTTCGGGACACGCTCCAGCCACCCGCACCACCAGCCGGGCTACGATGCCCTGGTCAAAAATGGCGTTTTAAGTGACTAAGGCCTTTGATTCTATAAAAAAATTAGTTTAAAATTTTAGGTGTGATAAGGATGTTATGGTCGTGATTTTTCCGTGGCCTGACCTTTGAGAGATACTGTCTGAAATAATCTGTAAATGGAAGTGCGCACCTGGGACTGGCTTCATCGTGTTCCCGGGGGGCGGGGGTGGGGGTGGGGCGAGTGGCCAGAGTTTCTCCCGCGGGGACGCAGGCGGTCACTGCGCCCGCACACTCTTCCCTCAGCCTGACTTCTCGCACCAAGCTCAAAACAGTAAGTAACAGTGTAAAAAAATACTTAATAAAGTCAGGAAGGTATCCATGATTTGTGTCTAAAAAAGATTAAAAGATATTTTCAGTGTGGTTCCAATTACATAAATATATATGTGCATTTAAAAATAGTATTTAAAAAATCACGTTTGGCCCTGGCTGGTGTAGTTCAGTGGATTGAGCGTGGGCCTGTGAATCAAACGGTCACCGGTTTGATTCCCAGTCAAGGCACAGGCCTGGGTTGCAGGCCAGGTCCCCAGTGGGGCGCACGTGAGAGGCAACCACACATGGATGTCTCTCTCTCTCTCGCTCTCCTTCACCTCTCTCTAAAAATAAATAAATAAAGTTTTTTTAAAAATTCATGTTTGACCAATATTAACCAAAAAGTTTAAGTGTTTATTTCTAAGTATTGGAATCAGAGAAATTATTATTATCTTATTGTTCTCTTCCACATGTATTACTTGCATAACAGAAAACTTGACAGCACTCACTCGTGCGGAAGGCAGTCAGGGCAAGGGTTTTTTGCTCAAGCAGCACCTGTGTGGGCACTCTCAAGAAACAGAATGAGGCAAGAGCTTGGTGTGAAACTGCCCAAACATGAGAGTATCTACCCCAAAGGTTTCGTTCTTTTTTTTTTCTATTCTATTTTATTTTGCTATTTTTAGACAGAGGAGAAGGGAGGGAGAAAGAGAGCAAGAGAAATAAATACCCATGTGTGGTTGCCTCTCACACGCCCCCTACTGGGGACCTGGCCTGCAACCCAGGCATGTGCCCTGACTGGGAATCAAACCGGCGACCCTTTGGTTTGCAGGCTGGTGCTCAGTCTGCTGAGCCACACCAGCCAGGGCCCAAAGGTGTAGTTCTTGTTCAGTCTTTTTATAGACTGAACCAGAAGAAGGATTTTTTAAAAATTCCAATTTCACTTCTGTCTGTCACAGTCACATTCATTTCTGGAACTCACTCTTGTCTGAAGAGACCACTTTCCGGTCCCTGGTGCTCCGGGCACGTCTGTTCCCACCAAGCTGGGCATGTGAAGGGGAAGCCCAGGCACCACACCCCGCCACGAGCAACACCACGTCTCCGTTCCCATTTTCTGTTCCCTATCGAACACTGTAAGTCTAAGTGGACACTGTGGCTCTCCAAACAGAACCCTTATGGAGAGGCCCGTGTCTGCAGCCCTGCCACCAACGTGGTGGGGTGGACAGCCACTGCCGCCACTGCCACCTTAGGTGAAGTCATTGCTTCCTCCCGGTAGGTGGTTTCTTTGACAAAGTTTTATTTATTTCTCTTTCCTTTTTAGGGAGGTGACATAACCCTCATTCGGGGCCAGGGACAGGAAGCAGCTTCACTTGAAGCCCAACAGTTAACTCAGGAAAGCTGGCGGGGGGGGGGGGTTGGGGGGAGCCCTGGTGCAGTTTTCACTGGTCTGCACCCCAGTCCCCGCGGCAGCAGCTGAGGGACGGCAGGGAAAGCCGTCCTTGTCCTCGGGCTGCAGGCTGGCACCGGGAGAGGGGCTGGCACCCTTCACTGGGGCCCACAGCTCGCCACTGTCACTGCAGACGCCCACAGCCCACCTCCTTTCCCTTAGAAGGATGATTTTTTTAAAAGCAGATCATTCAGCCCATGCAAGCCAGGCAAGGCTGGGGTCAGGGACCCCATCGGGTGAACTTGAAGTCAGTAAAATGCCAGGAAAGTGCGGGAAACGCCAGGTGCGATGGGACGTTCTGCACACGTGTGCTGCTGCTGCTGCTGCCATCACACAAGGCAACCACCCCCCTGCCCCCCTCTCACCCGGCTCTGAGGACCCAGCGCCCCACGGAGACCATTGAACATTTCAGTTTTATTTTCCTTCTAGCAAAAGACACACCACACTCTTTTTCCTCACTGATTGTCCGTTCCAAAGGATCCCAGTGCTGAGGCCAGCAGTGAAACCGGAGTCTGGGTGGTGACTGGGGCACCGGTTCAAACCTCTGAGATTCGAGCGGGCGCACCTCCTGGCCCGAGCTCTAACGGGACGGAACAGCTCCACCTGCCCCCGTGGAGGGAGCGTGTTTCTGCGGTGACTGTTTCCTAAGCCTCTGAGGCGCTACTCGCAGCTGCACACAGCCCCTGCCAGGTCCGTGGGTGCCGGGTGCTGGAGCCCGAGTGGCTCCAGGAACCGGGAACAGATGGGGGCCTGCCCTGCAGCCTCCTCACCTGTCCCTCTGGGCTTTCTCTGGACTGTGATTGCCTCGGGGTGCCAACCCAGGATCACTGACATCAGAGCTCAGGGAGGGCACTCCCTTTCCAAGTGAAGTCCGCCCCGCCCCCCAGAAGATGAAGAGAAACAACCAGGGGATGAGAGCTGTGGCCAGGAAATGACATGTCCACCTAAGTGACTTTCAGTTCCATCAGTCAGTACCAGGTCCGGCTTAATAATCTCCCTTCCACGCCCTGTTCTTCCCGAACACACTGCATAATCGGGGTGATTATCTGTCTCCTCCCAGGCAGTGAGCAACAAGAACACAGGGACCTTGTCCTCCTTGCGGGCCACTCAGTCCCCAGCACCAAACCCAGCATCTGGAACAGAGCAAGCCCTCAATAAAAGCCTGTGGCTTCACTCAACAGATGCCCATTAAGGCCCAGAAGTGCCAAGGGCTGCAGGACTCAGGAGTGAGCAAGTCCGGCAAGGCCCTTGCCCTTGGGGGTTAGCAGTCCCCTGGTGGAGACAAACAATAAACAAGTAAAGAGATACATAAGCAAGTGTTTATTGTTACTTGTTGGCCACACGGCTCCCACTCCCTACCAGGCAAGCGGCCCACATCAGTGAACGAAACCGACAAGGATCCCTTCCCTCGAGGAGCTTACACAGGCTCACCGCCAAGTCAGGCTCTGGGCTGATCCGGCACCGCGTTCGCCCAGACCTTCCCGGGGACAGCTCCTTCCCATCAGGTCTTGGCCCAAACGTCCCCTCCTCCGAGAAGCCTACCTTGACCACCGCCAGCCAAGCCACCCTCATACTAGCCCCCTTTTATTTTCTTCATAGCAATTTTCTTGTTTATGGACTTATTTTCTCCAACCTTTGTCCCCCACCACCCCCGTAAGTTCCAGAAGAGCTCCGAGAGGCCTTATCATATTTGTTCTCCCACTTAGCCCTGCGCCTGGCGCGGAAGCATCTGATGGCACACCCCAAAGTTGCCGAAGCCCTCGCGGAGCGTTCCCAGCGAAGGCGGGACGCTGGGCTCGGTCCCGCTCTGCGGCAACTCCGGCCGGGGGCCGGAGCCTCAGCCTCCCCGTCTGGGAAATAGAGGCGGCGGCGCGGCCCGGCCCGGGCGCCGGCAGAAAGGGGGCCCGAGTCCCCGGGGGACACTCACGTCTCGGAACTGGACCAGGCCCTTCTCGCCCAGGGCGCTCAGGCACTCGTAGGCCGTGCCCGACTGCAGGAAGAGCTGCGCCAGGCACATGCTCTCGCTCCGGAACAGGGACCCCATGGCGGGCCGGCCCGCGCCCCGGCGGGGCCCGACGGGCGGCGGCGGCTCCGGGCAGAGCGGGCCCGCGCGGTCAGCGGGGGCGGCCCAGGCTTCGGGCTCCTTCTGCGGCCTGGCCGCGGCCCCGCACCATGGGGCTCCGGGCTGCAGCAGCCGCCGCCCCCAGTCCTGCTGCCGCGGCCGCCGCTCCAGCCGCCGCCACTGCCGCGTGAGGCCCCGCCCCCAGCGACGGCCGGTTCCGGTTCCGCCCCCCCGCGGCCGACCAATGGCGCCCGGAGTTGCGGCGGGCCAGGGGCCAACCGACGCCAACCCGGCGGAAGACCGCGGGGCCCCCGACGCTGAGCCAGGCCCGGAAGGAGGGCGGCCGCTGGCCCCGCCGCTTGGAGCCGTTCAAGAGCAGCCTACTGAGCGTGCGGGCCATGAAGCTCGCCCGGCGAGAGCACGCAGTCCCGGGGCTCGGGTCAAGTGACAGAGCTGTGCAGCCCTCCGCCCGGGCGGCGTCAGAACCCGGCGGTCCGCCCCGACCCCTGCGCGGCCGCGCGCCCTGCAACCGCGGAACAGCCTGGTCCCCACAGATCTGCCTGTTCAGGACACTCATATCCACGGAGCTACTCCGTCCCCGTGCAGACCAGAGAGCAGGCTCGGACCGCGGCACTACGGAAGCGTCTGTCGCTCCGGTCTTCTGCGCAAGCTCCTGCACCCAGCAGCCACGGTGACCTCTGACACAGGGCCGAACTCACGCAGCCTACCTGAACCCCTCTGGCTTCTCCCACCCCACTCCCGAGAAAAGCCAAACTTCGCACCGTGGCTAGCGAGACCCCACTGCACCTGGCCTCTGCCCTTCTCCCAGCCCTCACCCCCGCCGCCTCCCCTGGGCTCCCCGGGCCCCGCCGGCACCTGCCTTCTTTCCAGGTCTGAGCCCTGGGCCTTACTGACCCCTCCTCGTGCCTAGAATTCCCTGCTCCCAGACCTTCCCAATGCAGGCTCCTCCTTTGGGTCTCAGCTCAAAAGTGCCCCCTGAGGGCCTGTCCCTGACCCCTAGCGCAAGTAGCCCTTCCGGCCACCCCATCACATCCTCGTTTTCTTTTCTTCGTAGCACCTACCACTGTCTGAAATTATCTTGTCTGTGTTATTGCCAGTTTCCCCACAGAGCTTGTAAGTTTTATTGGATAAGGGACACTGCCTTCCTACCTCCAGGGCCAGTGAGTAGTGGCCACTCGGGAACTGTTTCTCAAACGCATGCAAGGGTGGATGGACTTGAAAAGGTTAAAACTGCGCGGGATGCCCCCAGGTCCCAGTCTACTGCCAAAGCGCGTTTTCCCTTCTTCAGTACCAAGGTCCTGCCAGCACAGCTCACAAAATCAGGATAGATGACCTGCCGCTTAGAAATTCTTAATTAGTCTCCCAGAGCTACTTACACCAACTGCCATAGACTTTCTGAATCACTGCAATTAATCAATCACCGGGTATTTCCTTCACTTTAACAAAAGACAATTTTCGACTTCTAGGATGACTTTTCAAAACCAGGTTTATTGATGGTGCACCAAGCCCGTCTGCGGCAACGACTGAAGGCAGCTGGCCCGCAGAGGAAGCTCGGAGGCGACTCACTGTGTGGCCACTGCAGGGGAGGAGTGGGTGGGGACGCGCCCCGGGCCGCACCCTACTGTCTGTCCCCTTGTGAGGGCCCTCGGGAGGAATCCCTCTCAAGACTCAAGTAGGCAAACCTGCCCCTCGGTGAAAACCGGCCTGTTTTTAACCAATGGACCCTGCAGTTCTTGTGTTTAATCACAGTTGGGGTCTCTGTAAGCTGAAGATTAAATCAGGGTCTAACTTTACTGAGTGCAAGGTCTTTGGCATGCATTTTCAGGGGCTTAGATTCCCTCCTGGCTTTGTTCTACTTTCCTCCCTAATATTTTCCCTCCCAACCCCCATATTGTTCCGTAACAACTTATTTTGTGCTCCTGTACTACAGACGTTTTTAAGGCTTTGTGAGTTTTCATCCTTTCTTTGGGATAGGGGAAATGAATCCATCAATGCAGCAGAAAATATGTAAAAAATTGGAGAAAAGACTGACCCTCAACAAATAACATAGTTGGCCCAAAATTCCTACGACTTGAGTAATTTCTGATAAACTGGAGATTCTGATCGCCCTCATTTACACAGCTGACCCTCATATGCACTAGGCCCGGTCGGGCCCAGCAATGAGAATGCCAGTTCTGTATAGCTTCGCACACCTGGGCAGCGACAGGTGTTTATTAAATCCACAGAGCACGCCATCAACATTTCCTACAAAAATAAAACACCTCGTTTATTGAAACTGCGCATCGCAGGACAACAGATCCCCACAGGAGAAGCCTGTGGTCTGGAAGGACACAGGTGGTGGCCGTGGGTCACGCTCTGTCTCTTCGGGGCCAGGGGTCCCGGAGGAACACGGCTAGCAGGGACAGGAACACCAGCAGCAAGCCCTTGGCCATGCACTGGGGGTAGGGCTCCCCTGCAGGACAACAACGCGAGTGAGCGACAGTCTTGTTGCACAACCAGATGTTTACCCAGAAAGAAGCCAAAACATTAGTAATGATCACTTTTAAGTGGCAATGTTAACTGATAAATTTTTTCTTCTTCCACTTTTCTATACATAACATCATGATGAGCATTCCGGGAATCGGCTTCCCCCTACCTTGATAGTCCCGGGTCAGTGGGTATAGGAGCTGTGGCCAACACACGTCGTTTCTGTTACAATCGTACTCTGTGAAGTTGACCTGGAACCTAGAAAGCATTTAAGAAGATGACAATAGCTACAGCAGAGCACGCTTCTGGCGAGAAGCATTAAAAGCTGGTTGAAGCAATAACCTTATTTTCAAATGTATACACACTTCCACTCCCTAAGACGTCAGCCGGGGCGGTTACCTTGTCAGCGGCCGGGGAGACTGCGCAGGTATCTGAATGAACTGCACGGACGCGCTGAGAGGCAGCAGGTCGGCCTGGAGCTCACAGGTGAGCCCGCACTGGAACTGCCAGTTCACCGGGGAGACCCTGGGAAAGAGGGCGCAGGCCACGCATGGAGCTCACGCCCACTCTGCCGAGCGCGCCGGGGGGCTGGTGCAGCAACCACCCAGACCGGAGTCTCGGCTCCCCCGCCTGGTGTGGCGGACCCCTTCCAACACGTGCGCGGGAGGAAAGGGGGTATGACGGCCCCTCGGGGGCCTGGCACCCAGCCACCGCGCCGCCCACATTGTGCCAGCGTTGTCTCTCTCCCCCGTCCTGTGGGTCTCATGTCGCACTGGTGCTTCTAAAGCTACTTTGCTCTTCCACCTGCTCGTCCCAGGCTGTGTGAGAACAAGGACCACGGCAGCTAACCGCGCTCATGGCTGTCCGAGTCCTAGGCACGGGGCCACGGTGCTCCGGGGGCCTCCGAGCAGTACCAGGCGCGTTGGGTGCTTAGCATCTGCTACTTCGGCCCACCCAGCACCCCTTCACCCTTCTGCTGGTCACTGTACCCCAATTTTCCCATGGGGAACCACCCCCCTACTCTCAGTTGGCGGGACCAGGAGGGACCCACCTGAATTCAGGGGGCGGGCCCCTCACTGAGACCAGCCAATGCGAGTGGCCTGCTGCCCTGGCCCCAGTGGTTGGTTCAGAAGGGGGCACGTGACCAAACTGCAGCATGGAGGTCTGCCCAGACTATCTCTGAGGAAGATGGGGAAGAGGCGCCCCCTCTCCACTGCACCTGCAAACGGGTGCAAGCCTGGAGTTGCTGGTGTTCGCCTTTGCCTCCTCTGGAGGAGAACCTTCCCAGGGCGGACGCCACCGGAAGGAAAAAGGAGCCAGGGATGAAGGAAAAAGACCCTCCGTCCCCTGACCGTGAGCACATGGAGACCACGAGCCACAGGCAAGGCGCGTGTGCACCTTTCGGAGCTTCACCCAGGAAACCCCCTCCCGGCGATGTCAGTGTGCGTCGGGACCCTGTCGCTGAGAGCTGACAGAGGCCTGAGGACACGTGACGGTGGTGTCCCCACTTCACAGGTGAGAAAACTGCCGCTCGGAAGAGATGACATCGCCGTGCAGCTCACAGGGCCCCAGCGGGGAGACGCGTGGCCCGGACCCACCTGCCTGCCGCCGCCGCCTCTGCCCGCTGGGCGGCACTCCCGGCCTCCGTGCCCACCGCGGTCACGGATTCCCACTCACGCTCTGCACCAGGAGGCCCCTGTTCGGCTCTGTGCCCCCCCAAACACCCTGCGGGATCCCTCACACCGCACTGTGCGAGCCCTTGTGAGTGAGCACAAGCCTCCGCCACACACACGGCCGACACACTTGCCGCCGGTGCACGGGCTGCTGGCAGCTGGGGTCCGCAGACAGACCCTCGGGTCCCCGGCCAGCATCTCCCTGCCCCGTGGAGCGCCCCGAGCACTTCCCTGACTCTCTCCCCCGACACTCCCTCTCGGTGGGGCGGGGGGGGGGCGCGGCGCAGTCAGACCTCATCTCTGCGCCCAGGATCTCCCGCTGGGCAATCCCTTCCACCGCGCCAGCGTCCGAGAAGAGGATGCGGATACTCAGCCGAGCGGGAACGTCCGGGCAGGTGCCATTCGCGCTGCCGACAGGAGGGTCTGCACCCGGGTCAGGGGCGCCTGCGCCTGCAGAAAGGTGGGGTTGCGCATCCAGGAAAGAATAACCTAACAAATCGTTCTACAATGCCACGATACCAAAAACTGGGAAATGTTCTTAGAGAGCAATCACGATAATGAGGCTTAAATCTCTAACAGGCTCTAGCTGTTTGTTACGCCATAACCGCATGACCGTGTTCAAAGGTTCAAGGTGTTTCCTCGTGAGTTACATCAGCCACTGAGACTGTAAAACCCCCGACCCACGTAATAAAGCCGTAAGTCGCGACTCTGCTCCTCACCGGAATCCCCTCAGAGTTTCGGCAGGCACGCTGCACCACGGCAGTGAGGGCCCCGGGGGTTGTCCCGGGGAGTCCCTGTTCTTGCAGCAGCGGACGAGGACACGTGAAACCCACAGTGACAATGTTAGTTAGTGTGTTACAGTTCACACGCAGTTTCGTAATGTGTTGCCAGAGCTGTGACCCAAAAGGGAGAGAATGACACTGGATGGGAAAGTAATTTTCATTCACCTTCAGAGTTGGCTCACGGAGGGAACAAGAGTGAGGTCAAGTATGACAGGTGAACGGCAAGTTCTAAGGCAACCCTGGGGGGGGGGGGGGGTCCTTGTTCCCTCCGGGCTCTTGAAGGTCGGTGACACTGTTTCTTTACGGGGTCCAGCTTCCTCCTCCTGACACGTGAGTTCCACGTCACGTCTCTTCTGTTTAGGAACCAGGGTCCAGGGTGACTTTGGCTCGGGCATGAAAAAGACGCTGTTTTCTGCCTTGAAGGCCACACAATGTCACCACCTGGGGTTTCTTTCCTGACCAACTTGGCTCCTCTGTCCTGCAATTCCCCATTCTCATCTGCGGTGCCCTGCTCCCTCCCTCTGTCCCTTGGTCATTCCAAGACGGCCGAGCCCAGCGGCTGACAAGCCCCAACCTCGGGGTTCCATTCCCAAACGAGGATCGAACTCTGGGCCTCGTGAACTCGGAACGGGTGGCCACCAGGACCCCTGACCACCCGAGGGTGTCAGGCGGAGAGAGGCATAATGTCTGGGCCCCATCACAAGGGCTGGGGAGAGCGCAGGCATTTGTCCAGAGGGTGCTTTTTTGTGGGTGCGCAAACTCCAGCCCACGGACATGCCCGCAGAAGGTGCGGGGGATAGCTGCTGCCCGCCGGCCAGCCAGGCTGCAGGCATGGGAGGAACCAGAGGGGCAGGAGGGGACCGCGGACAGCAGGCCCTGCAGGGCCGCTGAGCCCTTCCTGGCTCCGAGAGACGCCCTGTTACCCAGAGCGACAGCAGTGGCTTCCTTCTCGTCGGGCATCGACGCGCTCAGGCCCCCCCGCAGACGCCCGGAGGGACGCGCCCGACCTCCCGGCCGAGCAGCGAGGATGCAGGCTGGAGCCCCAGGTTCAGTGCCGGCGCCGCCACAAGCAGCTGGGACTCGAGGCTTCTCCGCTGACGACCGTGGGAGCTGGAGCCCGGGGACCAGCGGGCACCATGGGATCATCTGCAGGTGACGTCAGGCCTGTCGTGGCAGCCAAGGCCGGTTCCCTTCCACCCCGAGGGACACGTGGGCTGCGTGTCTCGTCTTCCGGGCATGCATGCCCCTGTGTGCCGACCCCGTGCTGTGAGCGCCTCCGGCCAAGGGAGAAAGGCCCTGGGCGCCCAAGTCTTCTCACATGGCCTCGGGGTCCCCGCCGTCATTGGAGCTGCTGCACCCTAATCTCTGTCGTCCGGCCTCATCGACATACCATCCGCCCGCTGAAGTTCCAGGCCCAGCAGGTTTCAGTGTGTTCACAGGGGCGTGCAGCCACCCGCAGATCAACCTGAGAACATCCTCACTGCCCCCGCAAGGAGCCCTGCGCCCACCAGGCGACCCCTCGTCTCCTCCCAACCGCCCGGCCCTGGCCCCGCCCCCGCTCATCTGCGTTCTGTCCCTGTGGGTGTGTACCCAGCCCCGGGACACCCCACACAGACGGGGTCGGACAGTGCGTGGTCCTTCACGGCTGGCTCCTCTCACTTAGCACCTTCTAACACCTCATTTCCTTTGAGGTTGCTTTCCTGAATCACAAAGTCAGTGCTCGACGGCCCATACGCCTGCCGGTCAGAAACAGCGCACACTGAAACGCGCCGACGACCTTCGAACCTGCTCCACGCAGGCTGTCAGCTCCTTCGACAACGGGGCGACCCGACCTTCCCGCAGTCCCCCTTTCCCAGAAACAAAAGCGGCATCGCGAATGCAAGGTAAAGACGTGAGGAGGCCTCCCGCCTGGAGTGTCGACCTCTAAACACGCGTCAGCCGCGGGGCCCCAGCAGCCCGGTCACGCACGCCACGCGTGCGAGGCCTGGACTCACGTAGGATGGCAAGCCAGCCGTCACTGAGGTCGCTGTAATCGGAGTTGCCTCTCATCGCCACGTGAGTTGCCTGCATCAGTGAATCGAGCATTTCCGCAGCCTTCCTCCTGCAAGAGAGTCAGACAGTTCGCGGCGCGCGGCCGGGCGGTTAGCCCCACCCTGAAGTCCTTCGCAGGCTGCAAAGTAAAGGGTCTCGGGTTCGATTCCCAGTCAGGGCACAGGCCTGGGTTGCGGGCCAGGTCCCCAGTAGGGGACACGTAAGAGGCAACCACACATTGATGTTTCTCTCCCTCTCTCTTCCCTTCCCCTCTCTCTAAAAATAAATAAAGAAAATCTTAAAAAAAAAAAAAAAAGGACTGAAGACAGATGTGCAAACAAAAACCAGGGCGTGAATGTTCACAGTGGCCCGAGGGCGGAAGTGACCGTGTGCCCAAGACCAGCTGAGGACGGACAGGACACAGGTCGCCCGCACAGCGGCTGTGACCCGGCCACGAGAGGGAGCGGAGCTCTGGCCCCGGCCGCAGCGTGGACGAACGTTGAGAACGGGACGCTGAGTGACAGATGCCGGACACCGAAGGCCACCCAGTGTGAGTGACTCCGCTGACGTGAAAGCCACAGAGAGAGCGCGCAGACCGGTGGGGGCTGGGGCTGGGGGCGGGGCCGGGCGGCAGCTGCGAAGGGCACAAGTTTCCCTCCGCAGGTGGAAACGCGTGGGGACCGAACATAAGTGACGACTGCGCAGCACCACGAATGCACCAAACGCCACTTCCAAACGACTAATCACGTTACACACACTTCACCTCAATTTTAAAAAACAAACTGGGGGGTGGGCCCAGGGAAAACTAAATTAAAAATTAAAAAGAATGCCTATGCATATCTATAAAAACACGTTCCAAACGCCGCCCACTTAAGAGGCAAGTTCTTCCTACACCACATAAAAGGGCTCGGTGCGCTTTCAATGCTAACCGACCGACGACACCCGCCCGGCCCCTTTCACAGCCCGAGCAGCCCCGGGTTCCCGTGCGCTGACCCAGCTGCAGCAGAGGAACTGGCATACGTGTGGAAGAAACGGCGTGAGCCCCAGGAAGAGAAGTCCGTGTTCCCTCATATTGTATCTGAATCAGCTGTGAACTGTGCTGGAAGCTCCATTCATTCCACACTCACTATCGCTTCCACATGGATGTTCCGTGCAGACCCGAATTCCCCACCCACTTGTCCTCTTCCGGGCTCACGTGGTGAACAAAATCTAAGCGAACACCAATGACGCCAACGACGACGCCGAGGACGCCGACACCCCCTCCGGGAGACGCCCACCTGAGCCGGCCGCAGTCCTCCCCGACCCAGACTTCCAGGAGGCACCCAGAGAGCGCGTTTTCTCCGAACAAAATGGGCTTGCGAGCTGCCGGCGTGCACAGACCTCTGCCAGCTGTGAAACAGAGAGAGTGTATCCTCTCACTATCGTTGCTAAATGAAAGAAACGACGTGCTTCCAAGTTCTCCCGGGAAATCAGAGAGAAGACGAGGAGCAGAAACAAAGTCTCCAGTCTTTCAGAACCGAGGTCACGGTGGGACTGAGCTCCTCCACCCCAAGGCTGGACGAAGGCGCCCTCCTGTGTCGGAACCCCTGCCGCAGCGGTGGGTTCTGAGCTCGAGACCCGGGGCTCTGGCGACGGCGGGTAACACCCCCCGGGGTGGGAAGGCCGCCACGGTGTGGGGCCTGCCTCGCCGCCTCCGACCGGCATCTCCCTGGGCTACGGGCGAAGGACCCTCGAGCCGGCCCCACGTGCAAACCCCTCTGGGGACCAGCGCCTTGGGGGCAGGCACTGTTACCATTTTCACAGCAACAGAAAAAAAAAGAACACAAAAAATAACCACCCCGCAGCTCCATAAACCAACTGAGGCTTAAAGTGACTGCTTGCTTGATGGGACTCAAAATACGGCACCATTTCCCATTCTAGTTTACCTAAGAGCTAGTCCTGTGACCAGACCCCATTACCTGGCTGCCAGAGGTGTAAAGTCGAAACGCCATGCATCCCGTTGGCATCCAAAGCGCGCACAGGCCTGCCAAGCTGGTAACCTAGACGACGGCACAACAGACAAGAGACAGCAGCATGGTGAGCACGAGCCGGCCGAGCAGCACACGAGGGGGACACACACTGAAGGGAGTTACCTAGGCAGGGCTTCTTCAAAACGGCCTGGAGGGAAGGGAGGGCGTCGCCTTCATTTGTGTTAACGAAGGCATTCGTGTGGCCCAGGCTGGTGTGGCTCAGTGGATTGAGTGCTGGCCTGAGGACCAAAGGGTCGCCAGTTCGATTCCCAGTCAGGGCACATGCCTGGGTTGTGGGCCAGGTCCCCAGCAAGGGGCTCATGAGAGGCAACCACACATGGGTGTTTCTCTCCCTCTCTATCTCCCTCCCTTCCCCTCTCTCTAAAAATAAATAAAATCTAGAAAAAAAATTTAAAATACAAAATAAATTGCATTTTAGGAACAGATTGTGAAAAACAAAATAAATTGCATTTTAGGAACAGATTGTGAAAAGCGGAAAGCAGGCAAGGATTTGTCTGGGATCCCTCAGCTGCACTGGCCGCTTGGTGAATGCCTGCTGCCTGGCAGAGCCGCTCCCCAGAGCAGCTCGCACAGGACGCTCGGACCCAAGGGACCTCTCGACGGAGCCCCTCCTGCTCTACAACCCCGGTCCGACCCCACCCACGGCCCGGTCAGATCCCGTTCCCACCCGTCGGCGGTGAGTCCTAATTATCATCCCCAACCTTTTATTACGAAAACGTTCACACGCCCAGCTGGCATAGCTCAGTGGATTGAGCTCGGGCTGCGAACCAAAGTGTCGCAGGTTCGATTCCCAGTCAGGGCACATGCCTGGGTTGCAGGCCATAACCCCCAGCAACCGCACATTGATGTTTCTCTCTCTCTATCTCCCTCCCTTCCCTCTCTAAAAATAAATAAATAAAGTCTTAAAAAAAAAAGAGTTCCATTAAAAAAAACAAAAAAAAATGTTCACACGCACAGAGAAGCCGGAAGTAATACCGTGAAGGCCAATACAGCCACCATCTAAAACCCACCACTGTTAATATTGAGCCATAGGTGTCTTATCTGCATTATATAAACACAGACTTCTCTCTATATATACATAGACAGATAGATATGAACAGACACGCACGTATCTTTTGTAGGACCATTTGAAAATAAACTGGAGACATCTCAATACTTCACCTCTAAGAGCTCTGCCCACAACCCCCAAAGGAAAGGCGACCCCACAGCCGAGAGGTGGTCCGGTCCATGTGCCCATAAACACAAAATGCACGGCGTGACAGGGACATCACAGTCCCCGGGAAGGCTCGCCACGGTCCCCCCAGGTTAGGGGCTCGTCATCTGCAGACTGTTCTCCCTTAAAACGCCAACCTCAGCGACATTTTACAGGTGTCACCCCTTTTACAAAAGACCGGGGGCTAAAGAGAAGGAATGCCTTGCGTGTACGGCAACATGCTGCTGTCTACAGCAACTTATGCAGGAAAAAAAAGGGGTCATTGGAATGAGAGCTCCGTGTCAGCACAGAGAAGGAGGGAGGCCAACCGGGGCCGCAAACCGAAGCGGGAGAGTCGCGCAGAATCACCGCGTCGGGGACCCATGCCGGACGGACACGCCCGTGAGATGGTGGCCGGCGGGCGCCGGCTTACCTGGGTTTCCAGACGTTCCCCTCTCGCCACCACTGTTGTAGCTTAAAAATGTCACCGTGAACCTCTGCGTCATCACTCCTGAGACAAAGCAAAGCAGAATGTCACGTGTGCCGTTCCACTGGGAAAGGAAATGATCCCTTGCGGTCATTTCATGTTATTCTCTCTACCCTAGAATTGCATTTGGACGGGCCAAAAAATTAGTCTTTTTTATTAACTCACACATACACATAAGAAACAAGTGTGGCTGACTTATAAAACACTTTACAATGAAAGCAGTCGCGCTACCCTCGACCCAGTTACCTTTCTGGTGGGCATTAATTTCTGCCCTAACAATCCTGACATGTATGTCACTGATGGTATTATTATTCCATCTGAAAACATAATGTTCTTCCACAGTCACGTTTCTGGGGGCGGATCCGGGGCTTAAAAGTGTTTCTGCAAACACAAGAAAACTTCCATGAACCAAAGACCCCCTTCGGGCTCAAGTCTATTGACGGCCCCACCAGCTCAGCATGGGGTGCTTGCTGGGTACCCTCGCCATGCCCCGAGTGAGGTCTGGCCCCTCCCTGTCATCTCTGTACCCCGCCACCTGGCTCATAGCCCAGGGCACGTGCTGGGTAGAGCGCACATTGGATGAAAGACTCAAGAATGCCAGCACCTCCAGAGCGGGGCCCGCGCCCAGTTCACGGCCGCGCTGCGGGCACCCACTGCGGTCTGATGACGAGACGAGGAAGTTCGAGCACCACGACACACCGAGAAGGAGCACAAAGGGTGCCCTTCGTCAAACACAAAAGCCCTGGCACCAGCAGCCACGCTCTGCATAGCTTGTCTGCATCACGACTGCGACGTTTAAGTTTAAAAAAAAAATGCCCTGGCTGGCGTAGCTCAGTGGATTGAGCTCGGGCTCAGAACCAAAGTGTCGCAGGTTCGATTCCCAGTCAGGCCACATACCTGGGTTGCAGGCCATGGCCCCCAGCAACCGCACATTGATGTTTCTCTCTCTCTCTCCCTCCCTTCCCTCTCTAAAAATAAATAAATAAAATCTTTAAAAAAAAAAAAAAAAGGAAGACGAGAAAATGCTGGTCCTGAAAAATTCTAAAACCATCCGGAAGACATTTAAGGGAGGTTCGCAGACCCTGCGACAGAGGGGCCCGGAGCCCATGGAAGGTGAGCGGCGGAGGAAGCGGTTCCAGGTCACTCAGGAGGCGCCGCAGCAAGGGAAGACGGGACGAGGGACAGGGACGAGGTGCGGGTGGGACGGCTCCGAGCGGCTGTGAGCCTCCTTGAAGGCTCAGCGACAACGCATCCGATCTGGGAGTGCACGCCACTGGTGAGCAGCAGCAGCACGTGCATTTCTGCGGAAGAGGCGTAGGGGTGGCGCATTCCAATACCTGTGCTGAGGAACCTGTCCAGGCCGGCTGCTTCCTCGTAGGTCACTTTCGGAGTGACAACGCCTGAAAGGACACGTGTGTTACCCTTCCGCGGGACGGCGTGGCCTGACCTGATCCCATTCCCTCGTGCAAACGAGAGCTCACCGTGCAGATGGGGTCCCTGCCTGTCCCCTGTGCGGACCACACCACCCTCTCCCGCTCTCCACACACCTTCCGTGGGAGCCCCACTACCGTCCGCCTCTCACCACAGCCGAGGGGAGGGGGCGAGGCCACCGTCCTCACGCGCAACCTGGAAAGTCCCTGCCACGCAGGGACTGCTGGCGGGAGCGTAAACGGGTGCAGTCGCCGTGGAAAACGGCTCGGTGGGCCTGGGTAAGTTAAGCAACCCCGTGACCCCGCAACTCCCCTGCGGGGCACGCGCCGAGAGAAACGAGAGCGGGCGTGAGCACAGACACCTGTACCCGAGCGCTCACCGCGGCCCCACGCCAAAAGCCAGCAGCAGGAGCGAGCCCGGCGCCCCCCATTGGAGGGACTGGGTGACACAGTGAGGTCTGGTCACGCGGTGCAGGAGTCTCAGGAACCTGACGCTAGCCCTGGCTGGCGTAGCTCAGTGGATTGAGCGCGGGCCGCGAACCAAAGCATCGCAGGTTTGATTCCCAGTCAGGGCACATGCCTGGGTTGCAGGCCACGCCCCCCAGCAACCGCACATTGATGTTTCTCCCTCTCTCTTTCTCCCTCCCTTCCCTCTCTAAAAATAAATAAACAAAATCTTTTAAAAAAACCCTGAGGCTGAGCGAGAGAAGCCAGACGCACAGGCTGTGTGCGGTGTGAGGGCGCTGGTGTGACATGTCACTACGCGGAGGAGGCGGCTGCACGACATTGTGCATGGATGAGAGGCCGCCGAACTGTACACCCTCAAATGGTTCGTTTTATGGTCAGTGAATTCTAATGCATTCTTAAAAAGGAACCACTATGCGACAGGCTGGCTGCCTAACGGAACGGAACGGAACGGAACTTCTTCCCAACACGACCCCCTCCTGGATCGGCGGACGAACTACTCCCTTCTGTTGCTCCAGCGGAAGTGGCCTCTGTTCTCGCGAGACCGGAGTTTAGCTAAACGCTCGCTCGGTCCGCCCGCACCCGCCTCTCACGCCAAGGTGGCCTACCTCCCACGGCGCCACTCTTTATCCTGGCGTCGGCCGCGCCTGCTCGTTCTCGGTAGACTTCCACGTCAGCGACGCACCGGATGTCGAAATTCTGAAGGAACCCCACCGGGGCGTCCTGCACACACTGCCCAGCCAGGGACACCTGCAGGGGGGCCGGGGAGGGGGACCCGAGCAGACGGGTGACCTCTGTCCTGACCCCAGAGCACAGGCGCCGTCTCAGAGAGGGCCCTTCTGCAGCCCGCCCCTGCTGCTGGGGTGGGCTCGGCGGCGGCCGGCTCATCCACTGACGGGCGGACCTGCTTCCTGCAACATGGGGTTAGCTCGCCAACCAAAGTCTGGAAGCCACCGGCTGGGGGGGGTCTCAGTGCCCTTCCGTAAAAACCAGGAAAACTCCCTGCCCTCCTCCGCCGACTTTGCCGGAACGTGACTGTATTCAACTTCATTTCTTTGCCTCGTTACAACCGGATTTGTCTTAAAACCATAAAAATGGATTCACGTGGATACTCAAGAGAAATCGTTTTTAGACTCCCATTTTTTGTTTGTTTGTTTGTGCATACTCCCCCAAAGACATGCTACTGATCGCAGAGACAGGAAAGGGAGGGAGAGAGGGGGAGAGAAACGTTGCCTCTCGAGTGCACCCCAGCGGGGGGTCAAACCCACAACCCAGCCACGTGCCCTGACCGGGGGTCAAACCCACAATCCCCCTGTTTATGGGCCAACGCTCCAACCCACTGGGCCACACCACCCAGGGCTAGACTCTCACGCTTTGTTCTCACTGATATTTTTTCCATAGAATTTCGAACTAAAAAAAAAAAAGGTTTCACATAAAACTCTATAGCCTTAAAACAGTTTTCAAGATTCTGGCATGTTATTGAATATATTAAGTTATACATTTATAGCTTACTAGAAATTGGCTATTAAACTAGCAGAAGCGAAGAATGAGTTACTTTGATGGAAATTTATAGAATGTCTTTTGGTTTTCATTAAGTTCACGCTGAGATTTAGCAAAGACAGTGGTTAATTTAAGAGTGACTATGAGAAAAAAAATAATCTAGAGACCATAGATAGTTGAGTGCCTAGAAAATCCACAGGAAGAAAAACAAGTAAGTTAGACTGGTATTTTTAAGAGCAGTATGAGTTAAATTAAAAGTAGGATGAAAAAATAAGGCCCTGGCTGGTGTGGCTCAGTGGATTGGGTGTCCTCCGGTAAAGGGAAAGGTGGTCGGTTCGATTCCCAGTCCCGGCACATGCTTGGGTTGGGGGCCAGGTCCTCCGCTGGGGGGTGGAGAGGCAGCTGATCGATGTTTCTCTTGTACATCCATATTCCTCTCCCTTTCTCCCTCCCTTCCCCTCTTCCCAAAAATAAATAAGAAAAGGCTCGCACCGTGTTACAACTGAAATTCTCACCTGAGGAACAGTAAAATATGCCTTGTCCGCAGTCATAACGGGGTCTCCTTGTTTGTACCCGAAGTCCGAAAAGTCTCTCGGGTCAGTGTGCACGGACACCTCCGAGGGCGCGTGCTGGCCCGGGGCCCTGCGAATCAATGAGAGGGACCATCGCGGACGCTTGCAGCCGCTCTCTACTAAAACAGCTGTTTATGGGAACTGTATTCTCTACTTTAAACTGCCGACGTGGTGTGTGTACTAAGCGTCACTGAACTGCATACTGTAAAGCGGTCAGTGGATAAAAACAGTGACGCAGTGGGTGCGGTCAGCTGGGCGTCTCTGGGCTCCACTCGGTCATCACGACAACAGCGGCTGGAGCTGACAACAGAGACCCCTGCCCCGACCCCGACCCAGGGGCGCTGCTCTCCGTCCGTCTGGGTGTTTCAGGGGAGGCCGGTTCTCTCCGGCACAGAAGACACTCACTACCTGCAGTCCAGAGGGGAGGGGGGACCGGCCGCGGCGGGCACTCACACGTCCCCGAGGTGGAAGTAGCCGAGGAAGGGCGAGCTGGCGGCGGGCGACTGCACGCACAGCAGCGGGAACCAGTCCGCGGCCCCGGACGCCCTCTCCGCCGAGCAGAGCTGATCAAAGAGTGGGTTGACATCCCCTCCAAACACGCCGGTGAAGCAGGACCCCCTGAAGAGCTCTGTCACCTCTGGGGAGCATTCCTGGGGAGGACATGGAAAGGGGCAGTGGGAAGACCCACACTCCGCCCAGGCCGCCACCAGCCCCCCGCCCCACTGCGGGCCAGCACCGACTCTGTGCAGCGGCAATGGTGGCGGCATCCCTGGCGCCCCGCAGGGGGCAGGGACGGGGCACACACTCCGGCTAGTGTGCGAGGGCTCTGCGCCCCTTAACCCACTCCCTCCGAGCCTCCAAGTCGGGAACCCCATCCTTCGAGGGGACCACCCCTCTCCAGGGGACACAGGTGTGCCCACGGAGAGCAGGAAGAGAGGAAAGATAATAGGGAATACACCCCAAACGGGGACGAGAGCAGAGCGCACCTCCCTGTCATACTGTCCTCCCCCTTCCCAGGAGAGGAACGGGACATTCCGCCTGGTCCACATTCAGTGAGAACCCCGAAGGCCCCCGCTGCCCCGCCCTGCAGGACACAGCCCCGGGAGGAGGGGACAGGACGGAGTGCCCCGTGCCACTGCGGCATTCCTTTACGTCAACAGAGCCACTGCCACGGCCCTAGCCTGCACGTCTCCCTGCACACGGACGACGGTGAACCGCCTCGTCCCTGCCCTTCATGATCTGACAGAGAGACGCAGCGGCTCACGGGCCGGGGCCGGAGCTCCACTGACGGAACAGGAAGGCGCGGGGGCCTCGTTTCTGCTGTGATGCTCGCACTAACAGTTGCAGCCACAGTAACAACCCTACCTAAGTTAAAAAACTAAAACGGTAAATCTGCTCCAGTATCAGCAGAGGCGTGATGGTTGTACAACTCGACACACTTTCTAAAAATCATTGACAAGATGTATTTTCCTTCCGCTTCATGTTTTCTTGGCGGCTCCTACAAAGGAAATTCAAACTGCCCTCCAGGGTGACCGCCATAGTGCGACCTCACCCACAGACATGCTTCTAGGTCCCTGTGCAACGCGGGCGGCGCTGGCGAAGGAAATACTCCATCGGAAGACAGTTCGCACGTGAACCACAAGGAGACTGCGGGGGCCCCGCCGGGGCCCTCCCCACGCCGCCAGGCCCCGTGATTCTGCGCCCAGTAATGGGAAGGAGCGTACCTGGTCACAGCAGCAGCGGACGTCACAGGCCCCGGCTGTTAAATTACAAGGGCACGGACCAAGAGGCTGGTACACCTGGTTGGGGATGACAGTCACATTCTCTGAAAAGTACAAGCAACGGAGAAGGTCAGCCATGAAACAAACCCTCTGACAGAGCACAGCCACAACGTTGACATTGAAGAGAAAGCCGAATCCCTGTTTCACAAACCGCCATCCCCACGTGCCCCACGGGACGGAACCCCTGAAGGGAGCGATGCATAGAGCGCACCTGAGGCCCGTGTGTACTGCCCCACCAAAAACCCGAGTGTCCGGAGACACGGGGCTAGTTGTACCAGACCACAGAGGGTGCCGCTGTCGTGAAGGTAAGCCAGTGGCTACAAAGTTAGGGTAAATGGAATGCACTGGTTTTATCTCTCAATACGCAGAACCACCCTTTTCTTCACGCAGACTGCTGTTCAAGCATTTACCCCTTCCGATTCACCGCCTCCTCCAGCAGAGGGGCCCGGAGCCATGGCGACACTTCAGACGGCTCGCCTGGAGCTCATCCAACCGTGAGAGCGCGTGTACCTGAGCTACCTGCCCGGCCTCTAGTCCTGTCACCCTGTGAGGCCAGATCTCCCCGTCCACAGTTAAGGATGCAAGCTACACGGCACACATAGACACCGCTCGACATGAATGTCGGGAGGGTCAAAAGATGTCACTTGCCTGATGCATTCTGGGCCAGAGAGGAGTTGGCATAAATCTCCACCTGAATGGGCAGGTGGGCTAAACAGGATGAGTTGTGAGAGGCGGAAACCAGCAGAGCGTGGACGAGACACGGGGACTCGGAGAAGGGGTCTGTCTCGCTGGAGGAACACCGCCGCGGAGGCCTCTCCAACCGCACTGCCACTTCCAGCGTATTCTGGACGGGAGAGAGTGCTGCGCTTTAGCATGATGGAAAACACACCCAGATCACACACCAGCCTGAGTTCGGTTTACACAGGGAGGGCTGTACACGAAGGTAACACAACTCTGTGTAATTCCACCCATAAACCTCCAGCAATATGCTAGCCCTGATTTCAAAGCCTGTTTAACATAAAAGCAAGCAGCCTTTGGGTACGCAGAGAAAGCGAACCCCAAGTCTAAAAATTAACTCAGTTTGCCCAGCCCTTTTTGAGTTATCATCCTGCCAGTGGACGATTAAATATACAAAACAAGCCACTGAAAAAATTAATAAAAACAAGGAACAACAACAACAAAAAGTGCCTGCACACAGCCCCCGGGTCCTGAGGGGCGAAGTCTGACCTTCTCCTCCTCCATAAACTCTGGAGCCTGTATCTTGCACACAGTGGGCACTCCTTAATGGAAATTACATGGAACATATTTAGTCTCTCCAGACTTCAGGGTCCTTACACACGAGCCCAGGGTAGGATGAGATCCGTGGTTTAAGGAGCCTTTTTGAGTCACAGACTCATTTGATCATCTGATGAAAGCTGGCAACCCTCTCGTAAGAAAAATGCACATGCGCACATGGTTTGGCACCCAATTTCAGAGGGTTCACAGACCCTTTGTGACTCATCAGAGGATCCCTAACCCCCAGGGAAGGACCTCAGGGCTGGATGAGTGTCTACGGGACCTGAGAGCCCACAGTTTGGTGGCAGTTCCAGCCCCGAGACAGGTGCACCTCGTCCAATCGAGAGAACACGCACTGCGGGTCTCCACAGATGCCACCTTACCACACTGCGGGTCACAGTCAAACTCCAGTCTCCTGTGTCATTGTTCAGCACGTCATCACACTCGGGAACGGGCAGTGGTCCTAAAGGAGATGAAATGCAAGGCGGTTTTGCCCGGAGGCTGACGGGGTGCACGCACTGCCTGGGATGGAACCCCTTTCCAAGATGAACATCGGGCCCTTCACAAGCTGTGTGACTTCGGGCAAGTGGCACCCTCTCTGAACGTCAGTCAGTGTCCTTGGCTGTCTCATGGGACTAAAAAATATTACTGTTCTCATTGGGACAATGAGGGGGTGATGCGTGTCAGGCACGGGGGTGCAGCTCACTAAACGCCAGCCACTGTGACTGCAAGCTGGCTTGATCCGAGCTGCCCGTCGATCATCCAGGGTCCACAGCAGCCCCCCGCCCTCCGCCCCACATCCACGCCGTGGACAACTCCAGGCAGGAGACACCCCGGGTGCCACCTCGCCCGTTTCCTCTGCCGGCCGGGACCTGGCCCGTCCACCTCCCTCCCCACTGGAAGGGCCGGATTCTTTACCCGCCTCGGCTTGCAGCAGGGACAGGGACACAGCCACATCCTCGGGGGCTCCGACCAGGGTGGCGCTGACCTCAGGGACAGACATGCGGATGAAAGAAGGGATGAACACTAGGGAAGGAAGAAAACAGGGAGGAGTTAGTAGAGGTGGGGTCTGTGCTCCCGGCCTGCTTCAGTGCTGACTCCGGAACTCCCCAAAGAGACCGCATCTGGCCCCATCAGCGCCTCGTCCCTCAGCCGGGCCCTGCAGGCCCCGGCCCCGCGGTGCATACCCGGGCCTCCCGACAACGGCCTCGTGACGCCCTGAAAAACCAGGAGCCCCATAAGCAGAGTGACCGGCGATGGCAAGCCCATATCTGGGACCTCTCCGAGTCGAACGCGGAACCGCGCGCGCCCTAGAAGTCAGGAACCCCCCGGGACGCAGCACCCAGGGCCGTGTCGCCCCTCCGCCGCCATTTTATCAAGCGAACGCCTGGAGCTATGGCAACCACCAATCAACCACGGGCCTGCTGAGCAGCGCGGTGTGATTGGCCCGGCGGGAGAGAGCCCGCCCCCGGCCCTGCCACTGCATCGGGGCCTCGCCCACAAGGCTTGTGCCCAGGTGAATGATCAAGAAAAGTAGGAATCCGCGTGGAGTTTAAAAACTGGAGTTGCGCGTGGGGAGGGCGGTATAAGGGGACTAAGTAGTAATGGAAAGAACACAACAAAGATTAAACATAAGAAAACAAACTGGAGTTTCGTTCTGGCAGCTGTGGCTCAGCTCGTTGGAGCTTTCGTCCTGTACACAGAAGGGCACGTGTAAGAGCCCATTGGTGTTTCTCTCTCTCTCTCAATAGCCCTTCCCAGACAAGATCGTGTGGGAAATAAATGAGGCAAGGTATCGAATGAGCTTAGCCCCATGCCGGGCACACCATAAGCCCTCGATAAATGCTGGCTCATTTTCACTCTCAGAGGGCTAGTGCGGCAATTAGCTGAGAGAACGCACGCAGTGTGTTCAGCACAAGGACTGACCGACGACAGCAAAGGCCAAGTAAGCGTTTGCCTGTATTACTCTATATGTTCCAGGGGGGGAGGTCTGTTATATATTAATTGATCAGCGAATCTAACATTCTGAGCATTTTTTCTTACACTCTTCTCGCAAAACTGTTAACTGCTGCAGTTGTAGCATTAGCATTAACATGGCAAAGTGTTTCCATCTCTGGATGTCTGGGAAAAAAGCCCAAGAGAACCTCACTAAAAGGAGGGTTATCAAATGATGAACATTTTATTTACTAACCATTTCTTAACAAGAAAGTAACCATATACAGTGAGGGAAATGGGCATGTTGAATTACTTTTAATCCTTGGGTCAAGATGCTTTTTTATTTCGGTAAAGCATAGGGAAACACTAATGGCCATGGGGTACTTTTAATGTATTATAAATCCTTTTCACCAAGTCCCACTTTTCCAGACCTTTACACTCTTACTATGTTGTCATGTATTTTAAATAGACATCATTGGTACCACAGTTACCTGTACTGGCAAAGGTTGCTTGTCAGATGTAAAATAAACACTTTTTCTTAGGTCAGTTGAAAAATCATCCTTTCATTTATCAGACAACGGACCTGATCAATGTGAGACGTGCCACCGTGCCACCGGTGAAGAATGTACCGAATATTAACAGTGATTCTCCAGCCCTCCCAGCTCTGGGTGAGCAGGGGGGATGATGAGAGTGGATTTTCTTTCTATTTTTCCTCTACTTTTGTAAATTTTCTCCTGAACACATGTAATCATTTCACATTGTAATAAGAAAAAGAAGTACTTATTAAAAGTATGCTTTAACTTTCCTGCTTTTAGTTGCATTAAGCTATTTTAGCCAAAGGAGATTTATGGAAATGAACTATGGAATTCTAAGGCATTACACTCAAAAGAAGTTTCAAAAGTAAAAAGTGGTATTTCTGAACTCCACTGGTATTAAAAATCAACTACTGTAGGTACATGTGAAACTAGTATTGTAATCAATTACCAGAGAATTCTTAAGATTCTTTGTGATAATTTGTATTAATATAAAATGCATATATAAAATTTTAAGTCAACTACCAATGCAAAGTCCTGATTTTTAAACACTGCACTTTTCATATAAAAATGTCGCTGCTAGCCCTGGCTGGCGTAGCTCAGTGGATTGAGCGCGGGCTGTGAACCAAAGTGTCACAGGTTCGATTCCCAGTCAGGGTACATGCCTGGGTTGCAGGCCATGACCCCAAGCAACCGCACATTGATGTTTCTATCTCCCTCCCTTCCCTCTCTACAAATAAATAAATATTTTTTAAAAATGTCGCTGCTGTGTCCTCTCCTCTCCGTGACTGCTGGAACCGTTCCATGCACTCTTTCCACTCTTTTGGGAACTGCTGAAACTCTTATAAATGTTTGGATTATTTCAAATGAAAAAAACTTCAAAAAAAAAAAGCCACAGTAGGCATGCTTTCATGGATAAGGCTTGAAGACCCGCCTTCAGAGCGGCAGCTGGACGGGTCTGACGCCTGAACGATGGACTCTGTCCGGGGGCCACTTCGTGGTTTCACAGGCGGCTCGTGCGGCAGAGTCAAGTGCCCCGCTCTTCTGGCATGGAGACATTCATCACACTCCAACACCAGCCTGCTGTACCCAGTGAACATGCCCAGTCACTGAAATTTTGTGAATCCTGCTCCCAACATAAAATTATAAATACACATCAAATCGTTCTTCTAATCCTTTCACGCTTAGAAATCTTGTATTAACTACTTCATACCAATCTATTATCGCATAGGATTTGGAACAATATTTTCATGAATAATTTTGGCAAGATTTGAAATTAAAGTTCTTCACAACTGAGTAAAATATTGTCTGGCTCTGGCTGGTGTGGCTCAGTGGTTGAGCCAAAGGGTCACCGGTTTGATTCCCGGTCAGGGCACAGGCCTGGGTTGCGGGCCAGGTCCCCGGTGGGGGGCGTGCAGGAGGCAACCGCACACTGATGTTTCTCTCCCTCTCTTCCTCCCTCCCTTCCCCTCTGTCTAAAAATAAATAAATAAAATCTTTTAAAAATATATTGTCTGGTATTTGAAATAATAAAAATTTATTTTATTGTAAAAATGTATATAAAATAAACCATAAGCACAACACAAGCATAAAACAAGCAGAACTCAGACAGTATGTAAAACAGTTCCAGTGAAGGAAAAATAACAGAAACCTTGTCAGCTTGCTTGAGCATACCCGTCTTTTACAAACACGCTGCTCTTCCCTGGGCTTCAAACAGTGACCTTCATTACACTTAACCGGGCTATAAAGTATTAAATCTTTTTAAAGGACAGATTTTCATACTTAAGAATTAAAAAATACTTGCAAAGTTATTATCAAAATTTTTATTTAAGAAAATTATAAATCCAGAATACAAAATCCACCTGAAATCATCTAACCAAAGACCACCAAGTTACTTCAATGAGACTCAGTTTCTGAGATGGCATTAAGAGAAAATGTAAATCTTATTTATACACAAAATCAGATACACAATTTACCAACATACTTTTCCAATCCAGCCACTGTTCCTGAAAACCCTTCCTACGCTATTAAAGGACTTTTAATAACTTCAAAGTTACACAGAAAAATAGTTGTTATTGTTAAAACTACAAATAATTTGTCTTTTGAACTTATAGAAGTTTTCAATATTAAGTCCAAAGCTTCTAAAGGACAGCTCTCCACTATCAAAGATTTTTGCCTTTTCCTCGGTTAGAAAGCAAAGGATTCAGTCTGCGGGCAGAACTTAACTATAAAGAATCTATGTCACACACACACACCCCGCCCCCACCCCCACCCCGGCCAGGCCCCGAGAACTCCACTCTCACAACTGGACCCTGGCTTTCCGGGGAGAGTCTTCATGCAACGGCTTTCAAAGAAAAAGTCGCTACTAGACTCCCGCACTCTCTTGCCTCGCTCATTTAAAATCGGATTTTGTACGGAGTCGGTGACGAACCATTATTATTACTTGGCTATCTTTGTCCAAACACGTACCGAGGTCGCACAACAGAATGAAGAACCGCTAATATCTAAAGCCACACCTCAATGGGGACAGTAAGGGTTTCAGTTGCACGACTACTGCCCCAGTTAACAGCCGACTCAGCTACAGCGCTCCCTACTGACTAACGCCATTACTGCACTTTTTCTACCCCTGAATTTCGCATGTACCATTTCACAGTAAGAGCCTAGACCTGGGCAGTAACTCCGAAGCCTGTAACCAGTCAGGGCAGACTGATGGGACGGACAAGTGATCAGCACAATAAGTCACGAATGTGTGCTTTCTCCCCCTCTCGGGACCAAAATCGGTCTGAAAACACACTGGGGTACACAGACTGCGCAGAAGGGTTCCCGCCCACAACCCAGCCCAGAAGCACAGCGTGAGGACGGCTCTGCAGACCTGCGCGCGTCCTGGAGGCACGCCTGCGCATGCCCGGGGCCCTCCCGCAACGCCTCCCCCGCACGGGGTCCGTGGGTGGCTCTAAATAAAGGACGGGGCAGTTTCATCACGCAGACACTTTCAGCTTCTTCTTCTTGGCCTTCAGCACGGGAGGCAGCGAGATCTTGAAGGCAGTCCTGCAGTGACACGGGAGGAAAAGCCCGGTGACGCTCTGGCAGCTCCGCGGCGCGCGGGCCGGCCACACCGCCTCAGAGGTACTTACTCGCAGGTGGTGCAGATGGGGCTGAAGTTGCAGAATACTGTAATTCAGAAAAGAAAAAAAAAAACAAAAAACACAGGAGGGTTTAAAACCACATAGCCAAAGTTTTCTCCGACGTGGAAAAGAAAGACGCGGTCGGTGAACTTACTCGACAAGCACACAGAGCAGACGTAGCCGATCTCAATGAGGTTCCGGTGGCAGAAGCACGCAGCCCGGTAGTCCACGTGCACGGGGGGCGGGAGGGTCAGCTGAGGCCTCTGGTCCTGATCAGGAAGAAAAACCCACTGCAGAGTGGGGGGGGGGCGTTTTTATTCACTCAGCAGTCCCACGAGCACCTCCACACCCCCCTCGTGCAGGCAGCGCTCTGGCAGCACCCCCACCACACTCTGCGCGCATGCAGCTCCCAGCGTTGAGAGACCCCCCGACGCCCAGCCTTCTGGGCGTCCTGAGCCCCAGGTCACCCCTTCGCTCCGTTCTCCCATCCTGCCGGCACCAGCCACCGGGCTCCCACCCGTCCCCCGGGGCCCGGCTCTCCCGGCACACCGCGCCCGCCCTCCGCCGGCTTCCTCACCAGCAAGTACTGCAGGAGGGAGGGCATCTGCGGCACCTTCAGGTACATTCCCCCTGTGATGTCACACGCCTGCAAGACACACGGGGCTCTGGCACAGCAGCACGTACTGAGCCTTTCCGGGGGCAGGGGGGTCCCTCCAGCCACCTCCAGGTCCCGCGGGGGGAGAGGCCACGCGCAGGGGAGGACGGCGGGGCCTC